AACGCCTTCTCTTGCAGAGCTCAAGTCTGGTTCCATCACCGGTTCCTTTGGGCGAACAACTCGCCCGCGGTCCTTCGGGGACCCGGAGGGGCGGAAGCCACTGGAGCTCATGAGGTCGACCAAGTTCAGGCCACTCTCTATCCGAAATAACAGGGGCGGGAGGAGGTCCAAAAATAGAGCTCAGGATCCCTTCGGGGTCGTCCGCACTCTCAAGGAGGTAATCCCTCCCAACTCGAAGTCGATGCAATTGGCAGAAACGTGTTTCTTCCGGATCCCACACAGAAACCCAATTATCAACCCGGACCGCCTCGTAGCTCCAAGTTGAGATATCGAGCTTGTATCGACCGGCTTCGACAACACCCGACCAGGTATATCGGCCGTTCCAGCGCAAGAACGGCGTGATTTCGTTAGGGACTAAGTTGAGGCCAGGCTCTTTCCGCCCGCTCGTTGCTAACAAGGCCCCGGAGCGGTTATACGTCAGTCCGGCCTTCTGATAGCACAGAGGCAAGATCTGAGGCCCGAGCTGTCTTTCGAACGAAAGCGTAACTACTTTCTTGTTCCGAACTAGTCTAATGCCGCGGGTTCGGAGTGGGGCAACGAGAGAACTTCGGGGAATTTGTTCGAAGACTACCGCTCGGCCGTTATTCGGTCCCGCCAGGTACTCAGCTCGAATTTGTCGATGTGGTCTCATTGACCGCTGGGCCCCTTCTTGGAGTTATCTCCCGTTCCTGGTTTCGTCTCCTCACTCGTTTTCTTTTGAATAATTTCGCGAGTGGTTTGGACCACGTCGTTCGGAGAACGAAGGGTAGGAGGTTCTCGGCCCACCACCACGGTAGAGCGGTCGGCCCGCTTAATGATGCGATCAGGTCGGCCTCGAGGTAATGCAAGAGAACGACGACGGTGAACGCGTTCCGGGGCTTCAGGAACCGTCGTTCGTGCTGGAGGAGCAACTACAGGCTCTTCTGAACTAGACAACGAAAGCGAAGAAGGCCTCTTTACCTGCACCGCACCGGTTCGCGGTTTGAGGGAAACTCCCTTCTGGGGTCGTTGTTCAGCACCTATCTCCGGACTCGGAGCTAGAAACTTCGGTCGAGTGATCGATATTGAACGTCGATCGCGTTTCTCTGACCGACGGCGAGGGCTACGCTCTCGTTCAGGCGACCTGCGGGAATTGTCTCGCTTCAGGATCAGCAATCCAGGTCGAGGGCGGTCAAGCCGGGGATTCTGGACTGACACTGCGCGGCAACTCAGATTGCGCGGCGGTCGCGAAAGAACAACGCTTGAACAACCTTCCGTCGTCCTTGCTGGCGAATCGGTCTTGAAATGTGTTCGCGAAGAGCACGCTTCCGTTGTTCGTGGGGCCTCAGAACCAGCTAAAACGTCCACTAGACGCGGCGCCTCGTTCTTTCTTCGGTATTCAGAGCGACACTGTGGCCGTTCCTCTTTACCAACAGAACCAGAGCACGGCCCAGCAGCGTTACGCAAGTGGTTCAGGTCACTCAGCGGAGGTTTCGAACCACTCGCCCCAGCTTGGAGTTCTACAAGTACTTGTTTGCGCAACGCGCGTCGCTTTGCTGCGTTTCGTTTCTGAGTCTTCGTTAACGAAACGGGTTGCGCGCCTTGCGTTAGTTCCGTCTCTTGTACCGAAACCGAAGGGCCAGCCGAACTGTCAAACCCTGTTGCTCGGGTTTTCCCAGTCGTCGGCTCTTCGGAACTGGGCACCGACACGCGACGAGCTGCGGCGCGCGAAGTTGCTTGAGGGCTCTCGGAGCCACTAGATTCAGCAATTGGATCCGCAGCAACGGTTTCAGTCGTTGTTTTCTTCACTACTTGCACTGCCCCTTTCCGCAGCGCGCGGCTAACTCGATGGATAGCGTCGCCAAGTTTCTCAGGATTCGACTCCCCCACGAAAGCAATCTTATACCTCGAGCGTTCCATGTTTTAAACTACTCATATTGTTCTTTATTCGTTATACCGTCCAGCCGTCTAGTAAGGAGTTATCTACTCTTTCTTTCTTTACTTCTTTACTCCGACGAGGCCCAGCGAGACCGGGGGACAGCCCGTATATGATCAATAACAAAGGTAGGGAAAACCTTCAAAAGCACTTCATGCACTCCGTTACGTATCGTGGATCTAGGGCCACGCTTTAATCCAAAGAATCGGCTCTCGCGGACGATCTTACTGCTGCTAACTTTCTCGCATCCTTCGTTCAAAAGTTGTTCACGTTTAACGCGAAGGCACTCGGACCGTTTGGTTGGCACGAGGTCAGCGTTACGATCAACGACACTACCACCCGCAAATTGGAAATATTCTAAATACAGTCCACCGGGAGATCTAAAATAGTCGCGACAGGCGGCCCCTTTAGTTTGGATCTCGGTCCAGATCAAGGACCTGGAAGAACTGAGGGCATGTTTAAACAACTCGGACAATTTTCCCGCTGCGAACGAACAAGTATTATATTCTAAACGATCGCCAAAGGTATATTCTCCGACAAGTTGCCCCACTGAGATTCGGGCGGCTGTAACAGAAGTGGGTAAGCCAGACACGGTGAGGCGTCCGTCTAACAAAAGCTGTTCCCTTCTCAGTGCGAGGAGTTCAGCACAACAATAGCCAGTATCTTCTTATTTATTTTCGATCGTATCTATTCGGTCGTATAGTTCCAAGCTGGTCTTCTTCACCAAAACACGAACCCCCTTCGGGGTCTGTGCGCCTAGCTCTTGGATTTCTTCCAGCGAAGGTCCAAAGTGAGCCCTTGCCGGACACACAGAGCCAAAAAATGTTTCCAATAGTTCGCGCAATATTTCAAGCTCGTGGCACAACGCAGCAACTCTAAAACCTTCTGATAAATCGTAGCCAACTTCTTCAGTCGGTGCTTTGAACCCTAGCTGCATGCTAAACTTTGCTAGTCTACTTCCTTCTTTAGTTACTGTATCAGCTAACCGTCCACCACCCGTTCTCCACCACTTGGTTAAGTAAAAGTGGCTGAGCGATACTCTGCTCGGGATCTTGGAAGGCGGAAAGCTAGACACAGAACACCGAGTCTCTAGGACCTGCACTATCGTTTATAGCCACTTCTTTGGACTCAACAGCTACAGCTTTGGCTTGTTCGGTTGACGAAGGTCTAGCCTACTTATAGCGCACGGTGTGGAAAAAGGGTTGGCGGAGGCCTAACCTAAACAACTCACGGTCTTTGTGGTTCGTTTATGTCCTTCCAAAGCGTCGCCTTGGTGTGGGTCTGTGTTCAAGTCCCGACGAAGGTCTGGGATCAAATATGTAGGGGCTCTTCGTGGTTCGAACTACTAACAACAACACTGCGCGGAGGCGTCAGTGACTAACTCCTTGCTGCGCGAAGGCGTCAACGACTACACTTACAGCTGCGCGGAGGCGTCCGCAACAATAGTACAAGCAAGCTTATGCTTCAAACGCTCGCTACGAACTAGTTACTTTCTCAATATCTTGTTTAGTTCTTATCTTATGGCTGGACGGTGTTCAGCTATGTGTGGCTCTAGTTTTGGATATAACTATGCTTGCAAAGGATGGCAGGCTATGCTTCAATATCGGAGATCAGTCAATAATTCGTATGGTATACACTCAGGCCAACGGGCTTACCAAGTGATTTACAATCCTAAGCTTGGCTGGGTGTGGGTTGTGTGAGGATTTGTTGAGGCTCTTGAACTTTCGATCTATGTTTCTCCAAGTGAAATGCCCAACAACTTCATACACAACCGTCTCTCGTTCAACAAATTCAAATTACTACTTGGCCATCAAACAGCAAGCTTCAGACTCAGGGTCGACTTCGATCACGGTTTCGATCATCGCACGCGTTGAAGTTTCCACGTTTGAAGTCGACTTTCTTTGCATGCATTTGGTTCGGATCTTCGATTCGTGTTCTGATTTGCTATTTCTTCTTTCCGACCGATATCTGGATCCTGTCTAGATTTGGCTACCGCCTTCCAATCACCACCTTAGAGTATGTCGTCTACCAGTTCACATACAATCGACCACAAGACTGTCGGCAGACGTGGGCGGGCTCCTCGAGGCGCGCCTCGAAAGACCAGCCCAGCCATCAACAAACTAGAAGGAACCGGCAACCCCACAAGAATAAGGCAGAGACTCTGCCCCGACACGGCGAGCAAACGACTTCCCCAACATCCCTCCCCACACGAAATCGCCCTGCATATAGCCGAAAAACAGAGGCAGAATAGACCTGCCTCCGGCTTCAAGCCATCCGGATGAGCGCGCCACAATATCACACGCCAAGCACTTCCCTAGCCCCCCCGCACGTCGCGCCCCCTAATGCGTGACCCCGGTACACATCACACCGATAACCCCCCACACGTGACACTCCTCAACACGTGACACCACCACACACCCCACACGCTATCTAATACACCCCCGGGCGACAAGGTTGCCGACGCGTGACGCTGTCACACCCCTCGAGGCGTGGCGCCGGCACATGTCACGGCAATACCCCCCCCCCACACATCATGCTCCCCGACACATGGCACCGCCACACGTCACACCTCCAACCCCTCGCGCGTCCCACTCCTTAAACCGTGGCGCCGTCACACGTCACGACAAGGACAATGCCCACACATCACGCTCCCAAGTGCGCCACGCCAGCACGTGTCACAATACTGACCCCCTGCGCGTCACGATCCACCTCGCGCTCGGCCGTCACATGTCACACCAATAGCCCCACGCGCGTCACACTCCCAAACGCGTGGCGCCGTCACGTGTCACGCTGGCAACCCTTCGCCCACCACGCTCCCCAACGCCTGACGCCGGTAGGTGTCACGCTAATACCCCCACAGCGCGTCACGCTCCTCCGGTGGCCGCGGCGCCCGGGGGGTTCCACGGGCTTCCCCCTCCCACCTTCTTTCCTGCTTGTTTTCGTAAAGTCGTCAACGGACCCCCCGCAACGTCTCACCGGCAACCCTCTGGCAAAACCTTCACTCCCTCGGCACCCCCTTGACGAGGTCTTTCAAGAAGCTGCCCTCGGGAAATTTTCCAACCACGACCCCCCAACGAGTCGCTTGGCGTAGTCACGTCCTCAAAGTCTTTCAATCCTTATCCCTATAACGTCCGTCGGGATGGCTATTTCTGGGAAAGCGATCAAGGAGATCCCCCACGCAGGCAGACGCCCCTGTCGCTACCACTGTCACAGATACCCTTGTCAAACTCCACAGATGCACACTTACGCTTGCTTCGCATACGGGTGCTGAGCTGGATGAAAGAAGAGACGGCTTCGTCTGTTAGCAACTTCAGTAGCAAGCGTCTCCTGGTATCTTTACATAAGTAGATCAAGATAGTGGCTTTTTCCCTAACAAGGATGAATGATGAAGGTGAGCGTGAGAAGGGCAAGGGCAAAGATGAAGTAACTTGTAGATTACTTTATTTTACAACAACGGGGGAGAGGGTGGGACGGTAGAGCCAGAGGTAGGGGTAGCACTGGTCGGAGGTAGTCAGATGATAGAGATGAAAACGAGACCGGGCAAACCGATGAGCGGTCAGCACAGCGCGGACGAAAGGAGCATCCAAATGGACTTAAGCACGCCCTGCGTCCATGAGCTCCCGGCATCTCAAGGTAAGGGCCACATGCGAGTATCTGTATCGACCTTCGACAGACACTGACTTGGAGACGCGTCGGCCCCTTTTCCGGATTTCGCCACGTCACTAACCCAAACCAACTGACCCTGCCACTCACCTTAGGGAAACACCCACACCAACACACAGTCCAGCGACGTGAGGCGCTGTGGCATTCCGCTCCGCGTGGTTCATCCAACCAAACGAACTAGGCATCTGGATCTGCATCTGCCTGGCTTCTACCATAAAAGCCTTCACATCGAACGACCAATCACACCAGTCCGCAGTCGCAGAACTTCAGAGGAACTCCCCCGTCAGTGTCTTGGCAAGCTTTTCGCGGGTGGTACCGGTGTAGAGCGTCGACCTCCACCACTTTGTACGGTTTTCCGCTGCGTCCGCGGCTCTCGTTGTTCAGGTCCACGCTTAGAGACCACAAAAAGTTCTCCTCCACGGAGTCCAAGAAGGGGGGCGAGACAAATGCCCACCGCAGATGAATCAGTATCCGATGACAGTCCCAAAATCCCAAAAGGAAACGGAAGCTAGCACAAATAGACAACCTGCGAAAGTAGAAGAAGAAGAAGCAGTGGCAGAACCAGCGGCAGCCTTAACACTTCTTCCAAAGTTATTTGCCATCTTGAGCGTGCGACGAGCGTCCTCAGCTCCAGCTTTAGCATTTTCCGAAATCGCTTGTCAGGTCCACGCTTTGCCAATAGGTGATTGTAGCCCGAAATTAGAGTCGCGGGCAATAAAATGGACAGAGCGATCCCCCCTTTTGGGCGTGGTACTTTTGCCTCGTCCCCCCGGTATTTGTGCCTTTTAGCTTTCCCTTGGATTCGTCTAACCCCTGTGGACACAGCTTTTTCCGCTTCCCCTTATCTGTTCGAGCTCTTCACTTCCAAGCTACTCTTATAGGACTGAGGGGGACTGCGTCTGAGGCTGCTACCACATGGGCGAAAATGCTGAGAGACTGAGGTGGAGACGCATGCGAAAATAAACTGGCCATAACATTTCTACAGGCTCTTTTTTCATGGCAGAGTCTATAATAGTGCCATCTTTTGTGACTAGCCTGCAACCTTTTCTGATGGGTCTCTCTTTGTCACAAGCACTCGCCTGGCCCTTGATCGTGGAGTCTGCACCCCTGCGGCCTTTCTCCTTCAGTCGGGTCGTTGGATCGCCTTTCCCTGTCCTTTCTCGGTGGTGGAAAGAGTTTAGAAAGTCGATAGCCGCTTCCCATGCTCGAGCAGTGTCCGGGTCATGCGCGTAGTTTGTAATAGGCTCCCACGCGTTGCACACACACGACTGACGAGATATTCCTGCTTCCTCACAGGTGCGATTGGCAGGGACTTCGACTGCCAGAAGGTTGAGCGCGGTCGAGGCGCACCCTTGTTTTTCCTCTGTTCCTCCACTTTCAGTCGCACTCGTGGAAGTTGGGGAACGTGGTGTGAACGATTCCACTTATGGGGGGCGCCGACATGGTGGCACCCTGCCCCTTTTTGTTTTTTCTTCAGAGTTGTTAGGAGCAGCGCCACCAAATTTTTGTCCCCAATTAGTGGCGCCATAATCGCTGCCACATCAGCAAAGTGATGAAAACACCGCCGCCAGTAACGTGGGTCGCCAATCATAGCAGGCCAGCCCTGCATTATAGCCAATGCCGTTAAATGGAAATCGTACGCAGTCACCAGTCTCCTCTGATTTTTCTCAAGGCGAAGCAGCGCCGCGCGGTCTTCCCGTAGACGCCTCGTTAGAGCTGTACGCTTCTTCTAGACACTTCAAAATCAAAACGGAAATCTATGGAAGGTTGTAGCTGCGTTAACTCATCGAGCCTCACCCAGGAGAAAAAGAAAACCACACGAACGACCCCCCTACGGAGTTGCATGCCCCTGGGGGTGATCCCTATCCCCAGAGATACGTGCCCCGCACGCAGGGCCAATCGGCACAAGGGGCTGAAAAGTAGACAAGACGCACGGAAAACCAAAGAAAGCACCGGGGCCCGTCAAGCGAAGCCTACTGGCCTACCCCTCGCGGAAGTTCGACCGAGCATGCCTGGCATTGCCTGCATGTCGTAGGCTGGAACTATGGCCAGCAAGCCCAGAAACAAACGGGGGCCCTCCGGACTTCGGTGGGCGTGGGTGCGTGGCGCTGCCTCGCACGCTTAAGACTAGCAAAGGCGGCGGCTTCTCTTAGGACTTGACGCAGGCACCCGATGGGGCTAGGTACTGTGTAGCCATGCGACCGGCACTGCCGCGGCCAGCTTAAGTTAACTACACCCAGCTCCGCTAGTTCTGGCCAGAGCCCGTTTCCACTCCACACCTAGCACCAACCTGCCCGGAATGGCCAGCCTGCTGGCTATGGAACAGCTAGGCCACCGACTTAGCCGGGCTCGGCACTTAGCAACCAGTGAGGCACAAGCCAGACGAAACATGCGCGGCCACTGCGTCTTAGGTTTTCCATCCTTCATCTTCATTTTTGCGGGCAAGATCTTGCTCGGCGCTCTATGCTCAGTAAATCCTAGACCGACCAGCGCCCCTTGCGCCTGCGTTACATGGTGTATCAAACGTGTAATAATACAAGAGTCGACCCTGGTCTAGTACAGCGTCATCTTGGATGTGTCCAAAAATGTACAGAAATCATCGGCAGGGGCCTTAAGTTCATCAAAGAGCCAGGCAAAAGCAGAGCCATCAATGGCAAGAGGCGCTCAAAATCGGAGCCAGGGTACTTCTTTACGTTGTTTTCCCATCGATCGAGGTACCCGTACCCATGGTCGGCGACGAGCCATGTGATCAAGTCGGGCGTACTCATGGTCGACGAGGACACATTGACGCCAAGTTGCTGCTTTTTGTTGTACGCACGGCGCAAGAAGTTGAGGGCTAGGTCGTCAACCTGATTCCCATCTGGCCAGCGGTTGTGTGCCTGGCCAAACTTGACACTCACAAGTTTGGGGTCGTCTTCGTCACCGGGATGATGCAGAAACTGTAGCGCTTCTTCGATCTGCGTTGCTATAATGTGACGATCGCCAACGCACTGCATTTTGCGCATTTCGTGAGCAGCCCCAACGGGGGGCTGGAGATAATCATTCCACACGTCATTGCTTGTTCCCGTTGCAAACTGGACATTGCTAAAATCAGTGAGCGCGTTCATGTGTCCCATGCCTCCTTCACACCCAAGAAAAACCCGGTGACCTGTATGCACAGCCTCATCCCAAAGCCAGTGCGATGAAGATCGCAAAAAAGAGTGACTAGAGGCTACGCCTTCTCCTTTGTGCTCATGCAAAAAAACCGTTTTCGGCCCGCCATATTTCGCGCTTTCGAAGTGTATTTTTTAGAGCTGACCCGAGTCCATCCCTGGATCATACATAACACGAATTCAGATCTTTGCTTGTCTAGAGATACTACGCCCTTGGAGTCACAGAAGAGATGGAGCACAAGTGCGGGCCTTAGATTGCAGCTGCCCTTTGCTTCGCAACGTACCGCGCCTGTGCGTCATCAAGGTCCACACCATCAAGCTGAGTGCGAGTGTGCTTCTGCACGGAAAGAGCACTCAAGGCAAAATTATTTAAGGGAACACCGGCAAACATGGGCATCGTGTTCTGCTGTGTGCTCATTCCTTCAGAGACATAGCGGGTAAACGCGAACAGCCTCGAGCCCGACAACTGCGACCCTCCGCCACCCTCACTGCGTGCACCCTGCTGCAGAAAATCGACTGTACGGGACCAGCCAAGATTATTCCGAAAGAATGCCGCCCGCGCCATTGCGTCAGGAAAAATGTGCAAAATGGAATACTTCTTATTGTTCTTGCCTTCGTCTTGGGCTTGTGGTTTTGCGCTGCTTGTTGCTTTTAAAATTTGGCGCCTCTTGTCTACATCCTGAAAAGATTTGGAGCGTACGTTTAGATGCTTCCCACACCTAAATTGCAGCTGTGTCGCGTTTTCGGGGTTAAAGAATACCTCCAACGAATTCCATACCCCTTTCGCCGCTGGCGTGGTGCGCACTCGAGGGTCCCCATCTTTGGGGATAGGTGAGACCCGTAGAAGCCAAGCGAGCCGTGACGCCGCTGACGTCTTTGGGTGGAGTTTATGCGCAGTGTGGGGCGGGATCCAGAGCTCCCATGGCTTCACACGAGGCTGAACCTCAAACTCCTCCACATCCGCGAGCCCAGCGCTGCTCAGTGCTTCCTGAAAAACGCGTTGCGTAGTTGTATAATTCGTCACCTCCCTCTTGCGCACAATTTTCCAGAACGTATCTCCATTACTGATGTGTAGCCACTCGCTTGCCTGACAGTGCACCATAACAGAACTCGCATGGCCACTGGAAGAAGTAGTGCCATTGCTCTGCTGTGCGTTATGGCAGGCCTAGCCAACGCGATATTGATTTTCGCAACGCGTTATAAATGGGGGCTAGCTGTTGACAGATGTCCCGGCTGTGTCGAAGCGACTGGCCCCCATAATTAAAATTAAATCAAGGTTAAGGTTGCAAATAATTTAGAACGGGAGCGAGTACTTCTTACACAGAGGCTTTGGCAAGCTGGAGCTAGCGCAGGCAGTTATCGAAGGAGCCTCCTGGCAGGCCTGCTCCTGCATTCTTCTGCGGCTATGCGTCCTGATCGGAGCTAAGCCTCCTGTGGCTTCAACAAAGCCGCAACTCAAATCCCAGGCAGTTTGTTCCGCGTCTACGATGCCAGCGATCAATCTGCAACAGCAACCCAGCAGCCTTTTCAACTGCTCGCCAAATTTAGGATAGGTGGCTACCAATTCAGTTAACTATTGAAAATTCAAAAAAGTTTATAACGTGCTGCGGTAGACAAAATAAGGCGCTAAGCCTGCCATAAGCGTGGTCATGCGCGAAGGTTGGCGTATCACTGTCACACGCTTTCCAAGCAACGGGTGGGACATCTGTTATCCGTCCTAAGGTTGGCATGCTGCATGTACTATCAGTAGGAGGAGAGATGTCATCCGTGAACACATCTCCGTCTGTATGCTTCTCTGCGTCTGCTGAGGTGGCCTCGGCACTGAAATGGGGCGGCGGATGCTTCACCCAGCCCGGACCTGTCGGCACGGACTTCTCTTCACGCGAAGCCGAAGCGGGTCGAGGCGATACAGTGGCGACGTGCCGCAGTCTTGTTCCCAATGCATTACGCCGTGAAAGACGAAAGCGGGCAAAGCTGTGGGCGCTTTCATTATTTAGCAGCCGCGCCGATCTTCCTTTCTCACGGCAATGCCAGTGCGCTGCGAGATAGACGAAGGAAAGCACTGAGATCTGCGCCAAGTTCCCCATCAAAGCGAAAGCCAAGCTAAAAGGCGTGCGCCACACCAAGCCCTAGGATCTGCGCCAGCCTAAAAGGCTTCGCAAGGTTCTTCTACTCCCCCGAACTTCAGCTGGCAGGGCACTTAGTTACTGCAGGCCCACCCAGGAAAAAAAGGAAGGCATCGGCCTCAGCAGCTCCCTCGCTTCGGTAGGCTCTGGCCCCTTTTCAAAAGCGGCGCGCGCACGTGATGCAACCAAGCATGCTGCCAAAGAACACACACCTGTCGCGGATGCCACTGCCGAATGGCTTTGCCCAGAGGCCCAGCCGTGAAGCAAATTCTTTGAGGTATTCGCTGCTTCCCCTAGTGGCAGTTGCGTAAATATTTGCGACTCATCTCGTCACCGAAATATGCAAACATCAAAGCAAGAAGTATCTCAGTGCGGCGCGCGCCTTCCTCTTGGAATGCATCTAAACAAGCTTCCGAATTAAGCGGCTCGCAGATGCGAGGAAGCGCTCGCATGCGTTGACTTCCACTCATGCACACGAGGGCAGACTGCTTGAAAGCGACTAGTGTTGGCTTGCAGGCCTTGCACTAGAAAGCTTGCCCTCCGCACGAAGCGAGAGACATGTCACGAAGCTATTCTGTAGTAGGAAGGGAGACGGCAGCGCAGTTGCCCTTCCACTTCTCAGGCGCGCTGGCTTTGGTTCGTTAAGCTTCCACTTTTGGTGCTGCGCACAAAAAAAACACATGACACAAGAGAAAAAGCCGACGACGGTGGCCATTAGCATATGACTCTGAAACTGCACGCACCATTCTCACCACCTTCTGGGATCTCTAACACGATGAAGACAATTTTACCGAAACGAGACTAGCCTGTCTTTTTCGACGTTCCTGGCAACTCTCAGGGAGGGGCCAACGCATGAAGGCGAGGCCGAGTTCTGTGGCCAATGCAAGTCGCTGAACACTGCTTCTAACAATCACCGCGACGAGAATTCGACGGGAGTCCTCGCCCGTGTCATTGTATTCCTCACATGCCAACCCCAACCCCTAGTGCCAGCAGACTCCCCCAGCGCGGTCTCTTGATTGTGGGTCGTCAAAACTTTGACTCAGAAACAAAGCGAGCCCCACGCCCCGCTTAGAAAAGCGGCAGAGTATTTGAGGCGCAGCGCGTGTCGCTTAGAGAGAATCGCAAACTCGACAGAAGAAACGAAGAAACCAACACACCAAAAAAACAAAGCCATCAAGCTTTGTAAAACACGAAGAGAACGGCCTCACGCCAGCAAGACCAACGCTCGCCCCAAATGAAATTGCGGCGCGCTTACTTCAAAACGCACAAGCGGCGCACGGCCACGGACTGAAAGGCACCAACGTGGAGGAACGAGGGGCGACCTGGCTTGGCTTGCCTTGCCTTGATGCGCCCAGCGATCGGGTGGGGCGGGATTCCGTCTCCCCTTGTCTCCATAATCCTCAAGGGGTTGCCCCTCTTCAAAGGATTATAAAACCCCAACCCCACCCCGCAAAGAGGGCGCGGAACTCCAGCCGCCAACCCTCCGGGGGACCCCAGGAAACAAAGTGCGGCGCTTGCCCCTGGCACCCGCCTCCCCAACGAAGCGAGGGGCGGAGCAATCCGGGCGGCCGGCAGCTTTCCACGGTTCCTCCTCTGCGCACCTGTTGCGAAAAACGGGGCCAAGAATCCACCACCGCCACACGCCTTCGCAGTCAGGCGACAACGCTCCGCCAGCCATCAAGCAATGGCAAAGAGCCACAAACGATAGACAACCCGGGCCGAAAGCATATGCCAAACCAAGTGCGCCGCAATAAGCCACACCCAACAGAAGCGGCCCCCACGCTGCCTGCTGCCTCCCTACAATGGCTTTGGCGCGGGAAGCTCTCCGCCCTCGTTCTCGGCACGTTTGGGGGCCGTGGCACGATTGAACAGCAGCAGCGTGGCGCCGCAGCCAGCTAGATACGTAGCCCACGCAGGCAAAGTTCCCAACGATTCTTGGGTCTTCTGAGCTTCTAACGCTGGTCACCACTCTTCACCCAGCTGCCCTGGCTGCGTGTGCAGCAAGAGCAGTGAATTTGTGGCCAGCCTGTTCTGGCCAGTCTTGCCTTTTTGCGGCCATACGCTTCGCCGCTGGTTGTGCAGTTACAGTCCGCTTCTGTGTCATGGTCCTTAGCCTGTTGGCTTGGTTAGATAGTGCCTGCCTGATCTAGCTTGAAAGAGTTCAGAAAGCGGGAGGAACACTGCGGGAATGGAAACTGCGACGAGCTTTGGAAGGGCTATGACGTTCGGGCGGACCCTTAGCATCTTGTTCTGTAAAGCGAATTTCTGCCCTTTGCAGCCACGTCGCCGAACTCGAAGTCGGTGGCGAACCACTTGGAGGAGTCGCGGGCTTCACACCTGAGGGCCGGGCTGTCGTTGTTCTTATGGCGTGATCCAAAATTTCTCGTCGCTCCACCACGGTGGAGGGCCGCTACAGGTGCTCTGGCTTCTTCGATGTCACCGCGGAGTCCGCTACCGCTTGCATGTCACCCATAAAGTCACCGCAGCGCGACAGTGTGGCACTTGCTTCTTTTCTCGTCACATCTTGCTCCGCAGACGGTTCTACACTGGTCGAGCCACAGCTGTGGTGGAATGTATTTGGCCACGGCCCACACTCGGGATACTCCCTTGCCGACCAAGAATACATCCCTGCTGTTATCTCTGGTTCTGTGCACTAGACAGCTGGCAACCCGTCGAAGACAGCCAGCTGAGCAGCCCAACGCAGGTGCGCCAGGTCCTCCAACGGGGGGCTCACTGCGATTCACAGCTCACCGTTTTAGCTTATTATAGAGAACTATTTTCAGACGAGGGGCCAGCTCCGATACCGAGCTCAAAGCGTGCGACTTCGTCAAAACTTCAACACTCGGGTGTATAGATGTCGCGCCCCTCGTGCTCCTTGCAGCCAAACAAAATAAACAAGAATGGCTTCGTCCTCTTGCCCCGCCCTTGTCTCGAAACTCTCACTCGGACGCCTCCGTGGAATGCCGAGGGTAGTAGCGTGATCTTCAAACGCAACAGAAACGGCAAACGCGTCGCGCAATATATTTGCAGCCAGTGTGTAGCGTAGATTTCGGGTTCGACTTTATGCGTGGATTCAGTCTTTTTCGAAAATTCTTGGATCTTCCTCTAATATAAATATATTAAAATCCACTCACTACGATCGAAGACCTTACATGACATGATAACATTGGGACAAGTGCGCGAATGTGACGCACAGTGATGAACACAAGGAGCAGACAACAACACGCGACACGCGTCGCGACCGAATAGTCATCAACTAATCGTGGCCCTTGTAGTTCGGCACCGGGCGGCACCGTCGCACGCATAGCCATGGGTCTTCACATCCAGAAAGAAGAAAGAATGAACAGATAAAAACACCAGGGAAGGAATTTAGAAGCACTGAAATGGCAGCGCCTTTATTTATATTGTTGCGCCAGAGCGCGGGGGTTGTAGAAGGGGAAAGCTTCGACAATAGTGGGCTGCAGGACAACTCGGGAAGAGTATCTCTTAACCATGTCTGAGGACCAGTTTGCCAAAGTAGAGATAATAGTGTCACAGAGACCGGCGCGCAGGAGCACGCACACTCCGCCCACGCGGGTCGAGTGCGAGCTATAAAGCTTGCGCTTCTTCCCTTCGGCAGCGTTCTCGACCCCGGCTTTCGCAAGCAAGACATCCAGGCCCCGCATGAACTTGCTGTACGTAAGCGCACAGACAGCGGCATCGACAGCGCAACCTCTCTCAGCCGCCCGGGCTTTCAGGAGGGTGAAAGCAGCGACGGGGCAAGCCCTAACGATGCCTTTGTTGGACCGGAGAGCAGGGATCTGGAAGTCCTCCGGGGCCACTCGCTCGAAGAAAATAGTCAGAGACTTCTGGCGCTTTGAGCCTTTAAGGTTCGACACCTCCACAGAAGCCGAGTCCTCATCGCAAAGGACGTCCTGGTACCGGATCGAGAGGAAAGAATCCACCCGGGTTAGAAGGAACAGGCTGCAGAGCAGTGCAAGCACGATATCAAAGTCGACATCCGTCTCCGAGGCTTCCGCGAGCTTGGACAAAAGCGCGAACCGCATGGGCTCACACTGTTCAGCGTCTGGAAGGCCTCTCTCTAATGCGTTGAGCATTTCCTTTAGGGAGGGGACGCCGTCTGCGAATTCGACGCCGGAAACGCGCCGCGACTCCCTCAGAATCGCATGGACATACACGCCGGGATTGCAGTAGACGTTCGAGTAATCGAGAAAGGCGCAAAACTTCTCCAGCTTTTCGGTGGATACAGGAAACGGGGCGATCTTCTTCGGCAAGCAGAAGGACGAGGTGTACAAGGCAATGCCGGGAGCGTAAGTACTTGCGGTCTTCGAGGAAACAAACTTCCCTCTGAAAGCCGTGAGGGCGACCTCGTCAGACACGCTGTTAACTACTTCCTCAAAGGTGGCTACTTGCTTAGTTCTGCACTTCTTGGCGCTCGGGGCGACCGTCACAGCAGCACCACTCCGCTTAGTAACACTAGGAGAGACGGCGCGAAAAGATGAGGCGTCGTTCTTGTTGCTGCTCTCGGTTGCAGCGAATCTGCGCACCGCAGCACGGACGTCGGCACACACATCATCTGGGACTGCGACGGGAAGATACTCCTTTCCCAAAGAGAGGAAATCAACTGGCACGAAACTAGGCGGCAGCAGAGAGAAGCTCGCCAAGAAACCCTCAAAGTCGCAAGGCCCCCAACTCGCGAGCGCGTTGCCAGGGCCGGACGCTCGAGTACGTTCAGCCGCCAAGAATGCGCGAAAGCCTTCCATTTTCGTCTAAAACTACTCCAAGCCACTCGAGAAAATCTATGGAGAACTTACTACAAGCGGGGCGGGTGGGCGGGAGAAGAAGAAGCCTAAGCTACTCTCTCCACATGACCTTCGTCGAGATTAGCTGGCATTTAACATCAATTTTATTTCAGATATTAGGAGGATGACGAAATAAAATTCCAATTAAAATCCACTCACTACGATCGAAGACCTTACATGACATGATAACATTGGGACAAGTGCGCGAATGTGACGCACAGTGATGAACACAAGGAGCAGACAACAACACGCGACACGCGTCGCGACCGAATAGTCATCAACTAATCGTGGCCCTTGTAGTTCGGCACCGGGCGGCATCTTATTCCCAACGCCGTACTAAGCACGTCCCAATGCCAGGGTCTCTTTCGTTTCATTTTACCATTATAGAGGCCGCCATAGCTGCCTAGAACACATATAATATTTGAATTTGATTACCTGGGCCCCTCACGTAGAGGAGGGAACCAGCGCAACCCTAACGGGGTGGGAGTCGACTGTTATGCAAGACGTCACGCCAATTGTTGAGGCTTCTGCGAAGTCAGTGTCTAAGTAGCACTACACTGAGAGACTCGCCGCATGCTTATAGGCATGCGGCGAAGATGCATCAACGGAGGAGCCATACTCAAACAAGTAAAACGCTGAGGCGGGTTCGACTCATCATGCCGTCTGTGGTAGGTTCGTAGCCAGTCCGCAGCCGCACTATCCTGCTGCCGATCGGCGTCCCAGCTCCTCGCATGCAGCTCCTGAAAGAGGTTGACATTATGAGTGAACTTCCCCAAAGGTGGGACTGGGAAGAAGCGCGAGGGGATTGTAAGCGGTTACTACTGACCAACCAATTAGGCCGAGGCCCTCGGTTTCCTTGACCTCCGGCCCGCGGTGGCGCGAGCATGGATCAGACGGGTTCGAGCGGGAATCGACCCGCTCAAACCACGCGTGTGTCTGCATCATTGCTAACAGCTTCCATATCTCACCGATGACGTCATCGACCCCTAAGTGACGCGAACGGCCCCGCGTAACGCTCCCCTGCAGGTTGTTGTTGTCAACAAAGAACAAAACCTGGGCCCCGTCGAGGTCGAAGACCTCCACTGCGATCTTAAGCGCCAACGCCTCCAGGTATGCGATGCTAAGGTGGTCACACCTGGGGACGTCGACGCGGAAGTACTTGGCTTGCGGTGAGTTAGGGTCCAAGCATAGCCCACCAAAACCAATCTCCGACGCGTCCGTATATACGATCCTCCTGCGCGGCGGTTGCTCCTCGACGGAAGCGGGCAAGAAGCGTTCCCAAACGTTTCCGCCAAGGTCCTTTTGCAGCAATTCCTGCCACCACAGGAGGGCCCGGCGCAGGCACTTATTCAGGGGAAACCCGGGGAAGGGTTGCCGCTGGTGCGCTCTTGCGTACAGTGGCCCAAGGTATTTGCGGCCCACTCGCCCGAACAGAGCGGAAGTAGTGAAGCCGAGTTTCCCCACCAAAGTGTGAGCCTCGGCGGGCGACATGGCGTCTCTCTGCAGGTGGTCCTCAACGTAGTGCCGCAGCTTCTCCCGTCGGTGCTCGCTAACACTAACCGCCACGCCGAGCGGAAGGGCGCGAATCACCAGCCCGAGGTAGATCACCTCGGCCCCGCGCTCCGTCTTTTCCGGGTTGAAGTCGGTGTGTAAGACAGTGGGCCCGAGGAATTCGAGCAGGTCCGCCAGGGCTGTCTCATCTTCCAAGAAGCAAGGCGCTATGAAGTCATCATAATAACACAGCAACGGAGTCCGAAGGAGTCTCCGGACCACCCTAGTTAGCGTGACGCTGAGGGCATTGTAATGCAAGACCGAAAGTGCCTCTCCGAACAACAGTCTGTCAGCGAGGAAAAAGCGGAGGCATCCTTCGGGGTCCCTTGCGATAATGAGTCGCGCCACCACAGAGTTATCTGCACGCAGTTGGCGATACGCCTCCGAGTGGTCCGCTTTCATGGAGCCAACAGGCCGCCCCTGTGCCTTTCCGACGCACCTCGCGAGGAGGTGCGCATACCAGTCCACGGTTGGCAGCTTGATCGGGGTATAGACAAGGCTCGCTTTATTGATCAGAGCCGTGCGACCGTTATCGACGGCCCTGCTCTTCCATATCCAGCCCGCCTTGTCCGATTTCAACTGCTTACAGTGGAAACGCCTGAAAAAGACGCACGGCAATTCGCCAAGCGCTGCTGCATCAACTTCTTGGGCATAGCCTTTGGCTACTTCATCCTGTAAAGATGACCAGATGAAATCACGCGCTTCTTGGGAATCCTGTAGGAGCGCCCTCTCAGCCTGCCGACGAACATCTCCCTGGGAGTCCAGCAGCTCCCGCACCGTAATCCCAGGGCTCGAGAACTCGAGGCGTTCGTCTGCAGCGAAGATGTCTGGGTACCCGTGCTTCCCAACCATCGGGAAGCGCGAGCGCAGTCCTTTGATCAGGTCCGGGACCTCCTCCAGACCACACAAGCCGGCGTCTCGCATCATATGCAACAACAGTTCCGAATTCACCCCGACATCTTTAGCGGGGTCGAAAGGCATGGCCGCAGCCCGTTGCCGATACTTCGCGATCGTCTCCCGACGGTGTCGCTGCGCGGTGTGGATATCGCCCTTCATCATTTCGTCCGCCACAGCGCATAGCTCGTGCGGTGCTGCTCCGTTGGCGTCGAAAACGACACAGACCAGGTCGAGGGCAGCGTCAATATGGGCTGTGGGCTCCAAGCCCGACGCGATAGTGCAATAGATGCCACGCTGCTTGCCTGTCCACCCTACGTCCGCGCCATCCTTCACGCGGCAATAGGGGCTTTTGGCAACCTTCGCGGAGTCAGGCTCGCTGCCTACTGGAATCGTATCTGAGTGCAAAGTTATTGGTCGAGGCGGCGTGGGGCGCACCCCGGGCGCGAAGTAGCGCCTTAATTGCGAGAGCCCGCTGGCCAACGGTACGCATTGCTCCAGGAAGGCAGCGTCGTGGACGTTAGGCCCTCAGTTCGCGCACCCATGGCGCGACAAGAGGGCCCAACGTCCTCGTAAGGCGTGGCCCGCTTAAGGACGTTAGGGCAACATCTCGAGCAACCAAGGCGCGAGATGAAGCGCTAGCGTCCCCATACGATGGCGCGCTTAGTTTCCCCGAGGAGCGCCACGCAGTCAGGCCGGGCCATACCAGAGTAGCCTAGTCTTTGGCAGAAGCACCCATGTAGACACACACTCAACGGAACAAGAAACCAGAGCGCATGCCCGGTGGTTCGCTTGGCTTCCTCAAGACGCGACGGAGACCAAGCCGGGCCGCTGATGGGCTGCGTTAAGAAGCACGATCTTGTCAAATAGATACTTGGCAAAGATATGTACGTAGACACAAACGCCGCGCCCCGAGGTGCGTAGCTGCGTCCCCGTGCTATTTTTGGCCACTGGGTAGCCATCGAGCAGATATAACTAAGACGGTACCCGTCACAAAGTCGAAATAAATTTTACAGGTAGTACTGTTGAGGTAAAAGCGAAAATGATAAGTACACTGAGGCTGCCCAGGCCCAGCTTTCGGGGCTGGTGCCGGTGGCTTGCCCACCGGTTTCGAGTGCGAAGGCTGTCCTTTCTGACCAGGAGGAAATCCTTGCGGGCCCCCTCCATTATTTGGGGCCGGGTGCGCGCTAGCCGGCGGTGGTGGCGGCCCGGGATAAGGCGCATAACCCGCCAAGGAATTGTAACCGGGTTGCCACAGATCCGCATACAGCAAGCCTTTACCTCCGCGCCCACCTTTGGGGGCTCCGGACTTGGGCTTCTTGAGTGGCGGACCTCCCGCCGGGCCTCCCCCGCCACCAGGCGTTTTCTGGATCGGGTTGGTAGGCTTCGTTTCGAAACGTTTCTCGTTCGCGAGATCGTCCAGAATCTCCTGGTCGCGACGCATGAACGAGTTTTCGAGTACTTCCGCGGTCATTAAACCGGCGCGCCCCAGCTTCGTACGCAGCCGCACGTCGTATTCCTTCGCCAGGCTCACGCCGTGATGCAAGGCGATATGACCCAGGACACCAGCATACCCAACCACAACGAGCGCCACGAAATGTGGACGGAACACGCCACACATCCCGGCGGTGAGCAGGAGGCGCTGGAGTGCTGCGGAATGGACATGGAAGCCGAGATTTAACTTCTTCAGCTTCGCCGTCGCTTGAAGGGCCACTTTCTGCGCGGCGGTCTCAGGAGCCGACTCACCTCCTTCGAAGGACTGAACGATGTCCAGCATCGCGTCCGTCTTGATCGTGTCACCCATGTCACCGTTGCCAATCTTCCACGTAGCGTCGAGCCACGGCTCGGTTTTGATTTCCAGAAACGGGAAAGAACTCCGCCCTTCCTCTTTCTTCACCAAGAAAACCCGGACCATTTCAGCATCGGGCTGCACTGCCTGCGGTAGGCGGTTACAGCCTGTCTCAACCAGACGCGTCGCGAGGTCGATCTTCGTAATCGGCTGCTTTTTCTTCGCACGAGTTTCGATCACTTTCTCGTTGTTTTTGAACTCACTGACCACCTCCTTCAAACGTAGGATCGTGGTGATTTCCTGGTTAGGAACGCCAATGGTCTGTAGGTCCGTCAAGGACCCGTAGTGGCGACCGAGGTCCTCCATGTCTGAAATGCCGAAGATGATCAACTGACGCAGCAGGGTGCGGATCCTGCCCGGGTGGGGGTTAACTCCGAGGAACTTGTACTCAAAGAAAACCCGCGTGCGAAGTGCGCGCTTCTGCGCTGCAGGGAGATCATCAGCGGCGGGGACCCACCCGGCACCTGCGTTGATGTTGATTGCCGCAGCCTGAGCTTGCAACACAGCGACGGTCTCCGGCGGAAACCACTCGGCCCATTCGTCATCAACTCCGACTCCAAGGCTAGCCTTGTTGGCCCACAATTCACGCGAGCGTAGAGCCATTGCGAAGTGATTTGGTAAACGACAACGAGCCTACAATACTGGTAGCGACGAGTTACAAACTCTACGGGTCGACAGACGACTTTTTCTTTCCCTGCGGTATAACCATAGGAGAGAGTAGTTGCTTCGTCACCCTCAAGTGTACGAGCTGAATAGCGCACTGCCCAGGCAGTCGCTATGTGTTTCTCGGTCTAGTATAACTAAATAACGGGACCAGGAGAGACGCGTCGCGTCTTCAAGGCTTACGCCGCAACGCTTAGGTTACGACCTCGTTCATTCTCGAGGAAGGCGATCCATCTACCTAAGCTAACTACTTCAAACGACCTACAGATCTTCGGTCGATGCTACGCTTACTGTAGAACTTCTGAAAATTGGTGACCGAAAATAGTCAGGTAAATTTTCGGTCGTTATTTTTGGATCTTGGGCGTTGCCCCTATTTAGTTCGATACTACGCTTACTTTAGAACTTCAGCATACTTTAGAACTTCTGAAAATTGGTGACCGAAAGTAGTCAGGTACATTTTCGGTCGTTATTTTTGGATCTTAGGCGTTGCCCCTATTTAGTTCGATATTACGCTTACTTTTGAACTTCTGAAAATTGTTGACCGAAAATAGTCAGGTACATTTTCGGTCGTTATTTTTTGGATCTTGGGCGTTGCCCCTATTTAGTTTACGCGAGGAATGAACTGGGGCGCTGCGCAGCCCTCGCTTCTAGATCTCGCTGAGCTTTCTTAGTAGCCCTCACTTCTAGATCTCGCTGAGCTTTCTACTGATGGAACCTGAAACCAGTCTCCACACAAGGCCAGGGAGAAAGAAGAAGAAGCCTAAGCTACTCTCTCCACATGACCTTCGTCGAGATTAGCTGGCATTTAACATCAATTTTATTTCAGATATTAGGAGGATGACGAAATAAAATTCCAATTATATTGCGCTCGCCGCGAAAACTATACTTGATGGAATAAATCTTCCCAGCAGCTCTCTGAAGCTTGGTCGATTTGGCTTCTGACAAATCTTGCGAAAGAAAGCTGAAGCAGCGGCCGAAGCGTTGCCCCCGCTAGTAGGTATACGACTGTTCGCAATCACAGCGCCATCCCATAGTCGTTGCATGATTGCCTCCACGTCCTCGTGTACTGTTTTCTTTGGAATTCTATGACAATCTATATGTACTGCGTCACGGGCAATGCATCCGCTGAAGCTGCGCGGAAATTTTTCGTATCTTACTTGCCACCGTGGTAAAAAAAGTTCGTTCAGTTCTGGACAACAGCCAAAGCCCAAACCAGATTCGAGATCGTCGTGGACGCTGGTGTAAGGTCGAGGTGGATGACAATTGAGGCACATTCTTCTCGGGTCTGGTGGGTTCTGCGCAAAAAACCTAGAGGACAGAGCGCTAAATGCGGACGAAATCTGAGGCGAAGAGGAATTTACCAAGAGAGGCCCGCGATCGAGCCACCACTTCGCCAGGGCTCTCCGGTTTACGATCCAAAAAGCGTCATGGGCAACAGCGTCATGCTTATCCATTGCGGCAACTAAGTCTTAGCGGTGCCAGTTTTTGAGTATATCAATTCGAGTATCTATGAACGTGGCGCCCTTTCCCTCCTTATTTTCCCCTTTAGATGATCGACAAGGAGGAGGGGCACCGTAAGACTTAGCGAACGCCCCCCGCGGTCCGTCACGCGTCACGCCTCTAGCGTGACGGGCATGAATCTAGTTGGGATGGGGTGTCTTTTGCCATGTTTTCCCTAGCGTGACGCATGGAGGGAATCCCATGGGGGTCGGGTGCTTTTTGGCGATGTGTGCGCTAACGTGACGCGCAGGAATCTCGTCGGGGTTGGGTGTATTTTCGCCGTGCGTGCCCTAGTGTGACGCATAGGAATCTAATGCAGACTGGGCGCCTTTTTGCCGTGTGTTCTTCTGAAGGTCCTCGCAGACTGAGGGCTCTCCCGTGATGAAGATTCTCACGATCGGAGGGACTTCTTCTGAGGGTCCTCGCAGATGAAGGTCATCACGGTGGGAGGGACTTCTCCTGAAGGTGGTCCTCATGATGGGAAGGACCTCTTCTGAAGGTCCTCGCAGCCTGAGGGCTCGCCCGTGATGAAGGTCCTCTTGATCGGAAGGACTTCTTCTGAGGGTCCTCGCAGATGAAGGCCCTCATGGTGGGAAGGACTTCCTCTGAAGGTCCTCGCAGACTGAGGGCTCTCCCGTGATGAAGGTCCTCATGATCGGAAGGACTTCCTCTGAGGGTCCTCGCAGATGAAGGCCCTCATGATCGGAAGGACTTCTTGTCTTCTGAAGGTCCTCGCAGCCTGAGAGAGGGCTCTCCCGTGATGAAGGTCCTCATGATCGGAAGGACTTCGTCTGAGGGTCCTCGCAGATGAAGGCTCTCACGATCGGAGGGACTTCTTCTGAAGGTCCTCGCAGACTGAGGGCTCTCCCGTGATGAAGGGCCTCATGATCGGAAGGACTTCATCATCGCCCGAGAGTCCTCTCAGAGTGAGGGCTCTCCCTTGAAGGTCCTCACGATCGGACGGGCTTGATCAGAGGGCCCTCCCAGAGTGAGGGCCCTTTCTTGAGGGTCCTCATGATCGGAGGGACTTCATCTGAGGGCCCTCTCAGAGTGAGCATTCTCACTTGAAGGCCCTCATGGTCTGAAGGTCAGCGGGCCCTTCATCTGCGGGGGCTTTTGTGAGCGTCGCGCTCGCTTTTTCGCGTGACGCCTTGCCCCTTGTAAGTCTGTAGGGTACACGCAGCAAAAGCGTCACGCTTTTCGCGTGGCGCGTCACGCTTTTCGCGTGACGCTTGACCCAAGATGGGTCTAGCTCTCAGTAGTATACCGGGGGGGGGAAGGCGTGACGTCTTGTATAGGACCGCGGGGGGCGTTCGCTGAACCTTACGGGGGCACCCCACTATCCCCAGTTCATATGGGATCGATGATAGTAACAGTGAAAAGCTCGACGTAGCCATAAAAATTATCGCTGTGGTCGTAGAGCCCTGACACCGCAGAAGGGATAGGACGCCAAAAAAACAGATCCGGTCTAGCGCGTAAGTAATAATCGAAAGCCAAATAGGACGCAGTCGTTGACGGGGAGTCATTGCCCAGTACCTTTTTACCCTGGTCGGAAAGAAAGGGCATACGCTCCTGCGTGAAACACTCATCGACCCACTTAGCCATAAGCCAGGGACCGCTACGGGAGTCGTCACACTTTGCAGCGTGGCTGTGCGGGGAGTTCTGATCTGAATCAAAATAGGTGGACTGCAACTCCCGCTGGTAAGAGAAATCATTGTCAGAATCTTTCCAAGCAAAAAAGCTTAGCAAGGTTCGCCTGCTCCCTCCACCCCCAGGCGGTCGGACACTTAGTGCAGCTCCAGTAATGAGGGGAAGGCCCTCTGGAAGACCTCGGGAACCTCGACGGCGTCGAGTTCGAGAAGCGTTCGCAGGTAGCGACACGCTTCGCAGAGGTCTCCGCCGCCCCTCGGTCCCCTCGGTTCGGTAAGCGGTGGCCTCTCTCCAAAAGCGGTACGTCGTGCAATCATTCTGCTCAAGAAGGAGCAACTGACGTGGGCGCAAATGTCTAATAGCTTTTTCCAGAGGCCCAGCTCCACCGCAAACTCTTTGAGGGATTCGTGGCTCCCCGACGTGGCGTAGGTATTTGGAATTCTCGTCACCGAAATATGCGAGCATCAAAGCAAGATGTATCTCAGTGCGGTTCTCGCCTTCCCCTCGAAATGCATCTAAAACGTTCGACTTAAGCGACTCGTAGATGTGAGGAAACGCTAGTGTCCGTGGGTTTCCACTCATGCACACGAGAGCGGACTTCGCAGGGAAAGCTCCTCCACCGAGTTTATCCCTTGCACTAGAAGGCCCGCCCCCACGAAGAAGAGAGGGGCCACGACGTGCTCCAAAGCTACGCCGTAGTCGAAACGGCGACGACAGCGTAGAAAGGGCCCTCTCACTCCTCCCAAGCGCTTTAGAAGTTAACCTTCCACATTTGCGTAGAAGAAAGACACAGATTAGAGAAAACCAAAGCCAAAGGTGGGCATGATTGATCTAGGATTCGTAATCCCCCCCACCAAACAGCTCTCGCCATTTCCTCCTGGTATTCAGTCCCCTGAAGAGTTTGATCATGATAGATATCAAGGCAAAAGGCATAAGGTGCCAAGAATCCACGCGAGAAAATGCAGGGGGCTACCAAATACCAGAGCCGCCCATCTCTGTTGTCGTTACCGATGAAGACTGGGCCTTAAGTATAAAATTGCCACTATTATCAGACAAAGACCTGGCGCGGCCACGCAGTTCTTCCGTTTTTGCAGTTCCATTCTCGTCGCAGCCTTCGCCACCATCTCATGACAGTTCCCGTCATTCTGCCTTAGTGTATAACTCTTGACCCCTGCACGACTTCCCACGCTCCGTCATTTTTACGTGAATACACCACCAGCTTCTTCGTCACTGAGTGCGTGCGGGCAGGTGCGTGAGGCCAACAGCCTGCGGCTACCTCTGAAAGAGAGGGGGAGTTCACATAATCACACCCAAAGAAGGACAAACACACGAAGCAACAACCTGTCAGCCAGCCGGCTGCGATGCCTGCTGGTGGGCCACTTGCTGCAGTTGCCCGGCGCTGTGGGCTAGCTGGTTACATGGCAAACATAAACAGCCATGGCTCGTGGCTCGCTGATTCAAGCGCCCGCCAACGACAGACCCTGCTTGGCTGCTTTGGGACAATCAGCGAAGCCTCCGGCGGAATCAACTGGCTCACCAAGCCAATGCTAGCCTTGGGGCAGCCGAACCATGCGGCGCCCACCGCAGTCGCAAGTGGGCGCACGTGATGGCCTTTCGCGCGGTGCCTGTTCCCGAGCTGTCTGAAGACTGCCCCCCCCTCCTGCCCGGAGACAGAGTGCTCCCACATCGCCGCCAAGCCATCAGCCGCGAAAGCTTTTGGCAATTGCCAGGGGCCGCCAACTCACTTCCACGTCGAAAATGTAAAGAACAAGAGGCAGAGGGCGGCAGGCTCTAGTGGGTTCGTTTACGACTTCAAAAGTAGCCTACGGCTCAGCTTTAGGGGCTTGGACGTCCTCCGCCTCCAAGTTTCGCAAATATCACGCCAGCGCCTCTCGTCTGTAAGAGGTTGGGCTGCTTTAGTGTGCCACTTCTACTGCAGCTGCGTCTTCCCTCAGTCCCGCTTCAGCTTCACGCTACTAGCCGTGACATTTATGCGCATGCCTGGGCGTTATTTCTCTCATGCTTCTGCCTCATGTCGGAGAGCATGGTAGCGGGAGTGCCTCCAAAGAGAGTGAGAGAGACACCACAAGGGACACGATTGGGAAGTCGGCTGCTCACCCTACTGATAGCGCTTCTGGTAATATTCAGAACCCCCAGCCTCAGCAACTGCGACTCGAAGCAGCGCGCTATTTGAGTGAAAGCTTGCCCCTCTTCTATGCGGGCCACCAAGATCAATGCGTCTTCCTAAGCTAGACAGCTTGAAGGGGAACAAGAGGGGCGGCGTGGATGGCATCCTGTTAAATGGCCAAAAAACGTCACTCGTACGTCATTTGCATTGATTGACTCATGTGCTCATCTCTGGTTGAGTGCTGCTTTGCAGTGTTGGTGTCCTATTACTGGCCGAGTGATGAGCGAGAGCAGAAGCACCCTCTGTCTTCACTACAGCAGCTTCCCTACCTCCATTCGTGGTCCCCCTGTGTGAAAAGCGTGCGCTATTCATTGACCTTAATTATTTTAAGATTACGCAAGTTCAAGTTGGTGCACTAGGTGAGCCAAGAATACACTCTACTTGACGAGCACACCCGTGTGTGTCAACATGAGCCAAGCCCCCACGACGACGACGTGACGACCCCACGGCTTCTCAAAGTCCGGACTTGCCCTCATCAAGTGTTCTTCCGCGCCAATTCTGAGGGTTCCTCATATATTTCCCAAACTACGGATGCTTTCCATTCCATGAAGTCTATCATTGGCTAATATACCAACACCTAGACTATACGATGACACTCTGCAGCCTCAAATAATATGAAGTCACGAAGCGCAACGCTGAAAAACATAGGAACGAAAATAAGCAGGTCAATTTCCGAAAGGGAAGTCGGTGCTTATTATCAGCGGAGGCCCGACAATAGCCGAGCAGTCCAAAAGAATTGGAGCTGGACTCCAAATCCGTACTAAACACTATGATCATCGTGAACTCATCACGGCATAACCACTTCAAAGCAGCATGCTGAAACAACATATGTGCAAGAAGTGGGCAGTTTGGTCTGAGCAGTACATATCATTGATTCAGATGTTCGCCTTTCAGTTTCAATTTGTGTTTTCCATTGGAACAAGTCGCACAGGACCACACGAAATCATCACCACCTTGCACATCGCCAAACTTCTTTTCGCCTTTTCTTTCGAGGGACAGGCCCAGTTTCGCGGATCTTGGAACCACCAGTACTTTATTACAACAACTCTCCTTTCGTAAGGATCGCACCAGCACCGACACTCTCCAATCCTTCTTACAGTTCTCACTTTGTTTTTCTTCTGACGGCCCAGCCTCTTCCCGTACATTCCTCTTTTTCAGATATACAGGCGCACACCGAATTTACTACTCTCCTTGACCCCAGTACTATTCTTCTACTACTATTTACCCTCTTTTTTGCTCGTTGTAGTTTGGTATTTCGTAGTAGCACCACCTTCCCTCTTACTACTAGCTTTCCCACCGATGCATAAACTACACCTTCCTCATTTGTGCTCTTGTTTAATTTCTTTTCCTTACTTCCACCCTGAAACCAATCGGACCCACCGATATTCAACCTCCCGACTTTTTCTACCACCTTTTTGTCCAACCGATTTGCGTATGCTCAACTTCTTCCGCACCCCCCCTCTACTTCTTTTCTTTATTTCTTTTATTTTTTCATTTACCTAAACTGGCAGGACAGCTCAGACTTCACTACTAACATTCCCGACACCCTTGCGCTACTACTTGTCTTTTCTTTCTTTCTTTTTTCAGTGCCTCCCCCCTTCCCCGACGCCACCTTTTTTGCAACCATTTTCAATCGTTTTTATTTTTTCTTTTTTTTTTTTTCAAGGGATGAGCTCTTTCTTCCAGTGCTTTCAATGCATATTGTTAGCTGTACAACCAAAAAACTTGAGACGTCTAAGACCTTACTAATCTAGCTGTTCCTTCTAGGCAAGTTTGTGCTTATTCTTTGAATGTCAACTACCAGGATTGCTTCGTCCTCCTTCGCCTCGTCTTTACTTACGTTTCCGCTTTAACTTGGTCAAGAATTATCTGGACTTCTTTCCTAAAGAGACTCCTTGTGATTTTAGCCAACGCATTTTTACATATAAACTCGCGTAATTTGATGGCAAACGGATGCTGAAGTCTTCTTACTCTGAGTTTACCTTCACGCTCCCACAGCCAAATGTCACCTCTTGGGGTGATTGCCTTCTTTCTCGCCAATGCCGCAACTTGTAACTTTCGAAACACTGAAGGAGGCGACGCAGGCGTAACTCGAATCACACAACTAAGCGCTGCTGCGTTAAAACGTCTAGAAATTTCAGCACGATCACCGATAGAGTCATAAAAGCCCCAAACTAGAACCCGCTCCGCATCTATCTTGCGCACCCCAGGAGAAAAAGACTCGACCAGATCGATTGCTGCTTGTCGTAGCAAAACCTGTACACGCGTGGTTTGGTCCCACGCATCAACAATCCTTGAGGCTGAATTAGAAATGCTTAACTTTGACATGCCCTCGACTTGCCAGCGACCATCATCGGAAACTTTAGCATCCCAAACTGCCTCCACACTCGAATCAAACCACACCATCCTCGACGCCCACATGCTTTCCGCATACTGCTTCGCACTATGCTGACTCACCTTGACCACTTTCCCGTGATCTTTCAAGAATCGAGACGGTAAGGAGTCATCAGCGATCCACTTGTCTACTTCACCTGACTCCACCACAAGCGCTCTGCTGTTGTACAAAGTAACAGCCTCTACTTCCATTAGCTCTTTTTCCTTGTCCTTTAACTTGCGACTGAGAACTTGTGTGATTTCCCGAGTTGATTTTGCAGCTGCTGCGTAACGGATTGCCATCGAGCGCAACATCCTTGCCCCCATGGGAATTAGCGCTGTCCAACCAAACACCGAAGAAAAAAGAAGAGTATGTGGGTCGATGTCGGTGATTCGTTTAATCTCAGCGAGAAGAACATCATCAACACCAAGACCGTGAAAGACCGCAACAGCCAAACCACGCTCCACCGCAGTAATTTCCAAATCCATTAATTCGTGGACAGCCGCCGGTAACAGATGAAGAAGTTTGCAACTGGAGATCCACCTAGCTACTAGAAGAAGATGGGCAAACGTTACTCCCTCCGGATGTTGTTTCGTGAAGAGCGTAAAAATCCTTTCCAGATTAAATATTTTTGCTTTCATCTCGCACAGCAGACAGTTCTGAATATCATTTCTAAACGGGAACCCGAATAGAACTAACTTCTTCTTGTGCATGGGGTTCACACCGAAGACTGACGCAGCTTGCAAAAGCGTTTCTATTTCTTCCTGTGTTAGTTTCAGAGATTCATCCTGAGGAAGAAGCGCTACCATCTCCGCTTTCTCCGTGGCCGCAAAGATCCCCGCTGCCGTGAACATAATTTCCACTATCTTCGAGACCGTCCGCAGAAGTTTGGCAAGTCGACCGGAGGTGAAATCTACCGCGAGAAAGGAGATCAGCATGAGCGTATCATCGACACACACTTTGACTCTCGAATTTGCGGAAGTTCGTCCATGGCCTATTTTGGCCAAGCGTTTTTTTATCAAATCCACAAAAGAGCTCGCTCTAAAAAGTTCGTCGATATCTTCTGCCGAGTACTGACCGGCCCATTTGTGCACCGTTTCGGCTCTGCGAGTCGCTTCATCAATAGCAGCCTGCAACTTTTCCTCCAATCTACTGGATGTGATGCCACCACTAGACAACTGCACTACAGAGAGAAGGTCCGCAATAACATCAAGCCACGGAAGAAAAACCACAATGCCTACCAGCATGCTGTCGACCTGACCTTGGAGGCATCTACTATGCCCAGGAAGTTTGAATTTTCTGAGCATCACCACTAATATGCTAAGCTGCAACAGATTGAGCATCTGCCTCACATCGTGAGAGAGGATGACGCACCCAACTTCACTACTACGCTCGCGTATTAGTTGTCGTGCGTCAAAGCAACCCATCAAAAGGGAGACGCATTGCCGTCCATTTATGGTAGTGGAGCCTGCATTAGAATTCGCTTCCAACATTTCCAACCACAAATCATCCAACACCGCTAGAAGAATGCGCCCAACTGGGCACATGCGCACTATGAAACGCAAGTCATTTGCTAGCTTGGCCGCCGCCTTTTTGAACAGCAGCTGTCCCATCATCGTTCTATCGATCCACGTGGCAACTTTCTGAATCGCATCAGCATAGGACACCACTTTGAGCTCGTCCAAAAAACGGTTAAAAGCCGCCGCCAGCTGCGAATCGATCCAAGAAGGGCCATCTTTTATTATCTTTGCTCGCATTCCATTGAGACCAGCAAGATTATCATTTACCTTGACTCTTGCCCTTCTGACTTGTTCTTCGGTAATTCTAAAACTAGACACCTCCATTGCTATTTTTCGTACCTCGTCATACACCTCGCTAATCTTGTTCTTTGACCACCTCACTTCTTCACAAATGCCCGCCGTTCTCAGAATCCATTCCGACTTGTCCACCTGATAGCCCACCACCGCCTGTAGTACTTGTTCCGCCTCCTTTACCACTACGCCATCCACCTGCACCTCTGGAAGAGAGGTAACCGGCTTTCCTCTACCCGCACCCGAAGCAATTAAGGACGCCGATCCAAGAGCTTGAGCAGCTGAATGGATTTTAGTCTTGCTGCTTCTGTTCAGTGTTTGAAGATGAGCCGCCAAGTTATGTCGTCTCGAGTTCTTGATCGAGTCCGCCGCTGTGACATCATTGCCGTCTGCCCTCACAACGTTCACATGGTGCTTTTTTATCACTTGGCTACGCGTAAGTATCGACACGCACTTCTTCGTGACGTGTCGAGGAAGAAGTGGTCTCCCCTCTTGATCAAAAAACTCCGCTTGTCGATCCTCAAGAATTTCAGCAATTCTGCCCGGTGGAGGAAAATTATTACGCTTCATGATGGTCAACGGCGCAAGACACTTCTGAAGTTCGGGGATGTTCACTCTTCTCATTAACTTGACCGCATGCCCTGCCCTCTTTGCATCCTCCCTGTCCGTCGAAGAAACAGGATATCTGCACTGATTGAAACAGCCCAAGATCGCGGCACCTTTGCCTTTGAATTGGTCGGGGCGAAGAAAAGTAGCGGAGTTGCTCCGATGCATGGAAGACGACGCTTTATGTGGCACTGCTCCTGTGACTTTCAGCTCAGGAGAAAACAAGTTGCCAAGTTCATCTACGTGGCCATCCGTAGCATCCAGCACGAGAACTAGCGCCAGGCGATCGCTGAATTCGATGCTATCTTCCTCCATCTCCTCCGTGTATTCCCCTTTGATGTATTTCGCCTCCTCTATGTTTTCCCTTATCATTTTCATCGCAGGCATCATGATCTTCATCACCAGGGCGGGCGTGATGTTAGTTTTGAATACATCTAACTTTGAAGTTTCTTGCCCAGTGGTAGAAGATGACCAGTGTGTTACTCCCGATACTACATCCTTGACGCCAATGATATTGCCCATTTCTCTAATCGGTCCAAGTACTGTCTCTTTTGCTGCTTTCTTCCATCGTCTCGCGTTGTTGGGATGTTCTGCACCGAACCTAGAGTCAAAGTTTTCATCACCCGCCGCTATCTTCACTTGCGCCTCCGCAGCAAGCTCCAAGATTTTCGCCTTAACCATCGCCATTTGCTCCTCAATCCATCTTGTATCTCGTGTCGAGCGCTTCTTGTCTGGGTCCTTCATGTAGACATTCTTGAGGTAAAAATTGCCGCACCTGACAATGTTTATCCACATCAATCCAGCTTCTTTCTCTGCAGCTGGAAGGGGTCTAAACTCCGTATCTCCGTTGTCTGCGTAGAATTTTTGCGCCTCCTTCTCGTTGTGCACCTCCCGGAAGCATTGCTGGGCTGAGACTATGGCTGAAAACGATTTCCGCAATTCGACATCCGGCAAATCTTCTCCCTCCCGGAGGACCACTAAAATACCAGCACCGCCGCATCCTGAGAAAACTACCACCGAAGTGTGCGCCAACCAGACTAGCTTGATGTTTGGATACTCCTGGGAAGACACCACACCTTTTTCTTCCGCAACATAGAGCGGCGCCGATTCTTGAACAAAAAGAAATCTTATAGAGATGTTGTTGCTCAGATCTTCAAAAACATGTTGCAAATTCTTCCTCAGCTGGATGTTGTGTGTCATCGCCACTGGTAGTAGACAAACATCATCGCCATCATCCGTTCCCATCGCATCCAACATGTCCAGTTCGTCCAACTCATCATCCGCTACCACCGTGCCCTTCTGATGTACTTGGAAGTGTGGTCTAATATCCGCGACTAGAAGCATGGCACTTTTTTGGATGATGCATGGAGTGGTTGATAAGGCCTGCACGTTTTTCAAGTTTTGGACAATACTACTAAATGTCTTTTGCTTCTGATGCACGCGCGACGTGAGAATGCAGTTTACCATTTCGGAGGTTGGGGTAGTGCGTAGTAGTACATTCCCCGCCAGCAATATCACGCAGTCACCATCCGCCACTAGAAATGTCCTTCCCTCTGGCACCTCGGCAACAAACGGCTTGCTCCTATGACGCAGAGCTGTAGAGAACGAGAGATATGTGCTTCCTGCCAATGGATCCTCTTTCGCTTGTGCCGTCTGCATCGCCTGCCGCTGCTCTTTCAATTGTCGAAGTTGCAAGAACGTCCTTACCAGAACTAGTTCTGCGATGATTCCCACCGACGAAGCAAAATCATTCTTTGTGCGCTTACAGGTCCAAGAAATTGGCCAGTTGCTAGAGGAGGACTCTTGGAGTTCAGCAGCATCCATCGCATTCGGAATTTCGGTAATCTTGCCCGTAATTTTTCTTACTTCTTTTGGATCATTATCTTGACTACCCGCGATGAAGGACGTAGAAGTAGACGATGTAGACGAAGACTGGCTCGATGAAGATGAATTAAATTTCTTGCATCTAGTTTTTTCCTCCTCTTCATCGACATCAAGGCCAACGATGAATGCCGTTTCGTTTTTAAGGTATCGTAGAACGAAACTAAAGCGCTTCTTCGACTTGATAGCCCAGAATCCATGTACTAAGAGGCTTGCAGCTGCTATAGCCGAAAATGCGTCCACCTTCTTTACTTCGATGGCCCTCGTGATTCGCTTAGAATCTTCTTCTTCCCCACTAGGCCACGCTCCTTTTACCACTATTGAATCCACTGTAGCAGATGCTCCCTTCAGTAGGTTTCCTATGACCTTTCCGCTCAGATTGATGCTGTTCGTACTCGCAACATTTAAGTCTGCTATTGCGTCAGCTGCCGAGGCATAAAGCTTTCGCTTTTCCGAAGAGTCACCGATGTTTTCGTTGTTCAATATTTGATTCGATGTTGCACTAGATGGATCCAAAACAACGCCAGGGGCAACTTCTTCATCTAACCACCTCGGCCAGTTCGTCACCAGCTTCTCTACCAGTTTCGCAGAGTCAAGATCATTGTCTCGTATGAACTTATCAGTGCGATTGATTATGCGCACTGCTTTTCTAGAGTGTGCTTGTTGTTCAAGAAGCTGTCCTACTTTAACCGCCGTACTCGACAAATTCCGGATGTTCATGCACCTTGATACCGTTTCTACTATCCTCTCCACAGAAACCGGGGCCCAGTCTGCTCTATCGATCTTTTTAACCGTATGCTTGGTCGCAGCTAGAGCCCGTAGAGTTCGAAGAAGAGCGTGCTTTTCCGCTTCCGTTGAAAAAGCTGGCACCGAAGGATCCACATCTGCAGCTATCGCCAGCTTCTCCATTTCCACTTTGAGACTCATCGCAGGCAATTTTATCTCCTTCGGAACCAAACCCAGCGCACGCCCGTACCAGCGGCTTTCCTCCGCAGCCGTTGGCTCGCTTTCTTCCTCGTTAATAACTTGCATTGCCTGTGCGCTTTAGATTGAACTGGATGAGTTTTTTTTTATTTTATGGGGGTCAGGTACTTGATTCATAGACCATAGGATGATCTTTGGCTTTTCAAAAAAAGCTACCAGATGAATTGTTTTTATATCATGTCTGTTGGTGAGATTTGCTTTTTTTTTAAACTGGGAAACCAAGACGCAGCATCTTTTAGCTTAAGTCTTTTCTTTTATTTGTCTTCCTTCACCTTCATAGCTTTTACTCGTGCCTTCTGCTTTCCTTTGTTACTTACCTCTTTCTTCCTTTTTTTTTTTTTTTTCACTTCTTTGTGTCGACCAGGAGCAAGACACGGCTCGCGATCATTATATTCTGTCTCTTCGCTTTTCAGTTCACTAAACTTTTTGCTGTCTTACTTCCTAAACAAAATTGCCTAAACTATTACTCACCCCGTCCTTTCATTTGCTTGATTATCATGTCATACAGGAGCCCCTTACTTTAAAGCTTTCACTTAATTTTGCTAACTTTTTTCTCATCCGCTAGTGGGCCTTTTTTTTTTTTTTCTTCCTATCAACCTTGGAGCTAGTTTCATCTTAATTATTTTCCTCTTAGTTCAAAAACGCTTTAAGATTCTTTAAATCTTATCGCTATTCAATAGTTTTGATATCCTGACAGCTTGAGTCGTCTGATTATGCTTTTCTCTAGTTGTCCAGTGACTGAGCACTGACTTCGCCACTTCTTCTCCGGTAGATTCTGCTCTCTGCTTCGCTTCTGCTTCGTTTCTCGCTAAACGTCTGATGGCCGCCTCTGATCTGTCGTCGCTCCTCATCTCCTTCTTGAAAGCTGGGAGAGCTGAAACAAACGCATTCGAGATATGCCACTTCTCCCTCTCCTCCTCCGGTGCCTTCTCTTTGACTGGAAGCATTTTTTCGGCAGCTTTGAGTCTACGTCTCTGGCCTTCAGCGTGGGTTGTGATTCGGGTGCCACTCATCTTGTTGCTGTTCATCGTGCTCTTAGCTTTCATCATCTTCCTTTTTGCTTGATTGATGATAAGTGACGCGTTGTTTGAGGCGATAAGGAAGTCTTTGAAGTTGATCAGGAAGCCACGGCACTTCACAAAGCGTCTGCCCGCACGGTCAATGAAGACTATGAAGTACACTTTTCGGGTTTTGTTCAGCGAACCTCTGATAGGCTTTTTCTGGATGAAAGTGGTTAGCTCCTTCAACCAGATTCGTTTTCCTGAGTCATCAGCGACATCGTAGACCCTTGGCAGTTCGTCATTTGGTCTGGTGATCGCGTTCTTCCCCTGAAGTTCCTTTTTCTGTCGATCGATGTCCTTCCTGGTGATTTCCTGTTTAAGGAAGCTCGAATGTAGTTCTGCTATTTGCGTGAGAGTGACCCTGCTATTCGGTATGGTTTTTGGAACATCCAACTTACCGTCAAAAAGTAATCCAGATCCCGATGATGTACAGGAAGAAGTTGATGACGATGTGTCAGAAAGGGAACTCGAATCCTCCATCGCGTCTCCTTCTTTTATCTGTCGTATGCTTTTCGTTGACTCATCTGACTGGGTCAACGTGTGACTGCTGAACTGCCTTGTGCCACTAGCTTTGTTGTTTTGCCGTTGTATCCTCATCAGTAGCAATTCTTCTTTTTCCTTCTTCATCAGATCCGTGTAGTTGATTGTTGTTCCCTTCTCATTTGAAGGCATGACGACCCCCAATTTTTTGCTGACGCTGGCTTTACGCAGAAACGGAGGGAGCGGCTTGGAGTAAAATTGTGCGTCTGGAATGCTCTGTAGATCTGTGGCGCCATGTACTTGACGTAGATACTCATCTGAAGTTCTCGGCTTTGGGGTAGCTATCTGGATTACACTGAGTGGTCTGCTAAAAGATTCTTGCTTTTCTCTAAAATCCGCAGCGGAGCTAGAAGAAATCCACCTCCTAGCAGGATTAGTCTTTGAGTCGTTGCTAGTAGACCCAACAACTGGATCCGATGCCTGTGCTGATGTTGCGGCATGAGTGTTATGCTTCACCACAGGGACAAAGTGCGCACTATCTTGATTTTTTCCACGGCTGGGAGATGTCTGCCAAGGTGTATCCGATAGCTTTGATGTGTTGTTCTGATTTTTCTTCCACTTACACAAGAAGAAGCCGCGTCGTTGTGATCTGGATCTTGTAGTTCCTGGTTCTGGAATGGAGTTCGGCGAAGACTTCGAGTTCTGCGATGTTGAAGGTGAAGAGGGAGGCCGTCTGCCTCTTCCGTTCGATCCTCTAAAGCGCCTCATTTTGTTCTATTTCCCAATTAATTCCTAACTTCTTCGCAAGGCTAGCACTATCCTTCCACACTTCAGATGATGCAGCTACTTCTGAAGCCAAGGTAGCCAAGTTGTCTACCGCACCAACTAAATCCGCCGACTCACCGTCCTCTTCTTCCGCGTCTTGAAGTTTATCTACATCGCCTTCTTCTTGTATGGAGTCAAATGCTAAATTCGCCGCACCCAACTGATCTAGATCCAAGGTGTGCTGTGGGGTAGTCGATGTCGCAATTGTCGTTGTAGGACGTGCTGCATTTCTTTTGTGGCGCTTCGGTGGTGGGCTAGTCTTGTGTTGTAACGCCCATCCTGTCGGTTTTATCACTTGTTTCAGAAGCTCTTTACTATCCACTTGCGAATGAGTTATCCAAGAACTATCCGTCGAGCTCAGACTAAAACCTTGGGAGTCATCGCGTGGCATTAGTTCAGTAGACGTGTGCTCAGCCTTTTTGAAGCATTCGTTATTAATCGCCGCCTTTTCACCATTTTTTTCACTACTACCCACGTAAAGAGTCCCTTTGTCATTGGTACGGCGTCGACTTGGAGCTGACAGCGCATCGATACGCACGCCGTCATTTTTTGACAAGAAATCAACCCAAAATGCATCCCACTCGTATTTGCTGCATTTTTCTAGTCTGCGCCATTCATCAGTGATTTTAGATGAGTCTCTCCATATAAAGCATGGCATTGGGATGGGAGGAGTAGCATGCTGGGCAAAACAAACTACTGCAGCTAGTAACGGCTCGGTGAACGTCATGTAGATGGCTGCGTGATACTCATCAAGGAAATGAAGCGCGGTTCTCAGGACAGTGATGTTGATGCTTTCTTCAGCAGCGAAAAAAGTACTAGACGCCCACTTTGAAGATGTAGTTCTGAAGAGGAGAGCTTGTCCCAGCAACGCATGCCAAAACCTTTCTTCCACTTGAGGCGTTGCAAGTTTGACGATGACGCACGTTGTAGACCTCATCACTACTATTCGAGGAGACGTCTTCTTAGTCCTCCATTCTTTATCCCGAAGCTCCTCTTTCTTCCTCTCGTTATTGTGCTCCTCTTGTCTTTGTTCGCCATTTATTTGCTTTGCTGCGTGATTCAGTATTCTCTGCGACTTCGTGGATGAATATAGCGAGACTTCGGACGGTAATATCGATCCTTTTCTTTCCCCTGCAGGTTGCACTGCGAACCGGCTGCCGTTCAGATTTTCTCCTTTGCCCAAATTCGCATATCCTCTATTTTGCGATAGTGCGCCGGTCATGGGATATCCACGCCCCTTCTTTGCAAAAAATTTTCCACCGTGTCCTTCGTTTGCCACAGAGGAAGACATTGCTCAAGAGTTGTAATTTCTACTCCGTCAAAAAAAGAACTACACCAAAGTCAAGATCTTCTATTGCAGTATTTATTTGTCGACATCTTGTTATTCCCACTTCGTTTCACTTAACTCATCCTCCTCAAGGTGCGGGTGATCGGTCGGCATCAGAGCTAGATGGCATCTCTTTTGAGTGTGTTTTTTTTAAATAAAGGGAAGGAGTTCTTTTGGGTTCATTTCAGTCACTTGATAGTACTAGCAGTTTTCTCGAGAGCGTTTATTTCGACATCAATGTAGCATCTTGTTAGTCACTATTGCGCACAGTATATCATTCTAGATGCTCACTTGCAACCTGTTCCAGTGACCTCCCGCGATAGCTCCATGCCAGTTCTATCATCCACTCGCTCCACTGCATAGTATGCGAGCCATTTCTTGTTAGCGTCTCTTGCTGCAGGTAAAGCCGTTTTAGCGCCGAAAAGCCGGATTCGTCGGTGTAGATGATATTCCCGAATGTGCGAGACTGATCTCCATGCAGCACAGCAGTTTCGATCTCCATCGCACACCGCCAGTTTTCCGCAAAAACCAGCTTGGTACCATCTGCCGACTGGAGTCGCTTTGTCGACTTATCTTCACCGGTTCTAGTGTCAAACGCGTTGATCACCTGCAGCTTGTCGTGCACACGTATTGCGGTATTCTTTCCGATGCCAAACCGTTTTAGGAAATCCGCTTCCAAATCCGTATCCTCGCACATGACCGTGCAAATTCCTCCTTTCAGATGCACTGAAGTCCTGCCGTGCTCCGCAACTCGTTGCAGGATTTTCATCCGACCTATTCCCAGCATTTTATTTGTAGAGAGAAAGAACAAAAAATCAGTAACAGATCACCGGAGAAGAAGAAAAAACAAATGTCTATCTTGTTTAGGAGTTTCAGGAGAATTCAATTTAGGAGTCATCCATTAGCTCAGAGTGAAGAAGCATAACGAGACTCAAAGTCCCTGATGCCAGTGTTACTTTCATACTTTGAACAATCATTATCATTTTTCTCCCCGATATCATTACTTTCCCCTATTTTGTCTTGGCGCCTGCCTTTTCTTTCTCCTCCATCTTTTCTGCTTTTCGTGCTGTGTCATTTGCCGGCTTAAGTAGTAGATCCAATGATACCTATCTCATAAGACTCAACATTATTTACAACTCTTTCAGAATGCTTCACCCTTCTTATTCCAAAGAACCAGATCTCTAAACATCAATTAACAATTCTTTTATTCAAGTGCCATCCTTTCAAACTGGTGTATACTTCTGATGTACCTGAAAACTCCCAAACTTGTTCCTTCTTTCACTCATCTTAAAGAGTCAATTCTCTTTTTACTAAACTTAACTCCATCCGACTGCTCAGACTTCTTTCTCTCGACCTGTGTGATCACCTCATATTTAGATATCATCGAACTCCACTCCTTTCACGCCAGTGAATTCGATCTCAGTTTTCGTACGCTTTGTCGAGTGCGGTGGTGCTTGTAGATAGGATACGCTGCACCTTGTTCCAGTGATTCCGATCCGAAAGCGTCATCATCTCCCTCCTTGAATTCCAGCCAACAAGTGTCCGATCTGCGCTTCTTCGATGATGTAGAAGATGTCGATTTGTTGTTGAGAATGTTGTAGTTGTTCTTAAGCAAATCGGCCAGCACTTGGCTGGATTCCACAGGCTTCACCGCAGACAGACCACATTCGTCTTTTCTATCCGCATCAATTTTCCTATCTTCTTCACCTCCATGGACGAGACGCAAAAATGCTTTTAGTTCTTGTGCTTGTTCATTTTCGAAACCTTGTCTACTGCTGTGCTGCGGCATGAAATCCCACCGCCCACTATGATCAAAGTTGTGATCTCCGAAAGCATGTTCAATCTCATGTGACCATTGCATTCTGGGGGGAACGAAGCTCCAAGTTACCATGTGCGCATTTGCGATATGCGCCGGAATCTCGGCGGGCTGCTGCTTTGAGCTCATTGAGCCTCTCTGCTTTTGTATCCGCTCTACCTCCCGTTGTGCGGCTACCTCCAAACGAGCAAAAGGATGTGCGAAGGTCAACATGATGCAGTGATCCCGCCACGAAGTAATCGAAAGAGAGGCGCCACCTCCTAGATGTTCGAACAGCTTCTGAATGTAACATGTCTCATCCTTTGGAACCGTGGCGAGTATTCCAAAATTATTGGAGACAACATTCGACACGAAGTGCTCCTGAACCGTCATCCAAGTGCTGAAATCAGGAGGCGTCCTGATTTCTACTGCTCCAACTACCTCCCATCGCGTGATCTTGATCCTCCGACTAAGTTCCGCTGAGAAGATGATGGAGTACCGGTGTTGTAATTTATCCTCTTCTTCCATTACCTCCCATACTCTTTGCCCTTGCGTGACCATATCGCAAAAACGAAACTCATCATCAGGACAGAAGAATCGCGCCACTATTTCTTCATCATTCTTCATCCACATGGGAGGTGACGCTATCAACTGATCTCTTCGATAAGGGCTATCCCTTCCAGTGTTAAACTGTTCTTCTTCAAATGCCGACTTTGACTGTTGTTCAGACGGGGCTTCTCCTGGTTTTGCTGTTGACTTCGAAGTCGTCTCCTCACTGTTTTTCGATTGTGTGAAGATGAGCGAGATAGGAATCTTGACCCGTTCAGTGTTCTTTGACTGTCTATTCTGCTTCCAGCACGGCTTCAGCTCGATTCTCCACTTTTCGATCATCTGAGTTCGATAATCGTCATCTTGTGAGTAGAAGACATCTTGGATGATCGGCGCCTTGTCTCCTTGGAAGAGGATGCTTTGTTTCCCAGACAGGTACTGGATCACATGAACAGTGACGCTCAGGATGCTCGAGTGAAATATCGCACGAAAATTTTCAGCTTGGCCTGTGGTATAGAACGCGCAAAGTTCTTCTTTCGCAAAGCCCCAGTCACTATCCGCCACTTGCTTCGCAAAGGCCGCTACTTTGCCGGTACATTTCGCTGCCAAATCAGCGAGCCTTGCGTCCCCGGTGATTGACATTTGATTCTCGTATTCCTATCCTTTAACTATTTTAATAACTTTTCAGGCTGAAGAAAACTATTGAGTTGGCCGCGACTTTCTTTTCCATAATCAGGGGCAGCAAATTCTTGACACAGTAAGCTTTCCTTTATTTCCCCTTTTTTTTTTTTTCTGACAGGGTACTATTAACTTATTTAGGGCTGTTGAAGTCCTTCCTTTTGTGGTCGTTCGTTTTTCTTCCTTTTTCCTGCTTTCTAAGTTTCTTAACCTTTTCAGTATCCACTTCTTGTGGTTTTGTTCCGTTTTTATGCTTCCAGGAGGCATATGCTTCGGCGTATGGCGTCCGCTCCCACCTATTCCGCTCTCTTGGGAACAATTAGAGTTTTGAACTTAGCTTAAAGATATTTAAACACTTCCTAGGGAGGTCCAACTTTTCTAACGAATCAAGTTACTATAGGTGACATGCCCTCGTGATCGTAAATGGTGGCGCATACAACATGTAACCCCGACGAGGTAAAGTCCAAATAAAAGAAGAAAAAGTCATCACACATAGTAGATCAACTAATACCCACAACGCATTTAATTGTAGCAAGCACGTGCATTATAATGCAGTAGAAGAAGACACCAGACACGTCATGAACCGAGTGAGAAGACACATTTAAACATCTCTGCTCTAAAGCATCACTCGGACCTTATTCCACTTTGTAACTTTTTATGTTTTAAGTATGGCTCCTTTTAGACAAATCTTCGCTGTGCTTTGTCTTCGCTTGCGTCCCTGCTGAGTTGATATTGGCACGCAACTGGGCCACCTTCTGCGCATGCGCCTGCTCGAACGTCGTGGCGATCCTGATTGGTTCGAGGAACATCTCCCGGCTTTCTTCCACTTCCCGCCTAGCGTAACGCTTTCCTTCCTCTTTCATGACTTCCGACATGTATACCCTCGGAGACCCTGGCATAGGCATCCTCTTTTCTTTCTTCTTTGAAGCCTTAAATCACCCAAAAAATTCCACTTACACTATCCAAAAACCACGCGTGCTACTTTAAACCACTGTGAGACTTTTTCGTGAGGTTGTGGGATTCTATGACTTGTGACAAGCAGTGTTATGACCAAAGTTAGTATGTGAATTAACTAAAAGCCACCATTTAGACATCTATCTACGAACGTATCTAGATCTTCTTTCAACCAAAATCCAACTTCTAGCGCAACTTCGTGCATACCAAAACTTTTCGCTCTTCTTGTCATTCTCCAACTAGTAGAAGCAATACTAACCACCTCTATGTCTTCATGGGCATACTTACCAACAGTCTTGTTATCTTTCATGATTTTGTCCAGTGAGGCCCTGAACATTTGAAAGAAAATGCTACTTTTTTCCCCCGTATCTTGTTGTGGCCTTACCGTTGTTATGCGTAAACCAGTGGCACACGGTTCCAGTTCAACAGTAATTGAACAGGTGACTTCATCTATTAGTTTGACCTTGAAAATAGCAACTTTTTTAGTAGTATTCGTGGCAAAAAGATAAATAGGCTGTCCACAACCGAGATAAGTTAAGATATGAGCGGCCTCCGACATTTTGTCCAGACTTGAATTACCAGCGTGCTATGAGGTGTGTGAAAAGCTTTGTTATAGGTGTCAGCCTGTTGAACAGCTATTTTACACAGATTTTCATAACTTTCCTTCGCCGTTTTTCGAGTGGGATTCATATGCGTGCTCCTTTTTTTATTCGGGGAAAGGGATGGAATTAAACTTTTTATTTTTTTTTTTTTTTCAACTGGGTAACCTCCATGTCCACTCAACACCTGCAGCATACTCAGCCTCAGTCACGACAAAATCATCTCACTAACCATTTCTTCCTCTCAGAAAACCTTTTCTTCTCGAAGAATCGAATGCGTGCCTTTATCTATATTTTTCCCTCGTCGATAATTTTTCTTTTCCACACGATGACTTTCTTCATGACTATAATCACCATATATGATTTCCACTCATCTTTGAAGCACGATATCTGTTACTTGTTTCGAGGATGCTGTTATTATTCGAAACGAGGACCGATCTGTTTATTACAACGAGGATTCAACAAAGCAGTCAAGGTTGTTAGACCAAGAGCGCTTTCCACAGTCCCTAGATGGGAGCATGGGTACTACCAGCATATTCGAGATCGGATCGAAAACTCTCACTAAACTGTCTCACTAAAGAGGTGTTATTCAGTCATCTGAGTCAATAATATATCGATCATGGAAGAAGAGACGGATACTTCTTTGTCCTTCGAACTTGCAATGCACTAGGACTCCAGGGCTCCCTAGTAAAAGGAAAAGCGAATAGCAATAGAATATGGAAATAGAAGAAGATCCTTCTTCTGGACTTCCAATGACTTCAGTAATGCGGGCAAAAACAACTAGAAGATGTTAAGTACAAAAAACTAAGAGAGGATCCCTCCCTAAGCTACGACGCCTTAATCCAGCGGCCTCCTCAAGAACTTGAGTCAAGGTGGAGTAGCTCTTGAGTGCGACCTCTTAGGTCAGCCGTACCCGTAGTACAAAGACAAACTTTTCCCAAAGGCGCTTCCAAGGCTCTTTCTGGTGCCTAAGCAATACTGATCCCTTCATCTTCAACAGTTATTGTTATGCTCTCTGGTGAGCAAGCTACATCGATATCCCTTCAAAAGGTAAAGGTTGCTATGCTGCCTCCTGGTGCGGCGTAAGCTAGCAAGCTATAATAAAAGGTTGCCATGAGCAAGCTAAAGCTATATTGTATAAGCGTTGCCATCATGATGCTCCCTGGTGCCTGGCTAAGGTGCCTCCCTGATGCCTACTTCAGCAGTAGTTGATGCCCCTTGTCCTTCTCGTAGCTGTACAGTTGTTGATAATCTCCGTCGTAGATTCGGTCCAGTGTGGCTTCTAATTCGAGAATTTCTCCATTTTTTGCGACGTGCATATCCCTCAAGAGTCACAATCTTTCCGAGAAACTTGATGATGATGAAATACCCAGTAAACTTTGTGTCTAGTACGGGTGTGCGTGCGCTAATTACTTCAATCACAATTTTCCCGAATTTGTGGGGACGATAAGTCGAAAGAGCCTGCTAAGGAAGGAGGAGAGAGGCGCGCTGAGCCTTAATCCAGTTCTGCGACCGACGTTACTCGAGTGCCCTTGCTTTTCTTTGGCACGCAGACCGCGACACAAGACGCCGGCATCTCATGACCTTGACGGCTTGCTGATGAGTTCGGCCACTGCTTAGACATAGAAGTTGAAGTTATTGCTCTTGTAACCAGTCACGGAGTTCTTGTGGCCATTTCGCTCTAATGTAGTAAATGTAGTGAGTTGTTGTTGTAACCAGTCCGATATAGTGTTGTCGTAAATGTAGTGATGTTAGTGTTGCCTATAACTCCTGTTCTACTGTCGACGTAACTAATGCGAGTTAACAATGACTATGACATAGCTTCTAATGTGAGTAATCTTCTTGCTAGATGTAACCAATGTGAGTAATGATGTTGATACTCTTGTACCTATAAAAATGCAGTAGTTCTTCTGGTTTATTCAATTTAGAAGGATAGGATAGGAGTTATCTGACGAGGCACAGTCCTCACCGCTTGCGCCTCCTTGGGGGTCATTTCTTTGCACAAGGAAATGCTCCGACGGTAGCCTTATCGATGTTCAGAAATTGTCTAGAGGATTCTTGGAATTATAATAACGCACGACTGTATGTTGTAGTTGTAAATGTGTTTATTATAATATTTAAATTTATACGATACTGATAGAGGATACATAGTGTATGACTTTCATCTTCAGTTGGTGGCCTTCTTCAGTTAATTAATTTTGTGCTTTACAAATACTATCGCTGGATCCAAATGCTATCGGTGGATCATCTTAAAGCCACAGTAGAATTTATTACATGCAACATCACGCATGATAGGCACAACAACAATAAGTGTTTATTTTGGCAAACTCCCAGCCGTTCACTCTGCGTTTTATCACTAGCACTACTTCCTGTCTTTGGCACAATTCTCAGGCTAAGCTTTGACGAAGCAGAGAGAACAGCGCAAAAGTAGAACGCGCATCAAGTATAGGTAAGTACTGACTTCTACGCGTAATACGGCGAACTAGTACTAGACTAGCATTAGCAGCTACTGAAATGTCACAGATGTTCGTACTAATTTGGTTAGGTCAATTAATTTAACTGGAATATCACAGATGTTCGTAGTAGTTTAGTTAGTAGATATAAGGTAGTTACAAACAACTGACATCGTGTCTGCTTATATGTGCTTAATCAACAGGTATAAAAAGATAAGGTAGGTCGTGTCTGCTTATATGTGCTTAATCAACAGGTATAAGATAAGATAGTTCGTGTCCTCTTCTTGTTCTTATATTTGCTTAATTAACAGAGATACTGGAACATGCACGCATGCAACCTTCGGATCATTCCGCACGCGGGGTAGCGCGTCAAATCGCTGTAGATTAAGTTAGAGCATGTGAGACTCATATTGAGGCTGGAGATGCATGCTGAGGAGTGATAGGTCTCTCCAAGTTCATGCTACGAGGCCAAGTCCTATATCAACAACCTCTGAAACTGAAATTTGTACTCACTCACTCCTATTTCAACTACAACTTCATCTGGGACTGGACTGAGAGTGGTGCTCTTCACTTACTCCTATTTCAACTACAAATTCTGGGACTGGACTGAGAGTGGTGCTTTTCACTTACTCCTATTTCAACAACAACTTCTGGGACTGGACTGAGAGTGGTACTCACTTACTCATGCTCGTCACACTTCAAAGACACTTCGATACTTTTACTTAGACGACAAACACAAAGTACTCCTACTTGAAAGACAAAGACAAACAAAGTACTCTTACTTGAAAGATGCTTTTAGATGACAAAGTTAAGCCTTAATCAAAACTGCCAGTGCCTAAAAGGACGACCGAGCACCCTGCGGGAAGCGACTTGGCACTACTTGTTAGGTCGTCTGCCTCTTCTAGTGTCTTCGCTATGAATCTCCTCTGTCCCTGCTTCGCGCCTGATGTTGATGATGAAAGATAGGATAAGATAGTCGTAGTAGTTTACCCATTCACGGGGTAATTAAAGCACTTTTCACGGAGGGGGTAGGGAGAAGTGTTTGGGGGTAGGGAGAAGTGTTTTTTTTCAAAGGGGTTCACTTCAACAACTTTGTTACTTCCTTGCGGGCATTGTCTTTTTTGATGCTTTCCTTTGCATCTTTCTCCATGCGCCCTCATAATCGCAATACGCGGCTTTGTCAATGACTTCATTGTTCTTGTATCAGATAAGATAAGATAGATAAGATCTAGATCAGCTAAGATAAGATAGATAAGATGGCTCCTCTACTCTGACGGGGCAGCACAGCAGTGCTCGTCTTTTACTTATACAAAAAAAAAGTGCAGATAAAACAAGACTTGATCTCTGCAGAACCGGTTAGGATGTGAACAACTAAAGCAAATACCTATACCAGAGGAGTTTCCAAGGGTTTGACAGCTCGCACGGCATGGAGTGCATGGATCGCATGGAGTTGCATTGAGCTAAAGGGCGCGCCTCTTACGTCCCTTGAAGGCCTGCGCTCCATGCACTCCATGCGCCATGCGTGCTAAAAGCTTTTCTGTAATATGCATTATGTATCTTTTAGCTATGGCAGAAAAAAGACTACTCCTACTCAATATTCGCAACCTCGCTCACGCCAACTTTGGGCACCGTCTGGACGCTGGATCGAACTGTCGAAGGGTCCTAGCTGTGGACCGCAGCAGGTAAGTGCAGTGTCTTAAACTAGCTAGTTAAAGATTAGATATTCTGACAGGCCCAAAGCAGGAGGATGGGGGAAGGACTTAGGGTTTGGAGGTTAGGGGGAGGTGGCGGGGGCGGCAAGTGCAGGGGCGATCAGCAGAAGACGCGGCAAAATCGTGTCTGGATGACGTTTTTGACCTCTGCCAAGCTCCGGCACCACCTCGCAACGCGTGAGCAACGTTCTAACAAATCCACTCCAAATACACGCAAAAACGCCTTAGTTCTCCGCGATGGTCCGAATTACCTGGCAACGAAGTAGAGGCCATGGCGAAGAAGATCCTGGGACACTTCTCTAATTGAAAATGCTGACGGAGTAAGAATGTCCGACGATCACAATGGAGGACAAGAAAGAGATGGCTGCAGTGGAAAAACAACTATCACTCATACCAGCATCATCATCAACATCTTGCAGCAGGCTTCTAGTAGATTTCTAACCGAACAACTTAGGGAAACCAAGTGGAAGTAGCGTCAAGGAGTAGAGATGTCCGCTTAGTGCCTCTTCTCCGCAGAATGGGATCCACACCCCGCGAGATCGAGCGTGATGCAACTCGACAGCTGCTGAATCATCTGACTCGATCCATCGTGGTGCGCAAGTTGCCGGAGCTGTCAGCTGATATCGCCACTGCACCACGGGGCAACACAAGCGAGAATCATCGAAAATGGTTGCCCGTTCAACTGAAGGTGAGCCAAAGCAGCAACGTCGCAGCCTGGATTAGGCAACTGCGACATCAACTCACCACCAAGAAAGACGCCTACCATGGGTGCGCTCTTTGTGCCTACTCCACCCACAGCAAGGAGGCTCTGGCGATGATGATACATCGACGCGAAGACTTCAAGAAGATGGATCTCCTTGAGCCTAGCATCTGGACTTCAGCCAGTGGAGCAGCTAAAAGACTTTACAGCTCTGGCCCAAGAATGCGCTGCATGATCCTGGATCTTTGCAAGGAGCACTGACGACCAGAAGCAGCACTCTCGTGGAGACGCGACTTCGAGAGGATTCCCGAAGAGCTTTGTCGCAAAGTCGGCCCTGGAAGTATGAAAGGAGTCCAGAGGAGTTCGATGTCGTTGATGGGTTCCTAATGGGCTTCGGGGGAAGCGAGGTGCTACGGATTCAAGAAAGAACCCTGAAACTGCAGAAGCGAGGTGGCGAAATTACAGGCCTCACCGTATCGACGCAAAGGTATACTCCTAAAAGTTTCCCACTAGTCTGCTAGAAGAAATTTACGAGAGGAGGGAGCGCCACCCATCTAAGACCTAGCTACAGAAGCAAAACAGCCCACGCCACTTTTGTACAGTGAAACATCTCTGGAAAAGTGATAGAGCCAAAATAGTCCAACCTGAACCTTTTTAGATCCAAACCAAAGGAGGTCCTCAATGCCTGAAACTCCACCGCAGGAAGAACGGGGAAGGCTTCACGCCGACAGCCGTGGACTATCTCGCGCTGCACCTACGAAAAAGCACGAAGCCACCAGCAGAGCTCATGGGAACATTCCTCATACCCGTGCAAGAGCTTCAAAGACATGGCTTCGCCCCGGCCGACACTAATACGCAGAACAGGTTCCACGTTTTTCTTGATCAGTATGCTCATCCTAATCGCTAAGCCCTTTCCTATCATAACTGCTGCGCAGTTGAGTTCAGACGTTCAGCGAGGACCTTCTGCTAGTATACACATGGCCACACTTGAGAAAGGTCTTCAATTATTTCCATGCAGTTGCACACTAAATTCACGAAGATTCTGCTACTTCAATGATAGACTTGCGAGAACTCCCTCAAACTACTTCACAGCACAACCGCAGCGCCGAACAAGTGGCCGAAGACTCTCAACGTCGACCGGCAGACGCCTTACTTCGAACGGAAACAGCAGCAGGCCCACTCGTGCGACTCATTTTACTTCTCGACTGATGATCTTGCTCAGCGAGATTTCGAGCCTCCAGCCGTTGAACGTTTCAAGAGGTGCACAACGGAAGGCGCGAGCCCTTCTCCTGGGCTCAAGGATAGGTCTAGAGGAGGAAGGGGCGACGCGCTGCCTGGGTTGTTCAAGAAGATCCGGAAAGGATTGGGCCTGGGCCAATGATCATCTATGGCTAAGAAGTGCGAAACGCTTACCATTGCGAGAACCTCACCGGGAACTTAATCGCTTCCATGCGAAACCGAGTAGATAACGGTCTTGACTTTCATTCTTATGCAATCTCTATCGAAGGACTACTTTTCTGACCTGTACAGTTATGCACTCTTATCGCTCTGAATTTTATGTAGCTCAGGCATATTCTTTATTCAAGTGTCTAAGTGATGCTGTGGCAGAAGTATGTTTCTGGGCGCTTCTTGGTCATGCTCTTCGTCCTGATATGATTCAAGGCCAAGTGAAGTTTTTACTTTACAAGTTCAGAACTATGAAAGATCGCGCTTTTATGTTTGTCATGCTCATTTTGTGAAGGTGTGGCATTTTTTCCGAGTCATCTCCATTCTCTACAAGATCCAAGAGGTACTATGATAACAAATTGAATTGAGATAGGCGGATGCTTATGCTGATGAGTAATAATCTCTACAGTCTGTTGCACAATCAACAGCATAGCTGGCGCTGATCTACTCACCACGCGGTCGCTTGGGGTGAGGTTCAGCGCCTGCGTCGCCAAATGGGTCCAAGAGGTCATCACTTGCTGCGATATTCATCCGCAGAGGAGCAGCGGGCACTGCAGCAGATGGCCTTGAGCTACTACTAGAAGCTGCTTGCGGCTGCCGGTCGTTGAATGTGTCAGCTGTTCCCGACTTCTTCACTACTTTCAGCTTCTGCAGAATGCAGACTTGCTGACGCACTTCTTTCACACGAGGAAGAAGAGCAGACTTGATTCGCTTCGACGCGTCGCCAACAGATGCGATTACTGCCGAGGGCTGCTTATCGTCCTTGTGCTTCAAGCTTTCATGTTGTTCATACTTGAGATACAGCGACCAAGACGCTTTATCTGCTTTCTTCGCTTGCAGCCGCACCTTGGCGATGGTCTTCTTGCAGTGCTCACAACAGATGCTCCAGTAATGATCGTGGCGAACTCGTCCTAGTTCAGTGCGATCGTTGCGGTCTGCGCCTGCCACTGCGCCAGCTGCGTTGGTTCCCTGGCGACTATCGACCCCGATGCTCATCAAGCCGGGCAAGGACTCCACGCCGCCTCCTGCGTTGAACCTTTGGTAACGCTTGGCCGCCTCGTCATGATCTAGCAAGAGGATCTCGCGCAGTAACTTGCGCATCTCGTCCTGTCGTGGTATGTTTGGGACTCTTGTCTGCAGATAGTAGCCAAGGGCCTTCGGGAGCATAGGCGCTGGAAGCAATTCGACATGCTGCGATAGCAACTCCGGAAAGCTAATCCACGTGGCGTTGTAGATCGCGACTCCCAGCAGACCACCGCTAGAAGTAAGCTCATAATTCACGAGCGCACTGCAATCCGAACGGTATCCAACGCGTGGCTTGTGTTCTCGAGGATCTACTTCGAGACTGTCTGCGTCGTCGGTCAGACGCATGCCTTTTCCCATATAGCGACCGCGACAGCACTCTAGTCCTAGGGTGTAGCTGTTCTTCTCATCATCTCGGAGCACGATGAAGCCATACTTGTCGATGAACCTGCGAACGACAGCAGCACCGTCGACAGCCGTTCCTAGATCCGACGCCACAAGTTGGAGCTCCGTTGATCGTCCGCTACTGTCGTCTAGCCAACAGGCGACGTCCCAAGATGGATGCCAGTAGGTCTGCGCGTGCGATGCTATTGGAGGACTGTCCTTCATGACTCGTTCTGTGGCCTTCCTATGCAGCTCCCGCCCGGCGCGGTTAAGAAGATGCTTCTGCGCGACCGTCTCTAAAGATGCAACCTCGTTCGTCATTTCTTGCCCACGAATTCCATTCGTGGTTAGAAAATCCTCTAAGCCTGCACTGGTTGCGCTTGCTGTTCGCACATAGTCCCTGAACTTCTCGACGCTGCAAACGCGAGCACGAGCTCCTACAGGGTACGAACTAGGAAGTTGCTCAAGCAAGGTTGTTTTCTGCCACAGTAATCGCCTCCAAGAAAGACGAGACTGCCCTTCTGTTGCTCTTGTTTTGGCCTCTCCAGCGGTGACATAACGCCAGAAAGATCCCCGCTCAGAGTCAGAAGTTGCGCCCGACAGAGTTTGGAACTGGATGAAAGAGCATGCCTCGCTATCTTCATTGCCTTGGAGCATCGTGTTGAAGACTGTCCCGATGATTGTTATGCTGCCTGTGATGTCGCTGATGTTGATGCTGCGCGTCGCCAGAGCTACCGTTTTCCGATAAAAAACGCTGATCCACAAGCTGCACGCCGGGCCGTACTCCGCGTAGAGGTAGTATCTCATCGTTAGCCGCGTGAGCTCTAGACCACTTTCGAGCGCCTGCTTCACGTTCCACATGAGGTTCAGGGAGTGCTTGACGAAAGTCAAGAGACACGGCGGTAGGAATTTGGTAGCGTGCAGCTGGAAGAGCTTAACTCCGCCATCTGTTCGGATCTCTGGAAACAACCGCTTGAATTCCTGCTCGTGTACGCCCATGCTGTCCTCGGTGAACTGCTTTCCATACGTGTGCTTCAAGTGTATGCAATGGAAAACATACGGAGCGCGATGGAGCTGCGTGTGGTGCGAGCACTCTGCCTCAGAGATACGCAGTAGAGCCCTCCGCAATGCCTGGAGCTTCTCCATGTCACCCTTCAGTCTGTGTTCTTCATCTTCGACAACAGCCTTCACGGGGGTGCTGACAGCTCCTAGATCTGGCTCCACCTGGTTTGCGATCGGCAGCGCTGATGTACTTCCTACAGCAGGTGGACTCAACAAAATGCCAGGTGTGCCAGGAACATCCTCTAACAAGCCTCACCCTGGCGATGCAGCTCCTCGACCTGCGTTTCGCATTGGCGACGAGATGGAGTCAGTGGCGTTTGGTACGGCAAGCGCATCTCGACTACTTGCTTGCGCGGCCAGCCGTGCGAGAGCATCATCACCATCGTCAGCATCTACAAGCTCAGGGAAGAAGTCATCTAGTTCTGGCATTTCAGCACCACCTGCCAGCGCCTCGCTGTATGTGCTGCCAGCACCTTCTTCCTGAAGAAGGACGCTCGAGGCCTCTTGCGGATGAACTTCCCGCACGCCCAAACCTCGACCGCCTTCAGATGTCAGCTCCTCTACTACTGCAATTGCGACGCCTCCATATTTCGCAAACCATTGAGCAACGTAGACAACTCGAAACCACCGCGCCCGAACGTACGACACAAAAGCGGTCTCTGTGGATGGTGGTTATGTTAGGGTCTTGCGGAAGGAGCAACACGAGGATAGAACCGGTTGTGAAGTGAGGAGGTTCTACGATGCCAAGCGTCCACATCTCGGGCGCAGCTGTACAAACAGAAAGAAGCAAACCATAGGCGACGCGATGGAAGCGAAGAAACGAGACCAATTCAATCCAGCGGCTGAGTGAGACGCTAGACAACGCAGTCGATTCGACCGTGAGTTCTGTCGTCGCTTTCTGAGTATGAGTAGTCGAGTACCCTTATGGGGATTCGTGTTTAGATCACGCGGATCCCCATAGTATGCTTCACCATGCAAGGAAAGTTTTCGCAAGACCTCAATTTCTAGAGGGGGAGAGGTCTCGAAGCGAGATCTATGAGTAGTCTGAGAGAAGCCCAGACTACTCATCAGAAAACACTACTCACGGATGATCTTTGCAGCAAACTTCTGCATCGAAGAACCGGCGAACCGATGCGAAGGTCTCAGAAGACCTTCTTTTCCAGCTCATGAGCACAAAGCCAGGCGCGCCAGCCATCTGCTCTACGACACGGAGATGCATTTTCATGGCAGGACGAGGCTAGCTGAAAACAAACACGACAGCAAACGAAGTAGAGACGTGGACCCAATGGCTGCAGGATGGACACCATGTCGGGGAAGCCGAGAATGAGTCTGCAACTTGACTTCGAAGCATCGCTATGCACTATCAAAGGCAGTACCGTGCTCGAGCGCTTCTGCAACGGATAGGCCGGCTTCTCGCATATTTCGAGCATCGTGTGCAGTCTTGTGCCCATGGTGTTTTACTTTCTGGAGAAGATTCGCACGGGCTCGGCTGAGCGCTCCTCGAAGTGATTTCTTGCTTATTCTCCCTCCAGTGGCTGTTCGCAAGGTCGTGGCAAGTTCAGCAAAAAGCTGGCTCTTGTTGCTATTATTGGAGAGCCTATGATGTAGGCCAAACCGAGGCAGTACTGGAAGAAACTCCGCTAGAGCAAGATAGCGCCGCTGCTCACAGTCTTCTTGATCGCCATCGAGAACGATGGCGATCCGTTCGCCATGGTCGTTGTGATTGGCCGCGACACTCTCCAAGAACCCATCTCCACCGATGTTCGCCATCAAGCGAAGCATCGAGTCAACCCGACGCGCAGCTGCGGCGTACTGCTTTGACTTGCCAGGTGGAACAACTGGAGCACTCTGCAAAGCAACTGGCGCGGGATAGACCCTCACTCCTCCACCGGAGTCCTTGCATGGAGTATAGACCTGCTGTTGTGGCAAGGGAAAATCATCAACGAAGACGCGGAGCAGGGCGAAATAGATTCGGGCAGAACAGCGAGGAAGTGCCTCAAGTGCTGCGAATGATAGGTGACTCAGCAGCTTCACATCTAAACACAATATAAGTAAACATCTCCACGCACCTGCGTGGCCTCCTTCTTCTGTTTGCCTTTGACTGAGCCACCCGACTGCAGGTTCAAGATGTTCGCCCAACGAAGACCTTGCACACCACCAGCGCGAAAAGGAGGACGCGTCTGCCCTCGAAATTTATCCAATGCAAAAGCGATGTCTTGACGCGTCTTGATGATCTCCTTCTGATAATGGAGGAGGGGGGAAAGATGCAAACGAGGATCGAGCAAAAATGTCCAGAGATGTGGATTTAGTTTCCTTTTCTTCTACGTGGTCCAAGTTGTTCACACTACATAAACAGAGAACCTTTTGGAAGTAGTTCGTCTTCTCCTTCATACCGCAATACTTCACCTCGAACGCATCGGCCAGAGGCTGAACATCATCGCCTTGGATCCGGAAGCCCGACATTTTGACTTCTGCCAAGTGCCAATCTCGTAGCCAGTGGAGCGCTGGGCTTCGGTCTAGAACCCGAAGCGTCGCAATCTGCATGGGGGAAAGGGGCTATTAAGAAAAAACATGCAAGGAGAAGCACACGAAGAAGAAGAAGCGACTTGAACGAAGGTAAAGACTCCAAGTAGGAAATGCGCTAGAACTCGACTACAGCGGAAATCTTACTACTCACATAGCGCCATAAGATACGGGGTTACCGCCTCGAGGCCCAGCATATCGCTGGCGGTAGCATCGTCGAGACTGACGCTGCGTCTGTTCTCGAGCTCCGGGAACATATTGGCGGCCCGGTCTCGTTGGTCTATCCACTTCTCATGGTAGTCCCGTTTCCAGTTCTTCGCCCGCGATACTCAGAGGAAGGAACATCCTCACTCGAAGGACTCCAGCCTGCACGGGGGCACGCGGACGAGTGTCCGGCAGTGCGGGACTCCAGCCGTTGTTCTTTTGAGGGGGCATCATAAATCAGCGTAATGATTTTCCTACATTCGTCGCCATTTCTTATCTTCTTCATGGCGTTCGCAATAGCAAACTACGCAAGCAACTTTTATACTTTTCGACTCCCTTCCCTTCTTTTCTCTTCGCTCTCTAACTCAGACGCTCGCCACTCAAACGAATGCGCGATGCGAAGACTTTGGGGACACTGCACGACGCGACTGCCGTCTACGCGTCCCACGAAATCACGAAACAGCCACACAGATGCAGAACGCGTCTGCTTTCATTCGGCAACGAGCGAAGGCCCCATATGTCGAAGCCCATGGAGACTACTGCTTTCAAGTGGTTGGCAGCTGTGAAATCTTATGACTGGTTTCTGTTGAGCTTCAACGTAAAGCGTGAAGTAGTCAAGGGCCTGGCTATCACGGTATCCGGTCGATGACCGATCAAAATAGTAAGTATTTGCAGTGCTGCTGGGGTCGTGTAGTTCTATAATCTGAATTAGATGCGTCATCTTCTTGCTCATAAGTCTTGGGGTAAAACTGACCAAATAAATCACATAGGTAGTCTGTAGCGCTCTTCTCAATTCGCAGCGCTGTAGTGTGTTTTTCGTACTTGGGGACCATCTGTTTTTTTAATGAAGAAAGTAAAGCCTTGGAATTGAACAGCATTAAGGTAGGAAATTACTCAGGGACGAGAGATCTTGGTAGCTGGAAGAATTTCGATAATATTGCCACATGCATCGTTTTTCGTCTTCTTTCACTCACAAGCAGCAAGTTGCCAAACTCTAACGATCAAAAATCGTAGGAAGCCTAGCTGCACTCCTCACGCCGCAAAGCAGCAAGCACGACAGACCTCGAGTGGACCGATGGCCCCTTTTCTCCCAAAGAAGGCGCTGATGATGCAACTCCATCTACGGGCCCGGCTGGCCAGCGGGTAGCTCCTGTTCTTCACCACCGTGCAGGAGGCGAGACGCGTCTCCCTCCACCTCAGCGGTGACGTCTTCAGCTGCGGCAGCCTTCTTGGGTTTGGCGTTCTTCTTCTTACCAGCAGCGGCTTTCTTCGGCTTCGGGCCGGCCGTCTTGTTCACATCGACTTGCTCACCATCTGGCTGCCCCACGTCGACGCTCTCCTTGTCCTCCTCCGGTTTCGGATCACCATTCCCTTCGTCTTGCTTTCCCTTCTTCTTTCCAGATGCTTTGGCTTTTGCGTTGGGCTTCTTCTTAGCATTCGGGCCAGCCGGCGAGGCCTGTTTCTTCACTTCGTCCTTCTTCTCGTCGACGGCTGCCTCCAGATCGATCGCGCCCACCTTCTCTCTCACCTCCTGGGCCACCTTTTCCGGAGAAGGCGGGATGGCGATCGCGTTTCCAGTAGCGACAGCAGCACACGACTCCCCCACATCCTCTTCCTCGAAGGAGCTCAGCTTGCGCTCCTTCGTTTTCGGCGCCGGAGACTCCTTAGGCGAGTTCTCCCACGGACGACGAGGCGCTTTCTTGGATTCGAAGACCGGACGGAGAGCTTCCTTCCTGTAGCGGCCACCAGCGGCATGACCACCTTCAGCTCCACCGATGTCCTGCGAGTTCGGCAGGGACACCACACAAGAGAGCTGGCGGCGTTGGTTCCACCCACCGGCACGTTGGTGTGAGCAGCAAAAGCTGCAGCCATGGTTCCCGGACCCGCGACAGCAGCGGCATTGCCGAGCATCAGCGGCTGCTGAAGCTGGCTGGTGGGGTCCGTCATCTTCTGCAGAAAGCCGGCAAAAGCGCCCTGCGTCTGGTTGTTGCCACCATGGGCGGCGCCATGCGTTTGCTGCTTCTTCAGAGAGGACTGTGCGTGGTATTTGGACAAGATGAAGGAGTGCACGAGCCGCAAGTGTGAAAGCATGAAGGTCCTGAGACGTTCAAAGCAAGAAAGTAAGCAAACACTTAGCCGATACCTGAGCGCCCATGATGCGAGCTTTCTCAGCTTGGTTCTTGCGAGCGTCCCTCACTTGTTTCTTCATCTCAGAGATCGGCTCGCAAGCCTCACCACGGTCCTCCGGACAGAGGTTCTTGATGAAGCCATAGATAGAGGACGCGGTCGGCTGGTACTTCGTTGAGGGGTCTCCAGGCAGCTGCGACGTGGTTACAGATTAAGTCGCCACGAGGAACATAGAGCAAATAGCTTGAAACAAAGACGAGACTTCATCTTTTCAACACAGAGCACACAGCTCAGCCCTTTCTTTTGCTGGTAAGAATGCAGACCGACAGCACTCAGATCATTGGGAGATAAATCATCAGTACTTTTTCAGCGTCGCGGTTTAGTCCCCAGCCTTGTAAGATCTGCAGAGCGTCCTCGGTGTTGCGACAAGCCTCCGCAGCATCCTTATGAGGCAGGTAGACCGCGCCCGCAATCCAGCTGCACAACTCGCCAGGCGGCAGCTTTCCCCACGGATCTGTTGGCATTTAAGGTCAAAGGTGTGATAAAAAACCAAGACAACAAGGGCAACTGGGGCCGTACGTCAGTACGGTTCTCAAATTCTATCGGGTCAGCAAGCAGGTCCAACTTGGTTTCTTATGGTCTAAAGGTGGCACTACATGCATTGACGTACTTTACTTCGTTCTAAATCAACAGACCGCGTAGAAGAATAAGCAGAAGAAGGCAGCGCCGTCTCCTTTGTTGAACGGGAGCGCTTTTTTACCAGGTCCGGCAACCTCAGTGCGGCGCTTGCGTTCGCGATTGATCTTGGCGAGCAGATCGCCCAAGTCATCCGTCTCCAAGTGCTGCAAGTTGCGCTGCAAGTTGTGCATGATATCTAGTTGCAAAAATGGAGGCCCATGAGGGTCCTTGCCGAAAGTTCCCGAAAGTTTCCGAAAGTTCAACTGGCAGACTTTCTCTCACTCGATAAAAGCGCCTCCCGTGAAGCGTCCTCAGATTCATACATACGCGGGCCCCCCGCTGGCGTAGTTAGTGGCGCCTGTAAGTTGTTCCCTCGGGGGGTCGCTGAGTTGCTTCGATCGATGCGTGCATGGATGCACGCATGCCATGGCGTGCATGCATGGACTCGCTCACAACGAACCAACGCGCTCAGTCACTGCTAACTAACAGCGAGGCTCCGTTCGTTGGTTTAGTATGCATAGGTAAGTATATAGGTGCTCCTTTATCTATTTATTTACAAAGTAACTAAGAAGCAACCAAGCCACTTTTTTAACTAACTTAGTCCGAGACAAGCAGAGCAGCTCACTCAGCCGCCTCACGCGCTGTCTATTGAGTCTCTGGTAGATTCATTGATACGCTCGCAGATACATGTCATAGGCGCCGAGGCTGGCACCTACTTACTTTCGTAACGCACCTAGCTAGCAGCGGCAGCCAATGAATCTGCCTACCAGCCTACCTACCTAGGTAGTACTAGTAGGTTGGTAGGCACGCAGCTACCTAGCTAGGTAGGTGCGTGCCTACGTAGGTAGGTAGGTAGGTAGGTAGGTAGGCACGCGCGCCGTCTTTCGTTCAGTGCGTGACTCGTCACGCAGACACGTCGGCCATGCATTGACTCACAGGAACGAAGAGAGTGCGCGCCGGGTGATTGAGTGGGCCGACGGATGGGCGCGCGCTCGCGCGCGTTGGTTGGTTCCTGCGTTCATACATGCACTGACTCACCCTCGCGCCCACCCACCCGGCCCGTCAGTCACGCACTCGCCCACCCTCTCGCCACTCAGTCAAGGAGTCCATCTCTTACGTGCCAGCCTATGACATAGAGACAGCGCATGGGTGTACGCATGTCGTAAGTATCTATGGCATCCATGTGAGTAGGTGCGCACATATGAGACGCATAGACCGACCGACTGACTGACAGGAAAAGAGAGAACGAAGGCAGACGCGTGCCGCTATCTAGGATATTGAATACGCGCCCACCTATGTACCCACTGCACGCGTGCGAGCGCCAGAGTGAGAGGGCGGGGCGAAGGCCGCGGCGCCGTTACGTGTGTGGGGGAGTGCGTCAGACTGTCTGCCCCATTGTGGTGGGTGCGTACCTAGCTACTACCTAGCATCCGTGGGCGTATCTATCTATCAACGTTAAAGAACTAAACAGAAGCACGCCCTTGCTATATCTAGAGGGGTCGGCGCTGGCTAATTGTGTACACTATAGGACGTGGCTACGTGCGCGCGTGAGTGCTTGGCTGGGTGCGTAGATGGTGCGTGTCTATGTGTGAGCCAGTGCGCGTGCCTACTGTAGGCATCCACGAGCGTACGGCAGAGATAGAATGAGAGGGCGGACGCGTCCTGTCCATGGATGCATGGGTCTGGATTTCTTAGAGTCCGCGCGAGTACGGACCGACGTGCCCACTCATTCACCTGTAGGGCTGCAGCGTCGAGAGATCGAAGAAAAGGCCGGTGGCTCTTCGTTAGTTTCCGAAAGTGTTTCCACTTTCCTTTAGTTACCGAATATCGCCGATTATTTCCGTTCTTGTTTCTCCCGGTTCCTTCGCTCCGTTTATTTCCGTTTATTTCCGTTTCCTCCGAAAGTTGCCGAAAGCTTCCGAAAGTTGCCGAAAGTTTCCGAAAGTTTCCGAAAGTTGCCGAAAGTTTCCGAAAATATTCCTCGGCGATTAACGGAAAAAGACGGAAACTTTCGGCAACTTTCGGAAACTTTCGGCAACTTTCGGCAACTTTCGGAGGAAACGGAAATAAACGGAAATAAACGGAGCTAAGGAACCGGGAGAAACAAGAACGGAAATAATCGGCGATATTCGGCAAAAAACGGCGGAGCGGTTTTTGATTGACATATCTGCTGCATTTTTGTCAAATTGTTGAAGAAAGTTCTGCCGTCGCATCAATCTGCAGACTGACGGGCAACATTCTTCGACGGGGACTTTGAGAAAATTTGGAGGCTTGTGATCTCTTAGCTACTGTCTGGGGCGTTGGTTCGTTCGTACATACATAGGCTGGCCCGTGGATTCATTCACACACCCACACGCACGTAGTTAGATACACTCACAGGCACACTCATTCACAGACTGCCGCTGACTCCTACACACGCCGCCAGGGAGGTTGGTAGGTCGGTGGGTAGACTGCCTGTTGGAAGGATGGGCGCGCGCCTACATTCATAGACACATAGATACGCAAATAGCTACCTAGGCCGAGCAAGAGCGCGCCCCCACTGACTAACTGCCAGGAAGGCCGCTGGATACACAGTGCGAGCGGGTGCCAGGCAGGGAGACCGCAACGCAGACAGACGCGCGCTCTCTTATACATAGAAAGATACACCCGCACAGAGACGCGCACTCACGTCGAAGTAACGGAAACTAGCCGCCCTCCTCCTTGCCTCACTTTCGTTCTTGCACTCTTTCGCACGCTCTTAGTTACTTAGATAGTATGCTAGATACATAGTTCGACACCCTCGCGCGTAGATCAATCTGGCTAGCTATCCGGTAGATTCTAGGCCATGAATGTATATACATTCATAGGTCCGACAGATTCATCAGGTACATAGCTACGCGCGGCACCTAGCTACCTAGACCGACCGGCGCGCGGGTCGTTCCATGGCTGGGCCCATCGGCGGGCCGCGTGCGCCAGGCAGTGGGTGGGTGGGTGGGTCGATGCATGGATCGAGGGGCGCGCAGGTGCGTGGATTGCTTAGACTGATGCACTACAGAGACGCGCGCGGCCATGAGAGGGAGAACGAAGCGAACGAATGAAGCAAAGAAACAAGGCAACAGACTAAGACTGACAGAAACAAAAACGGAGGGAGACAGAGGTGAGCAAGGAAGAGAACGAAGGAGAAGAAGATAGAAGCGAGCAGGGAGGAGAATGAGAGAAAGAAAGTCAGACAGGGGCCACACATAGTGAGACACAAAGAAACAGAGACAGAGAGAGCGAGCGACGGGCGGAGGATGGATGGAAGGCATGCAGGGAGCTGGCTCCAGAGTGAGAGAGAACGGGAGGCAGACTGACTGACAGACACAGACCAGACTGACTGGGGGGGCAGTCAGAGAGAGAGAGAGAGAGAGAGAGAGAGAGAGAGAGAGAGAGAGGAAGCAAGCAAGAAAGAAGCCAAGCCAGCGCGCCAGGCAGCGGGCTTGGTTGCCAGGTGTCTTTGTGTGTGTAGTCAGGAACGAAGGAAGGAGGAAGAACCAATGAAAGGAAGGGGGTGGCTGAGTGCAGAGGGAACAAGCTAAACAAGAAAGACGGGGCCCCGGCTCACTGCTTGAAGCAAAGCAACCAAGACCAAGGGAGACCAACAGACTGACGGACAGCCGCCGCCGTCGTCACGCTACTGGCTTTGCCGAATCTATCAGAGCAACACTTGCCAGATGAACTTTCGGAGACTTTCGGCAACTTCTGGCGATCCATTTCATGGGAGCTTCTCTTTGCAAATCTAGTGCGTCGCGAACCTTCTCGGGGCGACGGCGGCCGTCCTTGATCGTGGTGGAAGTTGTGGCCATCTTGAACAAATAGAAGTAGACTAGTTGTTTTGCTCGAGTCGTTGCCGACCTTTGCTAAACCTCAGATCAGCGTTTGAAAAGGTTACCCCTGCAGCATTTGAGTAAGATAATATGAGGCGTAGAAAGAGAAGGGCGGTGGGAAGTTATTCCGCATGTAGTTAGGTTTTGTAATTATCAATGGACTCGAGCGAACTTGTAGCAAAAAGATCGATAGGCCGACTTTGTTCTCTCACATTTGCGCACGGTCTGGCCCTCGTTTTGGATCATGGAGCGACGACATTCTTCGAGTGAATTCGTTGCGTTGCTTGGACCTCGATACTCATGGGAGCAGATTCTCGCAGCAGTTCTCCTTTCTTTCGGAGTGCAAAAAGCAGACAGGAGCAGCTGAGCTTCACTCAGGCGACGCTGTTGACCAGCACAAGGGACTTCATTCATCCCCATCAGACGGCCTTGGATAAGAGAGGTTTGTTCTCGGTAGAGTTTTAGACCAACACACTGAAGGGCTTTCCACTCGACGACCTTAGCCAAGTACTCAGCTACGCCATAACAAGCGACATCTTTGCCATAACGACTCCGGATGTGCTGCACCTAGATGACCAAGGCACCCAGGGCTCAAAGCGTTGCGAGGTTGGTGCCGGAGCTTGGAATATGCAAAAACGTCATCCAGGAACGGCGATTTCAGGCGTCGAAAGCCAGCGGCGCGCGGGTAGGAGGGCTCAGTCTTGCTTGGGGGCAAGTGGGGATGAGCCTCGGGGAAGAGGAGGGTGTTTGGGCCTGTCAGTCTAGTCCTATTTTAACTAGCTAGTTTAAGACACTGCACTTACCCACCGCTGTCCGAGGCTGCAGACCCTCCATCAGGTACGCCGGTCCGCTCAGGTGGCTCAGGGTGAGCACTCGCGAGGTTTTGATTTTTGAGTAGGAGTAGTCTTTTTTCTGTCATATTAGCAGTACTGCTACTACTACTTTGCTCATGCTCATGTGCTTCGTGTAAGACCCTTGCTGGCCTAGAGTGAAGCTATTTGAAACTTCTACTATACTATTTGGAACTTCTACTCACGTATCATGTATTTGGACACTAAAGCCAAGCTTATGCATCAGTACTGCTACTACTACTATACCGTATAGTTTGAGGCTTCATGTGTATCGGTGCTAGTAAGGGCTGGGGAGCTAGGGACCGACTGTTGTACAGCAAGAGCTACGGGAACAAGTGGAAAAATAGTTAGGAGACGTTCTTGTAGAAGTTCAGGTTCAAGTAGTACAAGAAGGAGACTAACTACAATAGAGGTGTTGTGGTACAACAAGAAGAGACAGAACTGGGAGATGACATCAATTGTAGATGCAGTACAACTTGTAGGAGTTGCGCTATCGTTTGCTCTTCCACGAGATGCTCCTGTACTTTTATCGCTTGCTCCACCAAGTTTACGGCCAGCTTGCTGCTGCCACAGAGGTGCAGCAGCTAAGAGTAGGAGAGCCACACCCTGAAGCGCTGCAAACAGCTTTCAGATTAGAAAAACTACATTATGTAGAAAGATTAGAGAGCTGGCTCTTATATTAAGTTGGAATTTTTACAACAGTCAAAGAACAACAGCCTCGGCATTAGAAATGCATGAATTTCTACAGCAAGTAGAGCCGAGAATTGTAGTACCATAAACATACAGCTTTAGGTGCTGTAAAAAATGGAACCTCGGTATAGGAGGGATTGAAATTATCACAGAATCATGAGTGGAAAGCCAACTACATCTCACATGACATCATTTGAAGAACAAAACTGCCTCCCTACGCGTACGTCGGAGGCCTTCATCTAGCAGGAGATATTATGTCAAGTAACAGTAAGCATGTGGTGACTCATCTGTTATTTTACTTAGCTACAACTCGCTTATCTTGAGTTTTCGAGTATTATTAAATACCCCTACAACATAAAGTCACGTCCCACTGGATGCCACCCCATTGGTGTTTTTCTTCCTCATCCTCCATAGCCGATGGTGCCAGAAGTGGCAACAGCTAATGTTAGATATTAAGGTTTTCACTTGGATATGAAGGTTAGGCTAGGATCGCTAGCTCGTCAGGTTTAAGCGTCGTCGATCTGAGTAAGCAAAATAAATAAGCCTCGGCGAGTCGCACTAATTGCTACGCAGACTGCGTTCTGAGCATCTTTGTAGTGGTGAGCATCTCATGATGTCTTGTTCGTTTATTCACACAGGGAGCCCGACAGGAGGACCAAGATGACCTCGCAGAGGACTTTCGTCGATCGCGATTATCCCTATTGCTCAACAAATTCACAATAATTTTCGCAAGCCTCTACGATGTAAATCTATTTGGCAATCCGCCTAAGAATTTTTCTCAAGAATTTTCACAAGCCTTAACAGTAGGATAAGACGTGCCACCTCTGTGCCGGTTTCCCTAGTTAGAGGTTCTTACCATATTACATCACCCAGAGCATGATGTCCTTGGTGGTCTCAAGTTGTCGCGGTATTGTACTACTTCAGTTTCAGAAGTTTCAGATCAGTTTCAGAATTTTCAGTGGTGGTGTAGTTTTTAACCTGATCTGTATGACTATTAGAAAAATTCCTAGGAGTAGAGGTGTGAGTCCCAGTGGTAGTAGTGGGAGGCGTAGCAGTTGGCGTAGCAGTGGTGGGGATGATGTTTCCAGTACTGATGCTCCCAGTGCGAGGAGTGTCTGACTCTGAGTAGCGTTGTCCTCTTGTCATTGCAAGACGAGTACTGGCAAACTAACAATACTACAACAAAGATCACTAGCGCGGGAATAAAGTTGTACTTCATAACCAGACCAAGAAGACTTTTCTATTCTATTTGAGAAACCGAAAAACTGAAACTACTCAAAATAAGAAGATGAAAAGGAATCACTGTAAGACGAAATAAAGGAGTCATGTAGTCAAGATTCATCGTTTATCCCAATCTCTTATTTATACCAATTGTGCCTCAGATACTTAAACACAAAAGCCTCATATTGATGAGTGACGCTAGCTTTAAGCTAAGCTATGTAGACAAAAGGTCGAGATGAGGGATCTGAGCCCTGATGTGTCTATGCTATGCAGACAAAAGGCTCCTACCCTATTAATCTAAGGTAGGAAGATGAGAGATGTTGGCCCTGATCTGTCTATGCTATGCAGACAANCCTATTAATCTAAGGTAGGAAGATGAGAGATGTTGGCCCTGATCTGTCTATGCTATGCAGACAAAAGGCTCCTACCCTATTAATCTAAGGTAGGAATATGAGAGATGTTGGCCTTGATCTATCTATGCTATGCAGACAAAAGGCTTCTAGCCTTAATCTAAGGTAGAATGATGAGGGATCTTAGCCTTAATCTAAGCTATGCGCGCGGGGTCCAGGCTCGTAGTCGGTTCTGCTCCACCACAGATCTACTGAGCCCTCGTTTTGTACCCTAGCAACAAATGCAAAATATGAATCGTGTCTAGATGGTGCAACATCAACATCTAGAAGTAGACACGAGACAGATCATCACGGCTATCTGATAGCCGTGATGATGGCCATTCTTCCTTTCACCTTAATATAGTGGTGGTGGAGCCAGAAAATTTATGAATATATAAGGAGAGACATGGAGTAGAAAAAATTAGCAGGATAGGAAGGCAAAGCAGCCTAATCATGACTAAAGCAGTGTCTAGTACTTCTTGACAAGGGGTGCGTATACTTCTACCCCTTATAGTTATGAAGAGATAGTTAGAGCACACTGCCAACCCGATGTCTGCTATCCCTCTATCTACCAACTTCATTTCTGCTATCCCTTGAAGATGTAAGAAAAAGAAAACCGTACTTAATACTGCATACAGCCGTCTACATTTTTTACTAAAGAGAGGGGTGGAGCCTCGATGATCTACTTGGTCTGAGAAATAATGCAAGATAAGTAGACATTATCCTTAGTGTGCATGCCCGTATCAAATGCCGCGTCTCTTGCTCGTCATCCTTGACGCGGCAATTCGTTTGCGAATCTTTCTGCGGCTGCTTGTGAGAATCTACCCGCATGAGCTCCCACGCAGTTGTCGCAGAGCTCTTCATGAAGCAGGCCAACGAGCTCTCAAGAAGTAAAGTCTCAGCTTGTAGAAACTTCAAGTTTCTCAAGTAGAAAATAGGTACTTTGCACAAATAAAGAGTGATAACAATATCTAAATGTATCCGAGGATCGTTTTGACTTCATAATATCATGGGGATCTTCACGATTACCCGTGCTCTTGCGAACTACGAAAAACTCGAGTTTCAGGGACTCGTCTGGCAACCGTGGGCCACGAGCCACGTTGTCGAGAGCTACGCAACGCCTAATCACTTTCCTTTCCCTCAGCTGATCACACACCTCCACAACCAGTGCCCTCTGCTCGAACGCCAAATTTCTTAGATCAGAAGATAGAAGAGATGTATTAATAAGAAGACGAGGAGATGTATTAAGAAGAGAAGATATATGTAGAGTATGTATAGAAGAGACGTATTAGAGGAGAAGAAGAATAGATGTATACTATAGAAGAGATGTATTAACATCCACCAAGTTGCTCATGATGTAGAAGAGAGTTGAGCCAAGTTGTAGAAGAGTTTTTTTTGTGCTTATGAGTTGCATGAAGAAGAGCAAGAAGTAAAGTTGTAAGCAAATATAAATCATCAAGTTGAAGATCATGTAGAAGAGTTGTAAATAGTTTTGATGTAAATTATATAGTTATTTTGTAAATAGTTAAATAGTTGTTTTTAGTTTATAGCCTTCGCCTTCGCGTATCACCTTGTAGAAGGAGAGAAGCAGGGCTAGAGCTGTACTCATATTGCAACGCGTACCGATGCGTACTCCAAAATCCAATGTCACATTAACATCATCATGCTAGAGCTAGAGCTGTACTCTACTTGATGTTATTCCCCCACATAATATGAACTACTTGAATGATGTTTACTTAATCCATCTAGCCAGACATCCATCCATAGTTTATTTACCTGCTGCATACTCTTACTCTCTCTGCATGATACTCAAGCGTATTAACCGTTTCTGCCTTAACTGTTGAAATTCTTCTGTTCTCAATCCCAAAAACAAGTGGTCGCGTGGGACCGACCTGGCTGAGTCAGCATCCAAAGCGACTATAGGTCGCTGAGCAGCGAAGCCGTTGACTCGCCGCATCAACTGCTTAGAAAATCTCCCATACTATTTCTAGAGTCGCCGCATCAACTGCTTAGCAAAACCTTTATATACTATTTCTGCATGCCCAGAAAGCGGGGGGGGGTGTTCTGCTTCTGTAAACTAACATGGGCCTCCCATAGTAGATGTAGAAGTATTCCGATGGTATATTGTAAACCAAGACTTTTTTTGAGGGTATATAAGATAGAAGAAAAGTTGTGCTGCGTCAATCTCAATACATAGATTAATACACTAGGCAGACTTGCTACAAGTTGGAAAAGAAAAAGGGGCCTTCTCGATAAAAATGCGCTGCTTCAATACTATGCACTTACAACCGAAACAAGTGGCCTTCTCGGTAGGCCTTAACAAGGGCGTACGCGAGAAATCATCAGAGAAGAGCCTGATTCGCTTCTAATGAAAGGTGTGGATTGCATGTTCGTAAATTTCGAGAGGTCCCAGTCTACGGCTGAGCCCATCGGCTTCCCGTCCATCGATTCTAGCGGAATCACGTGACCTGCTTTTTCCGGCTCTGCGGCGAGCGGGTCGTACACAATAGCATGCTGACCCAATGCAGACCGCGGAAGCGCATTAGAGAAAAAGGCTTCCGTTGAGGGTCTTTGGGTTCTTTTTAGGCGTGCTCTATATTACTAGCCTTAGCATTGCCCTCAACCTCTTCAGCCTTGCTCTTCTCTTTGCCTAGAAGCTTTCCTTCGTAGTTCTGAGTGAGTGATATCCCCACGATTAGTACTAACTACAATGCTTGACCATGCGAGAAATTGTAAGCCTAATCGCTGTTGTCGCCGACGGCAGCTCCAACATAATCTCATTTGAATATTTTTTCTAATCGAAAAAAGGGCATCGAAATGAGCGAGATGCTGTAATCTACGGAACCATCTCAACAGAGACTCGCATATCATAAGTAGTATATATTTATATACTTGTTACGCGCTTATTTTAGTTTTCAAATATTTCTGTCAGCGCACCTCAACGCAATGACTATTTCTCCACGTCGATTTCCACCACGACATAATATTTCTTCTACTATGGTGTCCAGCGGCATCGCTCCCGCGATCGTTAGCGTATTTTTTCCTAGGTTCGTCTCTTTGGTCTTTGATGCCGTGTCTGCTTCCTTTCATACCAGAACTCCTCTCTCCTTTCGTACTCGTTTGATATGAAGAATGGTGGTCTAGAAAGACGTTGATATGAATGCTGCACTCGCACACTTCCACGACTGGAAGACTACCATGATGTGAATAAGTATAGTTGTAAGCTAAGATGCCAAGATGTAGGATGTTGATAAGCAAACTCTTTAATGAATGCAAGTCTTGTGATGTCATTCTCTTGGACTTTCATTCATCACTGCGTCTCAAGTAATTGCACTGAATCACCAGCAAGGCCGCGAAACATTTCCTGCGACGGTCAGGTTAGGTTATCGATGTCAACAGCTCGTGAGTCGTGGAATACCATCCATAGCTCGTGGAGATCGTGTCTCTCTAGGTTTGGTCGTGGAATGACATCTATACGAGAAGATAGTAACAGGCAGACTGTCATCACATAACTTACAAATAGTCATAGTAAGAGCAGTGCAATACAATAAAGCTCGCACAAAGTTCCGCGCAGACTGCCATAAGGGCGTCATAGCTGTTATTAAAGTGAATTATAACAAACAACATTCATCCCGCATAAATGAACAACAGAAAGAAGCTTGGAGTAGGCTTTTTCAGAGAGTTCGGGCAGAAAAGTTGTCTCCACCAGCCGCCTCCAAGGACCGCCTCCGCCTCCAAGGCCCGCTCTATCCATCAGAAAGAGGAAATTAGAACGATAAAGATACTGCAAAAAGACAGAGATTTTTATCGCACGACTTTTCTACTTAAGAAAGTTGATAATGATGTATGAATTAATAGCCAAAATCATACCGAAAGAGGGAGAATAGTTTCGACGATACACTGAATTTGAATTGTAAGCAAGGAAGTTCTGTAATATTAAAACTAACCTAATTACAGTAGGCGAGAGATCACAAGAAAAAGGGACAGGAAAAGTTTCTAAGATGATGACGCGAAGGGTGAGCGATAGTCTCTTGTTGACCTACGTTCAGTAGGAGAGGGAGGAGCGTCTCTGGTTTGGCAGGTTAGCAGTGCCTATCTTTAACAACTTCTAACGAGACTACTTGCACTTGTATAATGAACTTCTTCTCCTCGTAATATAATTTGAGTTAATATTTCGTGAACTTTTTTGATGACCTTGTTGCATTTCTTGAGTACGTACTTGCCCTTGCGTCTGAATTTCGAGAAGATGAAAGTATAAACAGTCCGCGCATTCTCATAAGAGTTGTTTCCACGACTTTGGCTCCGATGGCTTGGAGAATCGGCGCGAATCCGACAGCATACTTAGAGACGGAGTTGTTGCCCTCTACTATGTCTTTTCGAATAATGCCACTTTATTGAGTCTGCTTAGCTTCTCCATGCGATTCTTTTTCCCTGAATAATAAGTCCGACGAAATTTGTAGACGGAGTAGATCGCCGCTCGGCTTTCTATTAAAAAGCCCTTCTACCATCTACCAAGAATGCGAGCTCAACACTTATTGCCTAGCCTAAGGACTTTATTATATACTCTGTCACTGTTATACAAGAGGATAGGGCGGGAAAAAGGGTAGAGCTGATCGGAGGTAGAGAGCAGAAGTATACTCATTGGCTGCGCTACAGACGGAGCCACCACTCCGCTCATTCTGTTCGGATGATCTGCTCGCAATACTCTCAAGCAACCAGATCGCCCACCCGAGCCCGACCTCAATTGAGGGAAAGACACCGGCCAGAGGACACGGCGAACAAACTCAACAACAAAACGACGACACAAACAAACAAAGCACCGGAAGACCTACGCACAGCCGACGCAGTCCACACCCACGACGGGAAAACACCAAAGCGAGCGCAACGCTCGCTTTCTAATATACCAGGCAAGTAGACTACCACACGCGAGCGCGCGCTTGCTCCCTAGTAGAATCCGGCATAAGGGACACGGCCAGAGAAACAACGACACGACGACGACGAGGGAAGGCAAGGAGGAAATGAGAGAGGAAGACGGGAAAGATACAAGAGTTGGAAGAAATAGAGGAAGGCAAGAGCCGACGAGCTGAACAACGAGGCATATTTATAAGAGAAAGAAGCCACAAACTACCGACATCGGAGAGACAGAACAACGAGGACGAGAATGAACCAGAAGACGAGGAAGGACCGAGACACAAAAGAAGGCGGGGAACATACCAAGAGACGACAGAAGCCACGAGCGCCAGGCCGAAACTAAGACGGCACCCAGCCCGACAGAGCGACCCTCCGCGAAAATGCCGCAAACCAATGGGGCGCCCGGTGACGGCCATCCTTTCAACACTGTGACAACGTGGGCACCTCTTTGGCGACACAACTCCGCACAACCGCAACCCCTGCCACCTGAGTGGGCGGCGGCTTTTGCTTCTGCCGGTCGGTGGCCACTGAACCACATGCATACGCATCCACACAAATAGCGCCAAGCCCGTGAAGATCGAGACAACCACACACCGCCCGACAGCCGCGGGAATGCTGGCCCCCTTCACTGTTTTCCTGAGTTCTTTATCCGCTGCCCTTTCGCGCCCGTTGTCATGGGCCCAAGCATATCAGCGGGGCGGCCGAGGGGCCCAGCTTGCGAGCAGCCTCTGGTCAGCGGTGAGACCCCGAACGCGGTAAAACTCGCACACATTTGGAAGCCTGGCACCCCCTCGGCATCGATCCGCGCAGTTTTTTGCTCGCCGACCAAATTGCTTTCGTGGCCGCGGCGTCCTGTCATACAATGGAGCGCCACACTGTGGGCTGTCTTCTATCTTGACGAAGCCCCACGAGCTGCCTCGTCCAGACTTCAGCGCTTCGGTAGGTGGGACCTCACCCACCATCCGGGTCGTGGGGTGCATGTCTTCCCAGCAGTTGCGCAGGCGTTCGCGCGGCAGACCCCACCCTGCCAACAACAAGAAGCGCGGCGCTGTGTAGGTTACTATACTCGCCCACCGTCGAGGGCTGCGGCCTGATAACTAAAACGCAAACGATCGGCCAAAGACCCACCGAAGTCGCAAACATACGGACCCAACTGCTGCACCTGGATGCTTACCCATGGAGCCGACCCTTACCCCGGCGGGGTAGGATAAGGCCGCGGGACCTCTTGGAGCCACCCACTACCCACACCCGCTACGGTCGGCCCCCGTCGTTGGGGCGCTGGATTTTTCTGCAGATTTCTCGAGTCAGGGCCCCAGAAGCGACTGCCTGAGTCCGGCCAAACAGCTTGGCACTCAGCGCCGGCCTTTCGGTATTCCCTACAAAAGACGCAGCGACAATCTCCCAAACCAAGAACCCCAGGAGCACAGCCCACCACTGGCTTGGCCTGCCAGGCCTCCTCCGCGCGCTGGCGTCCTTGATTGTGCTTGTTCGCGTTCATCGGTGTAGTCCTAGCATACAGAAAAAGAAACACTACAAGTCAAATGAAGCGGGTTAATATACCTCGCAAGTAGGTTGCGCACTTTAGTCAGCCACTTAGTTCCTGCCTCAACTATACCACCACGCTCGTCAGGTGGAAAAACGGCGCCAACTAGCACCGACTTCGCGGCCTTCGCGTCGCCTTGTTGTCGAGCACCCTCTTGGGAAGCGAGCTGCTGAGCAACTCTTAGACACTACTAGAGTTTCAAACTTTCACCGAGTGCCTCTCTGCCAGGCCACATAAGTAATAAGCTACTCTGGCCGTCTAATTTGTTTCAGAGTCTCAGGCCCTAGTGGTGTGCCTGTTTTTCATATAAGATTACGAGGTCAGAAGTGCAAGATGAGTGAGTGCCAGAGAAAATAATGCAATCAAAAGTGATGACTTGAACCGACGAGGGCCAAGATCTTTACAGCTTCTCAAGCGTGATAAAATGATAGTGATTTTGAACCGAAGAAGACCAAGTGAAACACTTTGACTTTTGAAGCACTTTGATCTTTTGAACCGAAGAAGGCCAAGTGAATGAATTTTTGAAGCACCATCAACATCAATGTTAAGGGATTGAGCTGCTCTTAGTGCAGGTCTTCTATGCGACCTCTCCCGATACCAATACACATCCAAGAATAGATATTTTTATCTCAGTGCCAGGGGTCAGATAATAGTAGTAGAAGTAGTATAGTAGGAGTGTAGCTACTCACTCGTGGAGTATAGCTAAAGCTAATAGATTCTATGTATGACCATAAAACGAGTTGAAACAGCGAGACGCTGAGTTGTTGCGGCAGTACGAAGAGAATTCGTAGTTGTGAGGAACCACCAGGATGTTAAAGATTGAAGCACTTCACTTTTTAGCCGCTTCTCAAGTTGAAGAGAAGGCTTTATTTAAACATGAAATCCATGCTTCAACAAGCCTTAAGGCTGTAATCTCTGAAACTCTCGCAGACCTCTCACGCTGCGCACCACTATAGGTATCACACCTCGCAAATTCAGAACGCTATTGGCGGCGAAGCGGAACAGTCGATGCTCTGGTGGCATCGTCCCTCGCGGCGATGGTGCCCCATTTTCCTGGAAGGGTATTCTTTTTCCGCGGTACACGAAGACAAGCGTGGGATACGTGCGCACTTGCAGGAAGGTTTGGGTTACCTCACCCTGTGACCGGAAGATATCTACGTGGCACAAATCTACCAGGTTTGAGTGAGACAATACCGCATCCATCCAGGAGCCGCGTAGAGACCGGAACGCGCCATAGACGTGAAAGAGAAGAATCGGCGCTCCCGCCCCACTTGCAGACTTTATTTAGATGAGGTCGCTCTCGTTGCGCCGCACTTAACATTAATACATTGCCCTTCAGATGAAGATGAACGCCCTCCCTGATGAAGGTGAACATCTTCCCTGGTGACTTATCTGAAATTATTGGAAATAGAAGAGACAGGGTGGAGAATCAGGGTGGATGCTGCTGGTTAGGGATGTAAAGTGGGAACCCGTAAGAGGACGCTCTTTTTTGATCTCTGGTGCCCAGCCAAGATCTTCTTTCTTGCAGAAGCTGATCGACTTCGCCCATGTGCCTCACGCGTTTGCCTGGCATGCTTGCGGCTCCGTCGTGAAAAAAGTCATGAATTAGAAGCGCCAGGGCTTTGGTGTTTCTACTGATGACGATTATTCTAGTCGACTCGGGTTGGGCCTACGACTTCTCCACTATTTTTTCTCGTTTTTCTTATCATACTCTACTTTGTCTCCCTTCGGAGAGCAGACATAGCAAACGGCAACAAAAAACGCCTCTAGACCAGTGCCCCTAATTGGAAAAAGGACGTCCCACCGAACGGCCCCCCAAACGGTCCAGACGCGCTACCAAACGGTCCAGAGCGGGCGCCCGGATGAGGACGCCCCGCATCTTCATTATCGTCATAGAGTCGACGCTTCTCTGGATCTGATAAGACTTCATACGCCTCTGCTATGCTCTGGAACTTCCTCTCTGCCTCTGAATCGTCCGGGTTCTTGTCCGGGTGCCATCGCATGGCCAGTTTGCGGTACGCTTTTTTGATACCTGCGGCATCCGCCTTCGGGTCGACTTCTAGAGCCTCGTAGTAGGACGAGGAACCCTCTACCAGACCACAGCTGCAATACAAGACAGGTGCAAGCAAAGCAGCAAAGACGGAACAAAAACGGGACAAGAGGACCATCTTCCACTTCAGGGCCATTTTGCTGGTGGTGGTAGTGCTTATGTATGATAGATTGATGCAGCTTATTACGGTACCATCGCGCCTGTTTATGTTCTAATTGCGCTTTTGAACAAAGGCCACGTGGTTGAGCATGTGGCGCAGACTGCTTTTTTACCAGTAAGCTTGGATGCTTTAATTATAATAAGCGGAGTGAGGAACAGGGCTTGAATGAAGAGAGCTACAACATTACCCCACAGGCAGACTACCGGTGTAGAAGCAGCAGAATCTATCAAATACTGCCAGAAAAAACCGGGGAAGCTTCGTCAGTGATTTCAAAAAAAAGGACCAAGAAACACAGAGGCACGAGGAAGCCAGGGGTAGCTGTCTGAGCACCTCCCGCGCAGCTATGTATCTCCGGTGACATCACGTAGCCCGTGCCGCACTACGGCACGCAGCCCGTGCTGACCGACAACAGAAGCACCAGATGAAGCTAGACTCTTCCCAATAGAAACTTCGCACCCCTGTCGGTACAGGCGACGGAGACACTTCCTGGAGCGCGCCGCTACCCGGCGAAGGACGTGGCGGAACGAAGTGGAGAGCACGCGCGACATGTAACATGATCCACACCTCACTAAGTCCAAAGACGGCCACAGCCTTTGGCCAATATAGCAGCATAAGACAAAGGAGCGAACACTCGCTGAGGCGACGCGCCCGTCTTCCAAGAGCGGGCTGGGCGGGAGGGACACTCAGCGGAAACGCCTCGCACGACTGAGAGAGAATGGGCGTACCCGATGACAAGAGGCCGCCACCGTCATCAGTCTAGATGTAGAAGAGTTTTGTAGAGCACGCGCCTGGCTTCACTTGAGCGCGTGCGCCCTTTGGAAGTTCTAAGCACATAGGGAAAAGCAAGGAAGGCGGTGGAAGACTGAGCCAACATGATCAGAGCAAAAGTAAGACGAGGATCTGCACCAAAGAGATCCTGTGTTGAAGAAGACGAAGACCTGCAGCAGTACATAGTAGGCCGAAGTAGTACGCCGCGGGTGTGAAGATCAGGGGAAAGGGCGGGGGTGCATAGACTAGTAAGTACGGCTATCGAACCGAGGAAGCCTAAATGCCAAAGATATGCTTCAGGGATGGGAGGACGAGGCTTGTCTTTAAGGTCGAGAACGAACCCCCTTCTACAACATTGCGGGGGGCCCGGTGGTGTTTTATTATCGCCAAGCGCATCCCCATCCCTCAAAAGAGTCGGCACTTCACTGAGTCAGCCATCGCGATGTCCGCAGATCTCTACTATCTGACACATGCCATGAGCATTCGTAGCAGTCTCGTTCAAATCCAGGCTCATGCAAACCTTGTCCTCTGAGGTGTACAAAAAAGAACTACTATAAGCACACGAAATCTACTAAAGAACGGGATAAATCAACAAGAAGATATTTCAACAAGAAGATCGAAGAGCTGCATCTGGTGATAGGTGGCGCAGAAGATAGAAAGAACAGGGGCGATATAAAATGGAGAACCTAAATTAAAGAGGAGGAGAAGGGAAACTAGGGCATTGCTAGTTGCATATTAACACCCAAGAAACTCGGGCGGATAGCTCAGGTAATGCTATGGAGCTAAAAAGAGAGCATAAGAGCATACTATGCTGGGTTAGTAAGAATAAGACAGAGGGCCAGAAAGACAATACGAAACGTAAAGAGAATGATGCATGAACTGTAACACTGAAATAGACAAGAAATAGGCGCTGCTGGCTAACAAAGTGACTACCAATAATTACAAAAAAAGACTAAAAAAGAACTAGTATCTAATGCCCATAGTGATTGAGGCAATACGCTGCTCCGTTATGCATATAGTCTTAGTCACTCGGCTATGCATTGGTTGTATTTTTCACTTTTTTTTGGCGTTGCTACAACTAGTAGACTGTTGTCGCACAGATCTGCCTGAAGTCGGTATCAATAATCTTGAAGAAAGTCCATGACTAATGCTGAGAAAAACACCGCAGCACTGCAACTAGTAAGTCAGATTTATGGTAGATACGCTTTATCGGCCTTGTGCGCTAGCCTATGAAGTCTAACCCTAAATGCTCCGGCTTGATGTGTCGGAGCCACGAAAAATGTTCCGAAAAATACTGATCTACTCACTTACTCAGAGACACGAAAGCAAGATGTCCGTCGCAGATAATCTGCAGCCTACCAGCTCCTCATGACACCCGTGGTGGTTCCTATGAGTCCCAAATTAGGAGTCAGCAAAAATGTGAGCTCTGCGTTATTGCCCTTGTTGGCACCATCCGCGCCATGATATTGATCCGCCGTGATATCCCCGGTGAGATTCCTCCAGACATTCGCCATGAGACTGAGATAACCCGCGTCGGCCCACTCGTCTTCCCAGTGTTCGCGGACTTCACTGGAGAATTAGATGAGAACTGATAGAATGCCAGACAGATGAAGAGAAAGATGACATATATATGATCCACAGGGGGGGGGGGAGGGGGCCTCCCTCCCTGGTACATATATAAATATTCTTACATGATCCACGCTTCCTTTTCTAGGTGCCGCGTGTAGGTACAACGTCGAACAACTTGAACTTGATTCATCAATAGTACGAGGGACCAACAAGGATCACCAGACGCTGAGGATGCAGGATCACCAGACGCTGATGGTGCAGGATCGCCACGTGCTAGGTCGATGCAGGAGTCTGCGTTGCCTTAAGAGAATGGAGCAGAAGTAGGGGGTTTTTTAGTACTTACTCCGAACGTCTCGGACTTCACTGGAGAAACCAAGACTCCCAAATAGCCACTCCAACCAGTGTCGTTTGTCCTGTGCGAAATCTATTCCAGAAAGATTCATTCCAGAGGTATCTATTCCAGATGTGTTTCCAGAGGAAGGTAAAAATCGCCCCAATTGAAGCCGCTGGAGAACGTGCAGCGGCCGGCGATTGCTTGCTTGTGTCATTTTCTGCCACATGTACCATTTCACAACGGATGTTGCGTCCACGGGTTCCGTTACTGCAGTAGAACAAGTAGAGGGGCCACTAAGATATGGAGGAAGATGACTCCGGGTCGCGTGCCTGATCACGGCAAGCATTTTGGAGTCTTGCTTTTCGAGTCTTTCTCCATCTAGAAGAAGCTGGCCATCCGAAGGTGCAGCTGCATTCGCACAGCTGCAACTCGTTGTCGTGTTCAACATCTCAGCTGCAGCTCTTGTATTATCATTATGTTCCATCGTACAAGATGTAGATCGAGATACCTCAACATGATGTACTTAGTTGCTGCAGTCGCACGAAATACAAGTCGTTCTCGACGATTCGCGCGAGATAATAGCCTCTCTTTTCCAGTTCAAAGCGCCAGAAGGCAAAATTGGCACCCCTCCGATTCAGAAAGTTCGTCTGATGGCCAGAACGCGTCGACGGCGAGCCTTGAAACGCGTACCGGAAACTCGAGGGCACAAGAATTTCGGCTTTGGTTTCGACAACGACCAACTTTGGTCGCTTGACGAAGTCCAAAAACTGGACAACCAAAACTCCGTGAAAATTAGCGCCCAGGGGGACCACCACGTCGAGGCATCTTCCTTCTCTCTTGGTCCTAGAAAGACGGGACCACCACGTCGAGGCATCTTCCTTCTCCCTTTCTCTCCTTGAGAGAGACCATCCCTGGGTCGTGGCACCTTTGTCACATCCGTTGAAAAAGAAGCCCGTTCCCGTTGACAAAGGATGGTAATATAACCATACGAAGAAAGGATGCATACGATGAAGTCCATACGACATACGAAGGAAGGATGTGAATTTGCTTCAGCGGTCGTTGCCTTAACAAAAGAATCAATATCGACTTGTAATACTTCCACTTGCTTCGCGAGAGAGAGTAGCGACGACGCGGTCTTGGTCGACGTAGATGATCTCACTTTCGTAGACGCAAGACGACCGAGGAAATTCCAAGGAGCCACGCGCCAATTGAAGCTGTAGAGTTCGTCGTCCTTAATACACGACGACTTCTTGGCCCTCGTGCTTTTTCGGTGGTCAGCACCTCCTCCGCTGTTTTAGACCTCTTCCTTGTGAAAAATCAAACTCATCTTTGTGAAAATGAGCCCTCAAGCGTATGCGTCAGTGTTTCCCTTGTATAATTGGGGCGCATATGAATGCCTGTGGGATCCCTATGGACGAGATGGATTTTTCGCGGTAGCCATAATTGTTGACACCTTCAACGCTGTTGACATGATCCGGAGCACTAGTACGACATGATCCGAAATTTTTCGCCTGTGATCCGACTCTTTCGGCACGCGCCTCCATTGAGATTCCCCGCAAGCGATACTTCGGCAAACCAGTGCCCCCATCCGCCGGCTCTGCTTGTGAACTGGTTGCGCTTGTTTCAGAGTTGTGACTAGCACCATTTTTAGCATTCTTACTAGATGAAGAACTAGTAGAATTTTTGGCGTTCTTAGTAGAAGCAGATGATAAAGATGGCCCCGCGCCGTCGTGGTCTACGTGCGGGTGCGCGTTTGCCGCATTTGGCATCAAATAAGCAATCCGCTCGTATGCGGAAAACATTGCTCCGGCACAGAGGAAAACCGTGAGAACTTTTTCCCCGTCCGCGTCGACTTGGAAGAGGTCTTCGTGTTCCGGCTTCGTGAGCAGTGCCCGTTGGAGGGCTACCCCCTCACGCGAATCGCAGCATTGCTTCGTGCCGGATGGTCTGGAACTGAGAGGCCATTCCACTTCGGTGGCTATGGCGTCGAGTGACGTCGAGAGATATATCTTGGAGTGCTGGAGGCCGACAGGATCCGCTTCTGACATCCTGTTCTCGGGATACAACTTGCGCCGTGTAATCCACGGCAGTAAAGAATCCCTGCGCAAATTTGAATTTGGTGCTACTGCTATTTCCCCAGGAATTATCTGTGTCGAGCCTGCTCCTCGTGCTACCGCTACTTGTCCACGAAAAAATCGGCAGAAGGCGGGCACTGGCTCGTCCCCGTCTGTTGTCCTGTAGCGCATACTCTCGTCGTCCACAAGGAAATATGATGGCAGAAATCCTCGATGCGAAAATAGCTGTTTCAGATCTGAAACAGTCACAGGATTGAATTGGAGGGAGGGAGCGGCTGCTTGATCCTTCACGACTTTATTATCTGTCACGGCTTCTATAATGCTCGTGGGTCTTGGCGCCGCTCGGTCCTTCACGATTTCTATGCTCGTTGTGGCACTTGACGTTTTTGCGGATGTTGACAAAGTGCCAGATGAGAGAAACAAGTTTTCAAGACCAGCTGTCGTGAGATTGAACCGCGGCACCACATCGCTTTTGGCAAGGGTATCCAGCCTAACCACGAATGTTCTTCTTCTGCGTCGTGGCGTGCTGGTGTCTCTGGCCTCTCCTGTCTTCTGCGCTGCTATCTCGTAATGCAAATTTTTTCCCCGCGCGACAAGAAGAACGGTTGGACAAAACCATCCTCCCGAATCTCGTTCCTCGATCTGCACAGGAACATGCGCTGAAAATCTCTAACTCGGGAACTTCACCCAGCAGACCTAGGCTTTCGGAATCGTCTCCGTTGACGGGAAATAATCGACTCCAGGCACAACTGCTGCCATCCACAACTCCTAGCCCAGAAGAGACATGAACCAAAAACCATCATTCGACGCGACTTGGAGAGGGTGGCAAAAGCGGCCCCTTGGGGCTGTTTCCCAGAAGATCTGGGACGAGAAACCGCTCTTCGTGAATGAGACCAGGACCGCGACGGTCCTGATGCTCACCGGGAGTGTTTTCCGCATCGGAAAATATAGAGAGCGAAGAAGTAACTGTCGCGCATCAGAACCAAGAAAAATTCAAACCCGATCGCATCATATTTGTGTTAAGGTTAACATAAACCGAATAAGAGACTAAAAAGTGGATGGAGGCATGGGGCAATGATAAAAGAAAGAGCTTGAGTATGATCGCTTAAGAAAGTCAGTGGGAAATAACTTTAAGTCCAAAAAGTTTAAGGCAACGATTTTGCGATCTTGTTCAAGAAGTTCAGAAGCTCTCAGCACTCTGGATGTCCTATGAGGTGTTTTGGAATAACAATTTGGGGCGGGGCCGACCAAACTAGAAAAAAGAAAGACCAGAGGAAGACAGAAAAGAGAACAGGGTAATTACCATCAAGTATCCTCCTAGCTGCTAAAGCTAACTAAGTGCCGGCGCTATCGTCGTCCTGCCAGCCCCACAGGTCTCACCTTCGAAGGCAGGCTGGAGCCCTGCGCAACGCCTCCGGTGAGTGCTCAGCACTCTGGCTGTGTGCACAGGTTCACTCGCTATGGGGTACCGGTTCGTTCACCAATTTTTTTGGAATAATAATCAGAAAGGCAGCTCACTCCTCAAGAAGAGTTGCTCTAGCTGGATACTCCGGGAGACCTGAGTCTGGAACCGCGAAGATCTAAGACAACCAAGAATAGCCACTGATCCAGTTCCCCTGTTCCGCCAATGATGAACAAGAAACTAACGAAGACGATGGTCCCACGCACGACGGACTGTCATGAACATGATGAGAATCAATGACCAAGACCCTGGGAGCACAATGCTGATAGTGATCAAAAGCGTGGATCCCTATGGCGATTCAAAGAAGCAAAGGGGCCCCAAACGGCATGGGAAACACCCCAGAGGCTTGCACATTTGAAAATAGTCAAGGACTTGAGAAAAAAGCGTGCCACCTAATGTCATGCCCGCAAGTAATGGGCTGCCAAAATTCGCAAGGTGTGCACGAACTAGATAGAGCCCGCCGAATTTTGGACGCTTTTGGCTCAATCTCTCTGCTCCACTTGTATAAGCTGGAAGAGGTTGGCGCCCCCGTCTCTGGACGTAGTGGCAGCCCCGAATCAAACCGACCAGACCCCGAGCGCCTCGCCAAGCGGCGCCGATTTATCTTCGCCGCGTCGCTGTCGCGAGCGATTCCGTCGACCAGCCTCTGCCTCAGAAGACAGCCCACACCTCGCCCGAAAACGAGGCAGATAAAGAAAACAAAAAAAGCACAAAACCTCCGGCGCAATCGAATCAGCACTGCTGAGCAGCCACCAGAAAAAAACTGCAGCCGAACAGGCGCGGCACCTCGACGGCAGTGCAGATTGGTGGGCTGTGTGTGGCTACGACCTCAGCACAGACACCAAGAGCAAGAAGCCGCCTGCACGACAAGGGACGAAAGCAAAGCCGCCGCCACATAAATTGGGCAAGGGTGGCGACCTGGGTGCGCTCCTCAGTCCATGAGAGAGAGGGCACCAACGTGACAACAAGGGCGCGGCCGCGCTGGGGTCTCATGGTGCTCCCCAGTCTTCTTTCTCTTCATTGTGGTTGGCTTGCCTTGCTACGTACCTTCCTCTGGTTTGGCTGCAGTCGCGTTTACCTCCGGGCGCTGCGCTTGGACAAGGACTGCGACTGGCGCAGAAGGTTTTACCTGTCTACTGATCTGCGGCTGCGTTGGCGGACCATTAGCCCTCCAGCATTACCTAAGCCCCAGCCGATTAACTTTGTAAGAGAATGCAAGAAACAAAAAAGCGAGCACCTTTCTCACCCCGCATATACGCGGATGCTGCTCATGTGCTAGCGCAGCGCTCGTTGAGCTTGCTTACGTACCTCAAGGGCCGGAGCGTGTTGGGCATCATGCGTCCCACGCCTCTTCTTGATTAGTTTTAATTTCTAGCAAAAGAAAAAGCCCACCCAAGGCAAATTCAGCCACTCTAAACCTCGCCCTCGCTCAAAAAAAGCGAGCGAAAGCAAATCCGGGGGAAGGCGCTATCTTGTCACCGCTGGTGGCAACAGGTCTACCAAATCAATGCGGCACAGTTGCCCCCGGCCAGCGTGTACATATACCAAGACAAAGCCTTCTGAGGTTTACAGACTACACACGCGGGGCACGACATACATGCAGGCGACGAGATACATCCCAGAAGCCGACGGCTACGCACAGCCTTCCAGCGTGATGCGCCCGACCACGACCACGACAAGCAGCGAGCAGTCACGCGGGAACATGCTGCAGAGTTCACACGCGACAGCTGGATGGGCGGAGGCATGCCGCCAGGGTGCAGCGAATTGGGCCCGTGCACTTTCTTTGCTGCAAGAGTACCACGCGGCTGGAGGCAGGGGCACAAATTGACCACAGGCAAGCAAATGCGAGCCACTGATACAATAAGAATCCTGCCTGTCAAAATGAGAAGACTCGGACACTGCCACAAGCAGCGCGGGCCCGCTGCGGTGTCTCACCCTACAAGCCACAACTGAAGCAAAGAAACACGGTCAGCGCGCTGTACTATCAAGAAAGCCCAAGCCCCCCCACTGTTCCTCCGTTGTCTTCTTCTTCGAAATTGATGCCATGTATCGGCCGCATTATCCTGATGCTGTCGACTTCTTCAACAGGGAGTAGTAGCGTCGACGCCTGCTTCTATACCCCTGGCGCGGGTGCACTCATTAATTCACATCGTCCTCTCTTATCGCCAATGACTTGGCCAAACCAACGACTCGCATGAACTGCATACGAGGTCGATGATGTCGTGGCATTCGATGGCGTGGCATTGGTAAACTTCGAAGTTGTAGAGTTCTTAGGAGACTCCAGCTGGGACAAGAAAGTCCTCAAAGGTAACCACCAACGCTCCCTAAGCATGCGCAATGCTTTCAAACCGAATAGGGAACGAATCGTCTCGACGTCAGCGTGTTGATGTACTTCTCGTAGAGGGCGTCGCGAAATAGCAGGTGAACCAGATGACACGCTCAAGGAGGTTGATGTTGAGGAAGTATTTGTTGGAGTACCTCTACCTTTATTGTTCTTTTCGCTATTTTCTCCACTAAATACAGTACCAACAGGAGACGAAGTAGAACTTGATGCACTGGTATTGCCCGTTTTACTACCGCCATTATCGAAGTGATCGCGTACTTCACGACGAACATGAAAATCATTGGGATTTTTATGGCCTTGTCCCACATCTCCTTGTTGACTACTTTCATGTGCATCCATTGCTTCTATTTCTTGATGCCCTGCATCTCCTTGTTGACAGTTTTTTACTACTTTTTCATCCCCTGGCATAATACCATCTCCTTCTCCTTCTACAGCAACTCGAAACACTTGGTCTAAGTAGACTTGGGGGGAGGATATAACAGCTGAGGACTGTTCTGCAGTCCTTCGTTTCGCAGAGCTATCGTTGCTGCTGTACCAGAATTAGCGGCGTCACTTATAAGAGTGGGGGGCGTCACACTTATAAGAGTGGGGGGCGTCACACTTGTAAGGGTGGGGGGCGTCACACTTGTAAGAGTGGGGGGCGTCACACTTGTAAGAGTGGGGGGCGTCACACTTGTAAAAAGGGTGCTCCTGATATATTCCAACTACATTCATATACTTCTCTGGATCAGCATACTTCAGCACACCCTTTTTATCAAAACTCAAGGATAAATCAAAAAGCTATTGGAATAGCACGCGCGTTCACGACGCGGACTGCCGCCTCGCGTAATCCATGAACTCATTGCACCAACAAGGGTCAAGACGACCCGTTCTCACTGTGCATCACTGAATGAAATTACGATTAATATCATCGACCACCTTTAACTACGGACTTGCGGTTGCGCAAATCATCAAAATGGGGCGTTATTTGGGACAAACGCCGGCCATCCTGACTCGATCCACTTTCCCAGATCATCATGCCAGACCTTCGTGGGACTTTCCAAACAATGCGGCGTCCAGTCAATGGGACTCTTTGCAACCATAGAAACGCAACGCTTCTGGAAGGCATCCGAGTCTGGCTCTCCGAATAACACGGCCTCGGAATCTCTTCCCGCTTTAACTTCGTACACGTAAGTGTTCATCGCCGGGCCAGTGCTGAAAGCAGACAATATATCAACACGCGCGGCGCCAGCGAGCAACAATAAATTTCTTACAGCCTCTGAAGTGTTTCCCCACGTCACGACATCGTCCCACATTAGTACGCAACGTCCATACAGATCCTTGCAAGCCTGTTTGTCCAACGCCATAGTGCTAAAATGTAATAACCGAGGGGCATCACGATTCTGGCGCTTATCACGATCCAGCTTCGTCGATTTGCACTCCATTGGGTGTTTTCTTCTGCATAAAGCGAGGGAAACGGGATGCTCTCCAAATGAAATTGTCTGATCATTATCTTCCAGACTGCTGCCAAACGCGCGCGCGACAACATGAGCCATCCGATGATTGGCGTTCGACGCCACACCCTTGGAAGATGGTAAAGGGCAAATCATGTCATACATTCTTGAAAATACTGTCTCCTTAGGATACGAACTTTCAATTTCATCCGACTGAGACGCGGTGGAATCCGAAACGTTCCGAAACCGTGCCTGAGCGGCTCGACGGCTCTCTCTAATCATTTCGTAGACCAACGTCTCCGGTAAATGCGGTCCTGAGGTCGGTGGCTCAATGACACTGCGCGGCAGTTCGTCAAACCCACCCTTCAGATATGCGAGCGTGTTTGCCAACCCAAGCTGTTGCGACGCGCGAAAATGTGGCCACGAACTACGATAATCACCATCCAACAACGCATTGCCAACCACTAAACCACTAACTTGGTCCCGATTGTCATCAAAACTCCATCCGGTCAGACAACGCGGCGCAGGAAATTCTGTTCGGCTGCTGAAATATCGCGAACATGGATCGCACTTGGATGGATGGCGAATCACAAACCGATTTCGCCAAAGGCGAAACATAGACATCAGGCCAGGTTCCACAGGATCACCTATAAAAAACTAAGAATGCACCTGCTTCTATCAAACTCGGCTACGAGGAACTCAACGAAATAAATCCGCGTCACGCCCGGAGCGTGCGTTACGAGCAAAAAGCCCCGAATCCCCGAGGCTTCGAGGATTAGAGCTCCTGAGCCCGGCGTGCCGGGGCCCTGGAATCGTTTAAAGTGTGTAAAGTGCTTAATAGCTACATCTTTCAGCCTGATTACTTATTATGATAAAGACGAACCCTGCTTGTTTTTATCTGTGTAGTGACCTCCGACGTCGTGTCCACCTGACCAAGCTCCTTAGTGACACAAGAGTTGGTATTTATAAACTCTTGCGTCACTAACTCTAACGCTGTTGGTATCTATAAACTCTTGTTGGTATTTACAAACGCTTTGATGATCCTCGGAGTCGGACAGGTGCCGGAGCTCGATGTGCAGGATCCACAACTTAACCTAGCCTTGCCGCAGGTTAACCCTAACTTGAACACACTTGAACAGAGCGACAGGATCGATGCTTTGGCTGATCCTCCCATTGACATCATGTGGCCTACCGGCTTGAGTCAAGGAAGCTGCCACAGTAAACAACAGATCTAGTGGGACATCATGCGCGTGCCGAATAGGAGTTCTTACGCAGCAGGAGCGATCTTGCTACTCTATCCTGAAGCTTTGATGTGGAAGTGAGGCTCTATGGAAAAGCTCTCCTGTCGAAGTTCCTGGTTCCTACTTCTTAGCCCGTCCTCTCAAGTACCTTTGATGTAGTTCATTTTCATGTCCCTTCGTTTCAAACCATACATCCTGTAGTTCACTTTCAACTAGAAGTAGTGGTGTAGACTCATTCATTCATATCGTCCTCTTTTATCGCTAATTGGCCAAACCAACGACTCACATGAACTGCGTATGAGGTCGATGTCGACGACGACGATGGCGTGGCATTGGTAAACTTCCAAGTTATAAAGTTTCCAGGAGAGTCCAACTGGGACATGAAAGTCCTCAAAGGTAACCACCAACGCTCCCTAAGCATGCGCAATGCTTTCAAACCGAATAGGGAACGGATGGTCTCGACGTCAGCCTGTTGTACTTCTCGTAGAGGGCGTCGCGAGATAGCTGATGGGCCAGGCATTATCAAGGAGGTTGATGTTGAGGAAGTATTTGTGTTACTACCCTTATTGTCCTTTTCGGTATTTTGTTCACTAAATATAGCAGGAGCAATACCAACATGATGATGCCCACGAGACGCGGTAGAACTTGATGCATTAGCATTACCCGTTTTACTACCGTCCTCATCGATATGATCGCGTACTGCACGACCAACATGAAAATCATTGGGATTTTCATGGCCTTGCCCTACATCTCCTTGTCGTTGACTGTCTCCTATTGCTTCTATTTCTTGATGTCCTCCATCTCCTTGTTGACTGATTTTTACTACTTTTTCATTCCCTTCTATAACGTCTCCTTCTCCTTCTACAGCAACTTCAAACACGTGGCCCTCTTTTATACCACGACCTCCAAACACGTGGTCTAAGACTTGGGGAGAGTATAACAGCTGAGGACTGTTCTCCACTCCTTCTTTTCGCAGAGCTATCATTGCTGCTGTGCCAGAATTAGAGGTCGTAGGAGCGTCACACTTGTAAAAAGGCTGTTGGACGTGGTCACACTTGTAAAAAGGGTGCTCCTGATATCTAAAAATATTCAGATATCTCGATCATCAGGATACTTTACACCCCTTTTTATCATTATAACGTTTAACATGTTCTTGGACTACTTATAACAGAGAACAAGGCCGCGTCGTACCACTCTAAAAACTCTTTACAAAGACGGTGTAGGCTCTACCTTCAGCTTCCCAGGAAAGTCTTCTCCCCCTTCGGTTCCTTTTCCTTTTCCCCTTATTAACCAATCAAAGCCACTTATACTGTGTTCCGTAATAACAGATGGCTTGCCCTCTTCCGCTAATATACAACACATCAATATTAGATGGGTTTATGTTTCAAAAATTACTGTTTCTATTTCACACCAGTGCGCCGCACCACTCTAAAAACTCGTAGCAATTATAAAGCACGAAGATCGTCTACTTATACACAGATCGCCCTTAACAAATGGCGAGACGAAGGTCCACATCCGTACACGCCTCCGGAAGAAAAAATGTTGCAGCGACCACATCAAAGGCTGGACATCTTCGAAGCGGATATCTTTCGCATTAGAAGATGAGAATTTAAAGAAGCATAGCGCAACTAGCATATCTAGCGAGTCCCCTAAGTAGCTACTTAAACTACCTACTTTAAAGGAGCCAGAAGTAAAGTCAAAGTCTGTATCTGAAAGGCATAGTTTCTTGAGGGTGAGTAGGTTTCTTCCTTCTATATAGTATAACGGATTTTCACTTTTTATAAATGAAAAGCTCTGGTGTGGTAATGGTTGTGGCATACCTTCATGTAGCCTTGGTTCCTGATATTACTGGCAGGAGTAACTAACGCCTTCCAACAAACTAGTTATGCCTCGCAATCACATGATACCAAAACCAAAGTCTTTTCTCAGCATCAATCACAAACAAAGCGTCTTCATCTTAACAATCACATACAAACCGCCTGAGGGATTCAGAAAAGGCCACAAAGTCAAAAGCGTCGCGGTCATAGCGGGAATTGAATGAAGGCCATCATCTATTAGTACTAATCTTGATCACCACTGAACCCCATCAACACTGAACTACGGATCCTGTTAAAATACTTACCCCAGGAGTGCTGGCCTCAATGGTACAACACCCCAAGAATGATTCGCCAGGACCTACCAGCGCAGTACTTTAACGGGATCCATGTGGGGTCAGCTTCTTTCGAGCCTTAAGTCTAGAATCGCATCGAATAAAAGGCTAGGTTAGAGCTACCGCGCCGCGTCCCTGGGCCCTTTTCCCTCTTGAAAAAGTAGAAGCCAAGGATGTCATGTTGCTGAGGATTCTCCAGCGGTAGTAGCCTTAATTACCAGTAGGCTCATAGTTTGATTCCCTGCTTGATTCTTCGTTTTTCTGTGTTGCAAGTAGTCCCAGCTCTTCAAATGCATTTCTTACATCTCCAGGTACAAAGCTGCTTGCTCTCGCGACTTGTATAAAAGTATGACCCTCTTAGAGCTTACCCAAATTCATCTTAGAGCTTACCCATGCTCCTTGACGCGCTTTCCCCATTATATATTGGGCAGTGACGAGGTGTCGCTCCTTCAAAATAAAAGTCAGTACTATTTCTCTGTATTATACTAGTCGTCCCGTGCACCATTTTTGCTATAATAGAATCTATGTATATATAATATAGAGTAGGGCCACTTCACAGTTGATAGCACTGTTATAGACCCTATAATATAGAGTAAGACTACTTCTCATCAAGATTGATAAATTGCAGCAAGTCTTAACCCTCGAGTCTTTTTCTTGCCAATGCGACAGCAGAACTGCTCACGTCTAGTCCCACAATCAATTCGGCGTTCTGGAAATATTCTCTCCAAACTTCGAGACTAGCGCCAGGCATGTACTTCGCCGCGGCGCCTGCTTTCCACCAGTATTTAATGTAGGAGAAAGCCAAGAAAGCAGGAGGTCAAAAATGATGAGGTCAAGAGCTAGTAACTTCTACGAAAGTAAAACAAGGTCAGGTAAAAAATAAGAGGAGCGTTTAAAGAAATCTTCAAAGTAGAAGGCCACGAAGAAAGTAGGAGATCAACGACTAGTAGCTACTATTATTAAGGTGCAAATCTTAGGCCAAAGTAGGCGACCGAGAAGATGCGTTTGCCTTTTGTTAAAGTAGAAGTTCAAAGTAGGGAAGTGGGGTTCGTCACCTCCACAGCGTATGAGGTCAAACTCAAAGGAGGTCAAAGAGGAGGTTTAGGAGGTTAAAGTAGGGGCTGTGCGACAAGGAGGACTCTAGTTCGAGTGTAGCTTCATTCAAGTTTGCCTACAGAGCGACGTCATGACTATAATGACAATTTTATCCCAAGGAGACTGTAAAACATTGACTTTCACGCTCTTATTGAACAAGTTGGCCATAATAATGTTTTACTTGCAGGAGGTCTACGTCTAGCTTCTACCATTAAGTGCAGAGATGAAATGTCATTCGATTGAATACTTGACGAACTAAAAACTCAGTCAATCAGACAGAGGGTGGCATCAGTAATAACACTGAGTATTAAAACGACTACGACTTCGGCAGCCAGGTTTTCTTAAAGTGCATTGAACTGGGCTCATCCTTCTCGACGGTTCCGAGGCCCACCTCTAGTTTTAGAGCTCACCCTAATTCATCCCGCAATGCATCCCAGGCGCACTTTCTCCTTGGAAAACCTCTTGGGGATGCTTCCGGGGACGGATTAGGGTAAGACTTAGTAGTATCCTGCGAATGCCACAGCGTCCTCGTCTCACGAGAGAATTTCCCTCAATGTTAGTGACAAACGAATCGAACAAGAGGTGATAGCTGTCGCCATACATGTGCGTGATGAAGCCACGGTCGGAACCATGGTGGAAAAACAGCGCAGATATTAGATTCATTTATAGGACGCAAAATTATTGTATGAATCTAGGTGTAAATTGCTAAATTGCTTATACATACAGAGATTGAGAGTAATTTACTATTATGAAACTAGAAAAGCGCATCAAAATATATGTAAATTCTGGGCACGTGAAGCAGCCCTAATTCTAAAAGTGAAGCATGTAAGAAAGTGGGACATGGAAAGAAGGAGTCGACTGATCGATGGCCTTAGATTAAGAGCGTCTAGCGGCTGTTGAGGGAGTATCTCAAGTCGAGGAAGGGATGAGTTCCCCGTTTCTCCTACAATATCGTCCACAACACGCTTCGTCTCAACTCCACTGTTGACGTCGTGGTCGTCTTTATTTCCACGACCTCTGGCTTTCCCATTAGACCTGCTCAGCGATATTCTTACTGTATTCATCCTGAACATGAGCATCGCAAAAGTATGAACCACTTTCCCGTGGCACAACACCCTTTGTTCAATATATCTCTAAAGATGATGATGAATAAGTAGGGTTAGCCTTACGCCTACCACGACCCTTCGCTTTGTACAATTCCCCAGTCCCGTACCCGAAGGGGACACTGTCCATCTTTACCTCAGGAGCCTGTGAGCCTATGAACGCTGATCCACTGATTGAGAGACGGCTTATGGACGATCATGTAGTGTAGTGGAGTTAGACTAACTAATTACTATGTAGTTAAACATGGTTATTGATCATGTAGTAGGTCAACAGAGTTAGTGGGGACACGCAAATACATTTGGATTTGTTGTCAGCATTTTGATGCTGTCACTGGCTGTTATTCAGAATCAAGACGAACTACGACATTCTCGTCTGCGCTGACATTCCCTCTGCTCTGTTCTCAATCACTGGCATCATAAAATAGGTTGGGCCATCAGTCTCGGTTTCCGTTTCAGCTGGACACCTTAAGCGTTGTCGCAGTATACTGAGGGTCCGCTTTTCTCGTGCATATTTTTAGAGCCACCGCTTCGCTTCCCTGAACTTGTCCCTGAGCCCTTTTTTACTTGAAAAAGAAGAAACAAGAACTATGGTGTTCAGTCCCAAAATACCTCTTAGGGAGCCCTCTTTTTCTTCTTGAAAATCCCATTGAAAAATAGGCCAAGGAGAGTGTTAAGGACATGCTTCAGCGGTAACCTTAATTTTCTAGACCAAAGCACGACTCTTCACATGAGCAGAGCAAAAGGATGAGGATAAAGTGCGAGAAGTGCTTAAGAACGAAGAAGGAAATCGACATCATCAGCATGGTGTCTCGTTCCTCTCTAGTGTTGACCATCCTCACGTCTTCTTTAATTTGTATTTGTTGCGATCCTTGATGTCTTAATAAGCTTTGAGGCGGAAAGAGCAGTGCGGAGAACATATGCTACTCATCGGCAGAATATATGAAGGATACTCATACTATGAAAGCCTAGATCTACACCTACAACTCACCAGTAGAAAAATGCCTGATGTCTAAATAAATCACCAGCAAGTACGAGAGGATCACTGTTCGTGTTGTTCACAGATTCTCAATAAGGATAAAAGTCGTCCTTTTGAGCAAGAGGCCTCATTTGGTTGTGTAATTGCATCTGCATTTGCTACAAGACTAGTCTTCCCCTAATCTTCTCATCAAGCCTAGCCTTCTATGTATTCTCAAGACAGATTCGTCCCCTATTCTTAAGACTCAACGTCGATAGCTGTAGATCTAAACGAGTCTTCCATCTATATGTGCTGTAGATCTAAGTGAGTCTCTCTTCCATCTGAAAAAATGCACCTTGCTACGCTTCAACAGATGAAGCACAGAAGATTTTCGACAACCCAAGTTCGTCATCATCATCGTGCGTCTTTCGTGGTCATATTCCAGTACCACTGGGAAGACAAGATAGTAACAGACAGTGAGCCGTGAAGACGGTCGCTGCAGCAACACACTCTAGCGAGAAGCCGTCAAAGTTTTGCTCCACAACAAGCCACTTCAAAACATTTTTACGTACTGATGATGTGGTCCTCGCAATGCATGTGTCACGAATACTGCCCAGTCAGAACGCAGTGGTGTGTTCTTACGACTGAGTATCTTTAATGTAACATCTTGAAGATCTGTTCACAGCAACGACGTCAATGATCAGCGTCGTAGCAACGTGATCTGTTCACGAAAACCACCTCAATGTTAATCATCTTCAGAATCAACGCCATGTTCTCCTCCTAACATGACAATTAGATACGTGCCATTCATCAACAGTAATCAGGTGGACCGTGGAAGACCAAAGGCCAGATTGTCTTTTTCAAAAAAGTAACATCTTTCAGAGCCTAGAACTCAGAACAAGTTGTGCCAAGAAGGCAGCGAAGACCATACGAGTATAGCAAGCTATACAAGGAGAAGCTTCGTTTTTGTTTTAATCTTTTTCATGTTGTTTCCTAAGGGTGGCGTTGAGTTTTATTGTCCTACAATGGTTGGAGATGAGGTGAGGTTTAAAAGTAAATTAGCTAGTTAAAATATTGTATCTCTAATACGCGTATTAGGGCTACTTCTGCCCATGAGGTCCTTCTTCCTGGAAAGGAGGAAGGTGCTCACAGTAAGTTCTCCCAGGGATCTCATCCTTCTCATGGGTGCCAGCTCACAAGGATAGAGGAAAGAACTTACTTGTAGCCAAGAATAAGATAGCCTGAAGATTTTCATCAACAATAAAATAGTACTCCGCTATTCATGATACGGCTACTTACATTCATCTCATATAATAGAAAAACCCTAAGTAAGCCCATAATTGAAAAATGTTACGCCTTTCATGATACGCCTAGAAAAAAATGAGTCCTCAGTTCCTGCAGCAGCACTGCCCCATTCTGTTCAACTACTGTCTTATTTGCAGTTTCGCAAACTATTCCACTCCATTCCAGGTGGAAGTCCATCACTAGCTCACGTTCTAGTAGCACTTTCTTAGTAGACAAATAAGCGATGCTGGTCTGCATCTTTAGAAGAAAAGCAAAAGATACAACTAGACATAATATGAGTTCGATGCTAGACTCCCTCACCATTCAAATAGTTCATCACGAATGGTAAACGACGCTGATCGTTCGTCACCAGCGGCCGCTGCACCCGAGCGGACTGCGTAGAGCAATTCCTGAGGTCCGCAGACTGAAAGGAGGCAGCTTTTTCTACAACAGGGTCTATCGTCCATAATTAGCGCTCGTCCTCCTGATTCATCTTGGGAGGCATTTCGTGCGCCTTTTCCCCTTGGGAACCCCTTGCCCAAGATGGAGCAGGAGAAGCCTTATGCTGGGATGGATTCTGATGGAGGAAAAGAAAGAGCGCAGCACTACCGTGCTGAATCTAGAGTAGTGGGAAACTACTCTAAGAATTGGCGCGCTTACTTTGATGATTCAGCTTCAACGGCTAAAAGCCGCCTAGATTCAAGCTTTGAAAATAAAGCCAAAGAAAGAGGAAGAGGCCGCACTGGCTGGCTTTGACTGTGGCGCATGTTGTTGGCGATAAGTATCGGCCAGGTTTCTCGTCTGAGGTTTTTAGGTTCAGCATGTTTGCGCATGTTCTTCATGTGCGTCAGAGTCTCCCAAGTTGCTGCAAGGATCCAAGGGCATCAGCATACGCATCACCTTAGAGATGGCACTGAATTCCATGCGTAACACCTTAGAGCAAGCTGCAAACTCTCAAGCTGTACACCCTCAGCATAAGCACTTTGCCGAGTGCCGGCCTCGTAATTACGTCCGGCGTCATTAAGCTGCCCAGGAAGTCGCGTCTCTCTAGATGAAGAACTAGTACTGTGTTGCTCGTCTGAGTAGGAGGGTCTTTCTTGTGCCTCATCTACATCCGACCCAATGGCGAAGACGAGGATCTCCCTTCTGCCTCTCCTGCTTGTGTACCGTCTACATTCATCCAGTGGCTCATCTACATTCGCTGTAGGCTGTCCAGGAGGCAGCCGCCTTCGTACAGACGTACGATTAAAATCACTACCGCCCCCTATAGGTGCAGCATTCTTGTGCCGATCGAGAAGCATTCCTGTCCAATCCACCGGACGACCTTGATGGAGGTGTATACGCATGCAGCAGCTGGTAGTGCTAGTGGTAGCTAGTCCATGCATGTTGATAGTACTGGTAGTAGCTAATCCAGCACGCACGCATCTCGTATTACGAGGACTGGCTTCAGCAGCATGAAGACTGTTTTTTCGTGGAGAAGACTGCCCTCCCACTCTCGCAGGAGAAGACGGAAACGCCGCAGAAGACGTATTGGAGGTCTGAAAAATGTCTACCCTGTGGAGCAAGGTACTAGTTCTTCGCTTCAGGACAGGAAAAGCATCTAAGAGAGCGATGGGTCGTTCTTCGCGGATCACCCAAATCAGACGAAATTTTGGACCTTTGAGTTTCTTTTTTTTTAGAGTGTTGACGTTGTAGAAGATGACTTCTGCCACTAGTAGCTGCTGTTCTGGTAGATTCTTGATGTAGGGAAGTGGATCCTGCGACTCCTCCTGAGCTGCTACTAATGCGACTTGTTGCAGCTGACTCTTGACGTAGAGAAATTCCACACCTGCGACCTGTTGCTGAGCTAATCACGCTCCCTGTTGGTGAACTACAGCTGCGACTCACATCTTGCAGAGAAGTTGATCCTCCGACTCGTCCTGGTACGCTGGTGCTGCAATTCGACGACTCTACGGCGAAGTCTTCAGCATCTGAAGCTGTGTCTCGCCGTCAAAGAGGGCTTGCGTTCGGACAATTAGAGCGCGAAGCAGTTCACTTCTATACAATACAACGCAAGTAGGAAACAAGGTTGGGCTAGGTTAGGGATCCTTCACATCAGGCCCTTTCTATCCCTCTGCGCAGTACAGTGCAATTGTAAACTTCGCACAAAGCAGTTCAGTGCAGACTGCCTAAAAGGGCTTAGTATGCCATTTCTGAGAATCTTTTTCAGGGTCATCAGCTATATCATTATAGATACGTCGCTGATGGTCATCCTCTACCACCACTGGCGAGAAGGGAATAGAGAAAAGTGACGACCTCTGGAAATGAATTGGATCACGCCTTAGGCGAAGGGAGGCTATCGCATTGAGCCAGATCTTGGTTTGTTGTACTATCAGCAGGTGGTGCAGTACTATAATTAGATTTAATCCCTTTTCATCAACATGAAGGAGAGTTTCATCTTTGTTCACGTGATCAACACGGGCCCAAGATGCCTCTACTAACGAGGGCCCATCTTGCTAAAGATGTTGAATGTGGGAAGATGAAAGTCAACATAAAAACAGGAACAGGAGCTTTTGTTCCACTTGTAGCATCATCTACTTGCTCAACAAGACGCGCTTGAGCATCCTTAACACCTGCGGCCATGTGTTCGGCGTCAAGGACTAGAGCTTCCTTATCCGGAGTAAAAGCTTCAGCAGTAGGAACAGGGGTTGTCCTTGTCGCATCATCTACTTGCTCAAGACGCGCTTCAGCAGTCTTCTCATTAACAAGATCATGAGCCGCATTTTCCAGTTTGTTGATCACAGGTGAAATCCCCACACCACCCGCAACTAGAATCACTTCGGAAGAAGAGGAGAGCCACTCCGGAGAAATGTTGCCGAAAGATGCACATTCTGGAGAAACATTTTCAGAGGACTCGGATTTCTTCTTTGGCTCAACAATCGTTATATTTTACGCGTAATATTAAGTAGTATACAAATGCTTCATCGATTCACTTCAGGAACGACCACTTTTTTGATCATTACTTTTTAACCATTTGTTCTTCATGTACTTCAGGAGCACAGTTCAGTTGAGAGCAGTTAGTCAGCAATCAGAAGCACGCCAAGTCTAATAGAAGTAGAACTATACACAGGTACGGTCCGATGACTACTTCTGGCGCAGCCACTAGATTTCCATGATATCCGCCACGAATACACACGCGCGTTGCTTCGTGAATCAACGGCTTACACGTGCACGCGGAGCGACTGTTAGCGCTCACTCCAACCTAACCCTAATTACCTACAACTAAGAAACCTTAAACCCATCTAGGAGAGAAAAAAAGTATCACGCTCCTCACCAACGCGAGATGTGTGGGCAGTTTTTGGACTACACTTCTAGCCCTAAACTAAGAAACCCATTTTGAGGAATAAATTACCGAAGAGATGACAGCAATAAGCGTAACTCTGCAAAGGAAGTGCCGAAGGTGGTAGCAGCGAAGCCAGCATCTTTCACTAATAAATAAGGCTAGCGTCTCACGAGTCTCGAAGGAAGTTGTAACGCGAGCGCCTTCCCGATCCTGTCGTCCACCAGAACCATCATCGACAGGTGTTGTTCTTCCACGATCGACAGGAAGTGTAGTCGCAGTTGCACTCGTTCTATTGCTTCGACACGGCAAGAGATTCTTCAAAGATATTTCTTGATGTGGAAATTCATGATCAACTTCGATTCCTCCATCGTTTGGCACTCCTCTCAGAAGCGATGTCGTCTGCACGGTAGAGGAGGTAGAGGTTTCATGCGCACGACAACATAAGCAAAAGAGATTCGAATTAGAGGCACTACTTAGAACTGCCTTCGAAATAGCTTTAATTAGAGGTACTTAGAAGCGCCTTGGAAGTAGCTTTCTTACTCAGTTGTAGTTAGTCATGCCTTTACTAGTTAGGAGAGGCAACCTAATCTCAAATGATTTTTCTCAAGCATTCTTGGCGAGCACCTAAAGCCTACCCTTAATGGAAACTTGTATCCTGACAGCCACAAGCGCTACCAGAGCTGTGCACTTCCTCTCCATGATGATCTTCGTGTTGAATTGAGCTCCTTAGCATGACGAATCCACCTGGCGGCACAGGAGGGAAAGGCGCCTTTTGCCAGTGAATCCGAGCTTCCTGTGCAGTTCTGTGGTTTTTAGCGTTCCTGTTGTTGATGAAACCATGTGGTCGTACTAGCTGTTCTTCTTGGAAGGTCGTAGTAGAAGTTCTACTTCTCTTATTTTTAGCTTCATCCCTGTTGTTGATGAAACTACAACTAGTACCTTCCGCAAATCCAAATAACGTTCCCCGTGCGACTACACGACTCAGTACCACACGAACCAGGGAGGACCCTGGTGCAAGCCGACAAACTTTGCTGACATCGAAGACAAAATGGTCCATACCGTCTTCCAGTCGAAGATCACCTGGGTCAGGAACGATGATTCTAGTACCTTGATTTACTTAGTCTCCACCTGTCACCAGCAGGACTTGTGGTCCGCCAGCATTTGGCTGGTACTGTTCTCCATGTGCGGCATCTACACGGTGATCTCCTTGTTCTACCTGCAGTCGTTCAACATCTCCTGAAAGTTCTTTGGCATCTACACGATGATCTCGTTGTTCTATCTGTAGTCGCTTATCTTCTGGAAGTTCTTTGGCATCTACACGGTGATCTCGTTGTTCTACCTGTAGCCTACCTTTACCTTCTGGAAGTTCTTCTTCTTCTTCTTTGGTATCAGCAGCTGATGTGTGTGTATTTTTATGTGTATGATGGTCAACAAATTCGAGGCTTCAATGCTGACTTCTCGTAACCGCGACGAAGAGGAAGAGCAACCTTCAGAAATAGACGACCTGCTTCTCCTCGTCCGACAACACAGAATAATTCAAGGACAACAACTAGTACAACCCTAAAGAAGCAAATTCCCAAGGCCGCTCCCTCGTTTTTTAGATAGTAGAAGAGGTACGAGGTACCAACAGTCATCCATCTTCTACAACAATTGAGACAAGGACAGCATCTTCTTTGAGGAGCATCTTTGAGGACCTTTTAAAAAGTTTAAGTTACCCGAGTGGAAATAGGCGTTTCTTAGAGAACAGTTGTGTCTTAATGACGTTCTTAGAGATGGATATCCACGTTCTCAAAATCTAATAAAATTTCTTCCCGGAACAGGAACTACACGTTCTCACGATTTGTTGAAATGTTATCCCGTAACTACAAGTCGTCGCCCCGGTCCACTTTTTCTTGCCGTGCTGCTATTCAGCTGGCGTATAGAAATGAGGAGAAATATAATGGCAGAAGCCGAGAGTACATGCAGTGCAAGCGCCAGAAAAATATTTTCCCAGCTCCATCGATGTACCAAGAGGAACACCCAATTATAGACTCCACGTCTTCTTCGGAATGCCGCGATCAGGCGACTCTTAGAGCGTAGTAGAAAAAGACGAAACACTACGACCAGGATGATGATAATGATAGACTTTTCGATCCTAAGTCATCTAGTCTTTTTAGATGATCGCTCGAACTTTAGGCTTTTCAGATGCCAACAGAAATAAGATGCTGAGCGAATTGATCGACAGTTCGCATCACTGCAAGGCGACGATGACATTCTTATATATTTATATGTCTCACGTTCTACTTTTGGTACTACTCGTAGTCGTGCATGAATGTGCTTTGAAGAAGAAAGAACTACAGTGCAAGAACTCTTCAGTACATTAATATCAATATCTGTTAAAAAGTAAAAGTAATAAATATAGATAGTGCCTTTACATGTACATTGAGCCCGATGCAACTTTTGTGGGAATAGTTGCTGCTGTACATTCAGTGCGTCGCTGCTTAACATTCAGAAGGAGCACGAAGAGCGCTATACTGCCGAAGCCATGGCCTAGAGAGTACGGTGTAGGCGTGAAATCCCAAACCATTTCGGACCAAAACTGGTACATCAGTGCTGCCTGCTTCGAAGATATTGGTGTTGTCGTACTATCAGAAGACGTTGTTGTCGCAGAAGCATCTACTTTTTTTGTCAAAGTAGAATCTACGCTACTTTTTGTTGCTCCAACGTCTCCGCCAACAACAACATCCCTATCGGGTACATTCGACAGCATTCGTCGTGAAAGCTCCTGAGTAAACCGTGCTGATGAAAACTGTGCTGAAGCCTGAGAAAGCTGCGCTTCGTCCCCAAACAAGAACAGCAGTTTTCCTATCGGAAACTGTGCAACTGCATGAACGATGCCTAAAGCAAGGCCAAATGTAGGAACACGTCGATGAAATTGCACACTTTCGGGTAGCGACGTAGCTGGCTGCAAAATGTCAACTTTGTTCAACACATCCGAGCACCAAGCGACGAATACACCACAAAGTCTTCTAGTTCTTGTTAAGACGCGGCTACAACCACGTTATTAGAGGTTGCCATCAACATGATATTATTATATTTGATATTATAATGAAGTAAAAGAAGTACATAAAGTTGAGCGTTGCCATATTAGTTACCGTGATTCTTCAGAACATCCTGTTGTAACACCCAGTTTCTATTTAAAAAAAGGTCTAGAGCCGAACCCCTTAACGTCGACGATGGCCAGGGTCGTTCCCGTCTTCTGTTTCTGTACGAATTGCCGACGTGTCAACATTCCTCGTCCTATTGTTGTCCAGGCCAAAAAATTGCGCTTCTATCGCCGCAGTCGTTACGCCAGTAAGCGTAAAGGAGCTAGAATCGCCAGCCTCGTCTTCTTCCTGTTGATAAAATGTAATAGCTGCAGAAGTAGAGGAGGACTCGACAGACCCTGTGTTCATGGAAGATGATGGAACCTCCATTTTTTCCTCGTTGCTTGTGCTGGAAGATGATGGCACCTCCATTTTTTCCTCGTTGCTCGTGCTGGAAGATGATGGCACTTCCATTTTTTTCTTGTTTCCTTTACTGGAAGATGATAGCACCTCCATTTTTTCCTCGTCGACAACCTTTTTTATTCTCATGAGTGCTTTCGCTATTTCTTTCTCACGCTTCTGCATTGCCTGCGCAAACCCGTGGTCCCAGGACTTCCATGTCATCTCATAGTTGCGTATCGTCGGAAGAAATGCCAGTAAAAAGGAAAGCAGAGCCAGCCGACCCGTCACTGCGCCAAAGAGTGAATGGCTCGGGTATTTGGTAGCCTGATCTTGATGATAAGGAAATGTGAGCAGATTCGGCCTAAGGAAATTTGATGATAAGGAAATGTGATCAGATTTTGATCATAGGGAAAACAAGAAGAGAATCCTTGTATGAGATTCAGGCTACCAAATACCAGAACCATACAAAGAAGTCGGTAGAGAAATTGCGCTCAATCATATATCGTGAATTCCCGGCACAGAGTCGCTATCTGAATCACCAACGCGAGGAGGAGCAAGGAGAAACTCTTCGTGAAGATGCTCCTGTACGATGTTGAATGCCAGCAACGGCTACAAAAGGCGCTGCGAGACCAAATGTCGTAGAGCTACCGCGTCGCATCTTCCGGGCAGGCCATATTATCCTTGTCCCTGAGCTCCTCCTTGAGCTTTTCCATCCCTGAGCCCTTCCTTGAGCCCTTTTTCGCCATTTTCCCAGAAAGCGATATCCTTGCAGCCTTCTTTCCACCTTGAAAGGAGGCCAAGAGCGCGGCAGAGGATGCTCCAGAACCTTAACTGTCGAGACAACGTGGAGCAGTTGGGAGCCTTAGCCTTCGTCGAAAAATGATCCCGATCGCTGACATTCTCACTCGAGAAAACAAAAAGCCACCTGCTCTGCTAGTAGAAGACCTAAAGCTGCCTCTGTCGCGTTCTCTGAGTGATTCAAGATCTTGTATTATATCATCAGAGCTGCTGCTGCGACCAGTCGCAGTCCCTGTTTTTCTGTGACTTCGAGCACGACTCGATGTTGTTGTTGTACTTCTTGTTGCACTTCTTCTAGAGCATGACCAGAAGGAAAGTGATCTGCTACTGCTTATGACACGGAAAAGCGTACTCAAGTACTTACTCGAGATGAAAGTACATGACACCTCGATTAGAAAGAAAGACTAAAAAGGAGGCACCTCTATTAGAGGAAAAGGAGGAGCCTGTATTTGATTTTTAAGTAGGAAGCAGCCTCTCTTCTTCGTGTTCGTCTTAATTATCTACTTATGAGTACACTTTTTTCCTGTCCTCATACTGCCCTCTAAAACGAATGGCGCGCAGAGCGCAAAGAAAACCAATGCAGCATTTTTCCACACGAAAAAGCCACCTCGTACCGTTGCCAAGTAGAAGTAAGCAAGAGCAGTTTGGCATTCCGTACAGTCCCCGCCATAATCCGGACAGGGACAGTCCAACACACAGCATTCCCCAGTTGCTAGGTCTCCGTGTTTATTAGATAGAAAATCCAAGGTATCAAATAAATCTACTTCCTCTACGCAATCAAGTGTGGGTTTGGATTTTCTTGTGCAACGAACTGGAACAATTGCATTATTCATCCTTTTAAGCTGTCAAGAAATAAATCTGAACCATAGAACAAAAGATGAATATGATGTTTGGCGTAGCTGCACTCTCCTAAGAACATCCTTGATCATTCCAGGAACATCCTTGGCATATCTTCGACTTCAAAAGACAAGCAGGGAGGGATGGTACAAAAGAGTAAAAGACGAGCCAGCAGATGTAACTAAAATCCCACGTATTTATGGAGTAACACTATGCCAAAAGCGAACATAAAAAAGGGGTTTTTTAGCCAAAAAACGCACACACAGTCCCGGGATCAGTTGGGCAGTATTCATCTCAGACTGGAAATTTTTCATTTTGAGACGAATACTGCCCAGCTGATTCCTGGGCTTTATGTGCGTTTTTTGGCCAAAAGACCACTTTTCTATGTTCGCTTTTGGCATAGTGTTACTCCATACACGAACACGTATTACGAAAAGTAGTTATTAGCTTGGCTTGGTTATTGACTTGGCTATTACATCAAAACTTGGCTGCTAAGACTACCAGCCATGGAAAAATGTAGCAAATGTCTAATGGTTGTGGAGGATGCAGCAATCCACTTAGCCAATGCTTGTGGCCTTTAAGTTGATGGCTGCAGCAGGGATTACATTCTCGTTTCTCTGGTGGCAAAAACGGCGAAACACAGCACACAGGCTTAGAAGAATCCCTAGTCCTTCTATCTCGCTCAAAAATTTGTCATAGAAGTGCTGCGCGCTTAATGGCACTGAGTTTCGTTCTGCAGCACACCTAACTGCTTTCGTTTGCCAGCACGCTTTGCCTTAAGGGTTCCAGCACCTGAAGGTCTAGGGTCGTCCCGCAGTGATTCGGGCAAGCAGTGCGCAGGACAAGGCTCGCGCTGGTTAGCAAAACACTTGTCTGCCTTGAAGCCGCTACATGGACATCGATACTCAACACCAGGCTTCAAAAATTTCCGCCATTTTCCACAGTCGATACAACAAGCAGCGCCAGCACAGATTGGAGTTTATCCCCGCTCCTTGTCGTCGTGTGATGACGAGTCGAGGACAGGTCGCGCAGTCTCGAGGCTGCAGCATTGCATTCGCCCAACACAACACTTTTGATATCTGTTCCAGTTGAAGAAGGTCAAGAATGTCTGTTGGGGATGCAATATGGAGGCGATCCTTAATGGGAGTCGACAGATACAAGTCTGGCGCTGGTCTCATATTTTCTAGCGCTGTCGCAATAATTCATATCTTTGTACTAGGTTCATTTTCTCAACAGGATTCCGATGCTACTGATACTTCCCAAACCATGGAGAAAGTAACTACTTACAATAAGAATAAGGATAAGCTGCTGTGAAGAAGATGAATTATCGCTTTTACTCGCCTTAATTTTTTCTGGAATTCGGCACGACCACTCCCCTTCCCCATCTTGGTGGATTCCTAGCAACATCTGCTATTTCAGGAATGATCCAGCAGGGGGAGCGTGGTCGTCACACCAATCGCAATCTCCACAAACTGGTATCGTTGTAGGACAGGACGCTTCTTCTGCTGAAGATGCTGTCTCCTCTGGGCGAGCGGTCAAAGAAGATGCTGATACGACTACAGCAGGCGGCGACGGCGATGCCACGGCCACACCAGTTGGTGCCAAAGATGTTCTCGTTGACACGACCACAGCTGTCGACGACGATGACTCTTGCACAGGTCGTGTCGACGCTGTCACTTCTACAGCACCGACCTCTAGTACGTAGCGCAAGAGCCGCGCATGATCTTGTTCTTGTGTGGTTCCAACAAAAAAATTGAAAAAAAGATGTGGTGATTGAATATCAATAGAAAGGTAGGGCTTGCACGTAGCACAATAAACCTCCGCTGACGAGAAGTACTCTGCTGAGAAGTACTCTGCTCCTTGTCAAGCCCTTCAGACAAGACCAAGAGCTGCGTCATGGTCAGTTGACCTATTGAACTACTGAACTAGTTCCATTGTATTTCAGGCATAATTTATTATATAGGTACCAGGAAGGGAGGCCCCCCCCTGTGGATGGATCTGGGGCGGACCACGCCAGAGGGGTCCAGCCTTGCCACCTTTGCCAGGTCTGTCGAGGGGCTGCCGGGCGGGAAGGCCTCAAAGCGCCCACTTCTGACCCCTTCCCGCTTCTTGCATGTACCCTACAGACCTGGCAGACGAGGCCAGGCGGGAACCCACCCCCTTGGCGTAGGGTTGGGCACATGCAACACGCCAGGAGAGGGCTCCAGCCTTGCCACCTTTGCCAGGTCTGTCGGATACATGCAGCACGCCAAGGGGGTGGGTCCCGCCTTGCCTCCTCTGCCAGCTCTGTCGGGTACACGCAACACGACAAGAGGGCCCAGCCTTTGCCACCTTTGCCAGGTCTGTAGGGTACATGCAAGAAGCGGGAAGGGGTCAGAAGTGGGCGCTTTGAGGCCTTCCCGCCCGGCAGCTCCTCGAAAAGAGGGGCGGGGGCGGGGAGGCCCCCCGTAAGGGTCAGCGAACGCCCCCCGCGGTCCTACATAAGACGTCACGCCTTCCCCCCCGGTATACTACTGAGAGCTTGCCCCATCTTGGTTCGCGCGTCACGCGAAAAGCGTGACGCTTTTGTTGCGTGTGCCCTACAGACTTACTAGAGGCAAGGCGTCACGCTTTTCGCGTGACGCTCAAGAGAGGGCCGGCAGATGAAGGCCCCACCTTCAGACTATGAGGACCCTCGGGCCCTCAGCTGAAGTCTTTCCGATCATGAGGACCCTCAAGGGAGAACCCTCACTCTGCGAGGGCCCTCAGATGAAGCTCTTGCGATCATGAGAGAGGACCTTCAAGGGAGAGCCCTCACTCTCAGAGGGCTCCCAGATGAAGTCCTTCCGATCGTGAGGACCTTCAAAGGAGAGCCCTCAATCTGAATAGAGGACACCCAGCTGAAGTCCTTCCGATCATGCGGGCCCCCAAGGGAGAACCCTCACTCTGGGAGGGCCCTCAGATGAAGCTCTTCCGATCATGAGAGAGGACCTTCAAGGGAGAACCCTCACTCTGAGAGAGAGGGCTCCCAGGTGAAGCCCCTCCGATCATGAGGACCCTCAAGGGAGGGCCCTCAATCTGAATAGAGGACACCCAGCCGAAGTCTTTCCGATCATGAGGACCCTCAAGGGAGATCCCTCACTCTGAGAGGGCTCCCAGATGAAGTCTCTCCGATCATGAGAGAGGACCCTCAAGGGAGAACCCTCACCCTGAGAGGGCTCCCAGATGAAGTCTCTCCGATCATGAGAGAGGACCCTCAAGGGAGAACCCTCACCCTGAGAGGGCTCCCAGATGAAGTCTCTCCGATCATGAGAGAGGACCCGCAAAGGAGAACCCTCACCCTGAGAGGGCTCGCAGATGAAGTCCTCCCGATCGTGAGGACCTTCAAGGGAGAGCCCTCAATCTGAATAGAGGGCACTCAGCTGAAGTCTTTCCGATCATGAGGACCCTGAAGGGAGAACGGACCCGCATTCTGAAAGGGCCCCCAGATGAAGCTTGCTCTGCCGATCATGAGAGAGGACCTTCAAAGGAGAACCCTCACTCTGAATAGAGGGCACTCAGATGACCCTCAAGGGAGAGCCCAGCCTCACTCTGAGCGGCACGCCTCGTCTCTCGCTCTCTCTCTTTCTAACACCGAAGCAAGCTAAGACACTACCGACAACAGCGCGGCTCTCTGCCTGTCTTTATGATTCTGCGCGTCTTTTTGCATTCTGCGTGTCTTTTTGCATGCTAGCATACTGCCAAAGCTGTCCACGCACACGCGACATGTGTGGCCCTTATCTTATGACGCGCCTGACTTCGGTCAGCGTCACGCTTACACACTGGCAAAGAGGCGCCTGGTCTGCATTGGATTCCCATGCGTCACACTAGAGAACGCACGCGGAAAAGACATCCGACCCCGATGAGATTCCCACGCGTCACACTAGAGCGCACATCGCCAAAAAGCACCCAGGCCCCATGAGATTCCTATGCGTCACGCTAGAGCACGCGCGGCGAAAAAACGCCCAATCTCCCCGAGATTCATACGCGTCACGCTAGAGGCGCGACGCGTGACGATCCGCGGGGGGCGTTTGCTGACTCTTACGGAGGCCCCCCCCCCGCAAAAAGTTAGATCGGGGGGGCCTCCCGCCCTGAGCCCTGGAACATATATACAAACTAACATACAGCGTCTTCACTCTTTCTCAACAATAGATACGGGAGTAAGTGGATAACTGTCAATATCGAGCGAAAGACTACACTTACACTCAACTTTTGAGAAAATTAGAGTTCTATGTGTATTACCTGGCTAAGTATCTAGTTAAGTTTTACTAGCTAATTAAGAACTAGCTAGGGTCTTCGGCACCGAGGCAGCGACTTCGGCGGCAAGATCTTCGAAGCACGCCTGCATCTGAAGGCTGAAGATGATGAGAGTCAGACACTTGAAGAGAATTCTGCTGAAAACTGTGCTGCGGCACCACCTGGCGCCGCAGCCGAATATTCAAACATAGCAAAGCTCGCGCTTTCGTCTGATTCTCATCTTCCCCGGCCATCAAATTCAGAGACGTCTCTACCCCCGCAGGGCTGCCTCCCGGATCCGGCCGCCGTCATCGCTGCCGCGCCGCCGAGGACCCTGTCTAGCTAGATTTTAACTAGCTAGTTAAAATTAGCTAGCAAATCTACCTAGTTTCAAATCTACAACCCTAATTTTTTCAAAGTCTGAGCGTGAGTGTACTTTTTGGTTCGATAGTTGACCTCAGCTCACTTCTCAGACAATCAGTGAGGGCCTTCTCTTCACGTCATCAAGCAATCAGCGAAGTCGCAAACTGTCAGCAGTGGCTCGAGTGGTTCTTCTCTCTCCGTCATGAGGATCTTCTCGCTACGTCATGAGGATCTTCTCGCTACGTCATGAGAATCTTCTCACTACATCCATATCAGCAGCCCGCATGAGATCCACCTAGATGGCGGCATATCAGACTGGGTTCCCGCCGCAGCCCTGCGCATCAAGCACCGGATTGGTAGGAATTGGAGTTGGGTCCTTCCGTGAACCCATAGGTTGTAAACAAGGAACATCACGTGATTTTGTTATATTGTCACAAAGGAACGATGAAAGTGATGCGCAGTTCTTTTCAACGGCTTGCGCAGCACTGGTAGAAGTTGCACTTCTACAGTTCGCCGGCGAAAGACCTCTGCGGAGAAGACATAAACAGTTTATGATAAACTTCTTGCTTCCACCCTCCTACGTCGTCAACAATGGATTCGTATCATGGAGCAAAGTGAGAGGACTGGCACATGGGATCATAGGAACAACTAGGAACGTAGCTAAGAGTAATGATCTAACGAGGAGGGATTAGGGTTAGGAGTTGGCTCGCCGTCCACAGTTTGACCTGTATCCTCGGGCGAACGTCCGTAGCCTCAGAGGGACTACCAAACAGTAACTATCGTCAACTACAACTTCCTGAATGTATCGCACCCCCTCTACTCCTCTCTACTGGACCGCGTGGCCGATTTATGCGCTGCAGAGGAACACATGACAGATCTGGCGGCATTCATTCGACTTATAGATCCCGGCCCTGCTTCGTATATGTTTTCATTCGACTTATTCGATTAGCATTCCACTTAGTTTCACGCTCTATTTAGATCCTTGTCCTTCGCTCTTGTCTCATCTAAGCTACGACCTACAGCCCACAGTACTACGACCTTGCTCATCGTTGTCGACGTTCGTGCACCTCGCGCAGTCCAAGATCATTAGAAGAAGATGCTACGGCTATAACTGAAGGCGCTGCGCTTTTGCTAGAAGAAGTAGAGGCTTACCTAAAGCAACAATACCACAACGACGGAGGATCAAGAACTCAAAGAAAGGGGCCACAAGGACAACATGGCGCAAACGTTGACTCCCTACGTCAATCCAGGTACGAGGAGGACGCCTCCTATATCATGCTCATCGACCTCGCTTACTTGTTCCCTTTACCATGGACAGACGACGAAAACCCCCTTCGACTATCAGCCGTAACCTCATGCCGCCACCAACTTTCGCACGTGCTCTTCCCACGACTCCAGCATTATTCTAGGCCCCTAACTAAGCTAACCACTCAAAAAGAACGCGACCGCCAAACCCCACAGCTGCGGAGACTCTTGCCGCCGTCTCACTTAATTAAGTGCTTAATATAGAGGGGGTGGCCACAACGCGCGCAGAGCTGATACACGAGGCCGCGCCTCCCAAGCATATATTGATGGCCGTCTTGTGCAGAGCCTTACGCGTAACGCGTGCACTTGATCCATTCGCTTGCGTACTCGCGTGAGCAGTGATTCGACTTAACAGCAAGGTATTGTGGTGAATCACTCGACGGCGCAGCTATGTACTTACGTGACATATGTATAAATAGTTCCACTTTATTCACAAGATAGCGGCGCGAGGTGTGGCTGGGTAGTGGTTGCCTAGTGCACCCTTCGGGGCGAAGCACGAGGCGACTATGCCGGCCGCGCCAACCTACTCGAGCAGGGAGCCCAATAGTGTGCTGCGTCGTATTGTCGTCCCTCTTCGCTTGACCGGGGTCGTAACGCTCTGCACTACTAAGTACTAACTACTCGGCGTCCGCGCGCGCCCGCCTGGCCTCTCCCTCCGCTAAGCGTTGCATCTTGTATCGGGGTGCGCTGCGTCTGCTGTATTGCGATGCTGGGACGAACTTCCTTGCTGTGGGTTCTGCACTGAGCCACGCCTTTCCCGTCATTTTTTGTCCTTACATGGATCGACGCATTACTTGACCCAAATTCGAGCGCTCCTCTATTTCCAATGCCGGTTATCGGCGGAGCTGTTTTGCTTGCCCTAGAACATGCGGCATTTTTCCCGCCTACTTATTCAGGCCCATTATAGACCCTGTCGCCCGGGCAATGCATACGATGTCTCAAGTTGAAAACTGTTAATCTTATTTCATGGCGACAGGGTCTTACGCTAACACGACAGGAAGATCCACGATGTGAGTGCCCGAACTTACCAGACCAGACCAGGATCTTTGAGCTTCAGCAGGGGGACGAAGATGAAGGAGCAGCAAGGAAGTTGTTGTAAATGGAAACGATAGCGACCAGTTGCACATAGCTACAAGACGCCATACGTACTCAAACTCATCACGTATGTTGTTGAGTTAGGTGCCATCACAATTACAAGGTAAGACGTTAGAGCTTATTGAAGACATTGCAACTGTGTTGATGTAAGCTTTATGCTATCTTTATCTATCAGTCACGGCCTTGATATTGTTCTACCGTTAATCGTGTTGGCCTGCGATCGCAAGGGCTCTCCATCAAGTTGCCAAATACGCTTACACAATACAATCATGCTGCCGAGGCACAAGAAGCAACCGCGATTGGTGGACTTAGAGCAAACAACAGATGCAACTACTGGAAATTTTTTCTTAAAGGACAGCGTCGAGCTATGGCATCAGAATCAACAAGGGCCAACACTATGCACATTATGGGTAAGCGAATGCGTCATCCCAATACGATGGGCAGCGACTCGATTTCTAGCTATACAAAATTTTACGGGACTCATTGATTTTGATGATGTGCTCTATCATGATAGAGGAAAAACAATAGGGGAGGACGGGATCACAGCGCAGCAGCTACAAGAGATGCCCACGACAGGCAAGAGACTGCTGCTGAGATTCATCCGGAGCAGCTTGGGCACCGGAATAGTCCCAGCCCCACTCCGCAGCGAGCTGTGCACGCCGATCCTGAAGCCCGCAAAGGAGCCAGCAAACGCACCAGAGCCGAAAGGCCTGCGCCCGATTGCATTGACGTCGACAACAGCAAAGGTGGCCGAGAGAACCACACAGAGGCGCCTCCGGCTGCTCTTCCAGGCTGCTGGCCGCTTACAGCACGGCCCGGCGCAGCACGGTGACACACCAGCAAGGGCAGCGCCTGACCACGTGGCTGCCATGGCAGTCAAGGCCCAGGAGACCTCCCGCAAGCACAAACGACGGGCGGCCGTCTTCTTGGACCTCGCAGGGGCCTTCGAGCGTGTCCCGCCGGACCTTTTCGCCAGCCGTCTACCTGCCAGGCGCAGCAACTTGAGCACCACGAAAGCCGTGGGCAGTGGGCCGGCCAGGTCTAGCGACAGACAGACAGCAGCCCCTCCCGATAGCCCGATGGCTAGGGGCTTTCGTTTCTGGGCGGACAAGGGTCGCGCGGTTCGCAGAGGCGCTCTCGCCAAGGGTCGACTTGGGGCAAGGCGCTCCGCCAAGAACAGCCAGCGGCCCATCAGTGTGGGGGCACTATGCCGGCCCCCTTCTAGTTGAGCTCCGAGCGCGCTGCCCTGGCGTCGAAGTGTTTGGAAATGTCGGCGATGAGTGTCATGCCCTCGGTCGAGTACACAGACCCGCAGGCCAGGCAGCGGGAGCACCAGGCGACCCTGGGCGTCGTGGCTGCGTTCTGCGCGTCTAGTAGCGCACAGCTGTCGCCAGGAAAGTGCTTCTACATTGTCTCCCAAGAGCAGCATGCGCGCGAGGTGCCGGAGCTTACCCTCACGGCTGGGAAGGTGCAGACCCACTACGACCCGCGCCCGAAGTTCCTCGGGATCGTCGTCGACCGCCGGTGGCCGTTCGGGAGGCATTTCGAGGCGCTCGCCGCTAAGATGCGACGCAGGGAGGCTGCTGCGCGGCAGCTTGCCGGGGAGTCCTGGCGCCGCGCTCGAGAAATCCGCGCGATGCGTCAGCTTTTATTTTCTTGCCGAGGCAGCAGCTGCGTGCAGGTTGGTGTGCTATTGGGGAAGGCTGACCGCAGAGCAAAGGAAAGAGCCCGAGGGCTTCCAGTACCGCGCAGCATGCCTGGTCCTGGGGCAGCCAAGGAGCACACAGCGGGGGCGCGCCCTCGCCCTGGCAGGGCTGGCGACATTCGAAGAGAAGCACACGGCCGACGCGGCGCCGGTGGTCGCTAGGGCAAGCTCGCGCCCCAAGGCGGACCTCCTCCGGCAACTTACTAGTAGACAAGCGCCCCGGGGTCAGATGGATCCAGACCAGGAGAAGGGCCATCCAATGCGGAGCATCGCACGCAGCAAAGCCGACCGCGCTGCCAGAGGTTGCCGGGCATGCGGGTGACGGCTGCGCTAGCGTACACGTGGCGCAAGAGGGCGGGCGCCTCATCGTCGAACCAAGCGCAGCACGTGGCGCCCCAGCACTCGTCGACGCTTTGAGCAAAGCAGGCGCGAAGGTCTCCGGTTTTCGCGGTGGTGCAGCGGCTTTCTGGTACAGTAGCGCTGGCTACTGCGGCTCCGCCTGGGACTGCGGGCCGCTGTGTGACTCCTTCGAGGTGGAGAGGTCGGCAATCGGAGCGACCCTGTCGGGGATAAGCGCCAAGGCTACCCCTGGCCAGAGGGTCGTCGTTATAACCGATAGCCAGCCCCACGCGCGCGCGACCCTAAGCCCAGCACTCAAGAACGAAAACGAGAGAGCCCTGCACTCGGCTCTTCGCGCTGCCCTGGCAAGACTCAGACCACACCAGCGGGCAGACCAAGGCTGAGACTCACCCGGGGGCACTCAGACTCAGGCGCCGCCGGCAACGAGATCGCTGAGCACCAGCTAGCCGGAGTAGCAAGCCCCTCGGACTCCTCCGCCGAGACGGGGCAGGCGATCAGCCACCGGCAGTACCGCACGGAGACAGCGAGGGTGCTTCGCGTAGCCAAGTCGCGCCAGATAAGCGGAGCAGCATGCACAAGGAGCAAGACAGCCAAGACCGCAACAGATACAGGCAGCTGCGGCACGCAGAGACCTCTTGCGAGCCGTAGCATGCTCGCGGGAAGGCGGGAGGACGTTGGCTGCCCGTTTTGCCCTGGCCTTGCGGCAAGCACGCCGCACCTACTACAGTGCTCTGCGCTCCAGGCTCTACTAGAGACGCAAGGGGTTCCGGCGAATGTGGAGCCGGCTGCGTCGAACCCGAAGCAGCTCATCCCACACCTTCGCGACTTAGCGACCAGCTTCGGCGGTGCGTCCTTGCGAGCGCAGCCGCCACACCTCCAGCGAAGACAAGGGGAAACGAGTAGCGGCCGCTGTGGTAACCCATCGCTGCCCCCGCTACGATAAGACGGGGGCCGAGATAGGTGATGGCGAACAGAGAACGAGCAAGGAGGAGACAAGAAAGGAAGCACGCGAAGACAAAAAAGAACGAAGACAAAACGAAGACGCGAAGGACAGAGCACGCAAGCCGTAGAAATGTCTACCAAACCCGGCCGCGCCACACCGCCGGGCGCTACCTACACGCAGTCGCCGCCCCCTGCAGCACGCGGCGCCTGGCATGCCACAAAAGCCGCAGCCGGCGGGGACTGTGGCGACCAGAAGTATCGCACTCGATCGCAATGACGACCATAGCATATATAACACACACAGAGCACAAAGAAATCCGTCGGGGTCGTACGCGTCGCCCGGAGCGCATCAAAACAAACAAACAAAAATTATAGGACTCATTTCTATGCAATGAGCTGGCGGCTCTATTACCTCTCAGCGCTCGAAGATGATGCGACGAGTATCAATATGCACGCGCCTGATCATGCAAGGGCGACGAAAATTGCGCACGTGCGAGAAGTAACTTTTTGACGTTTTTTTTACCATTTTACTTATCAAAAAGTAGCTAAGTAGCTTGTAGTTGTAATCCAGCCTCTTCAAAAACATTTGCCGACGAGTAATAATAAAACGGCAAGCAAATAACTACAAGCATGATGATAAAATGAACGAGGCCGTTAGACTTTTGGACCCTACCCAGAACAAGACTTCTGGAACAGCCTTCCCACGACAGGTTTTCTGGAACAGCCTTGCCAGAGCCAAAAGGCTTCCTGGGGCAGCCTGTCGGCGAGACTTTAGGGAAGTGAACCCTACCCAGAACACAAACGCCAGGAAAGCCTCGCCAAAACAAGACTTCTGGGGCAGCCTTTCCAGAGCAACACTTGACTTTTGGGAAAGCATTTCCAAAACAAGACCTCCAGGACAGCCTTCCCAGAACAAGACTGCTGGAGCAACCTTCCCAGAGGAAGACGTCTGGAGCACCCTCTCCAGAACATCCAAGACTTTTGGGGCAGCCTTTCCAGAAAAAGACCTCTGGGGCAGCCTTTGTTTCCAGCGCAAGACTTCTGGGAAAGCGTTTGCAGCTCTAGACTTCTGCGACAGCCTTTCCAGAAAAAGACTTCTGGGCCAACCTTTCCAAAACAGGCTTCCTGGGACAAGTTTCCCAAGGCAAGTTTTCTGGGGCAGCATTTCCAGGGCAGGTTTTCTGGGGCAGCTTTTCCAGAGCAGCACAGGCTTTCTGGAAGAGCATCCCCAGGACAAGCTCCCTGGAGCTAATGATAGCTCTGACTTGGATTTTTTGGCCTCACAATCAAAGCCCCAAATTTTTCCAAAGGGCCGAACGTTTTCAAAAGCTCGAACTTTTTAAAAAGCCCGAACTTTAGCGCAAACTTTTTCAGAAGCCCGAACTTTCTCAAAAAGCCCAAATTTTTCAAAAAGCCCAAACTTTTTCAAAGGCCCAAAGTTTTCAAAAAGCCCAAACTTTTCGAAGAGCCCAAACCTCCCAAAGAGTCCCAAACTTTTCAAAACGCCAAAACCTTTCAAAAACCCAAACGCCTTCAATCAAAAGGCTGCTCCACTTTCGAAAAGCCGCCCCACCCACACATAGCCGCAAACAATGCACACACACACACAGGGCCCGCACCGCTCTTTAGCCTTCGAACTCTAGAGCAAAACCGTGACCCGGTTGCGAAGTTTTTGCTTTCTTCCTCTTCCCTTTTTCAGTGAGCTGCTAACTAGAAACTAGTGAGCGTCACTTGTTAACTAGTAACTGTTTCACTCTAACTAGTGAACGCAAGTTGATAGCTAGCACTTGTTTAATTTTGGCTAATAAGTGCGACTTGGTAACTAGTAATTGTCTAATTTTAGCTAGTGCTTGTTAGTTGATAGCTAGTAAGTGTTTTCTTCTAACCAATAAATGTCCAAATCTAACTAATAGGCGCGAGCTCATGAATAGTAATCGTCTAACTTTAACTAAAAAGGGCGAGCTGCTAACTAGTAAGCGTCACTGGTTAACTAGTAGCTGTCTAATTTCGACTAGTAAACGCAAGTTGATAGCTAGTAACCGTTTAATCTTAAGCAATAGAATAAGTGTGATTTGGTAGCGAGTAACTGCCTTTGCCTAATTTTAACTAGTACTTGTTAGTTGATAACTAGTAAGTGTTATTTTCTAAGCAACAAGTGTCCAACTCTAACTGGTATATGCGTGCTCGTAACTAGTAACTGTCTAACTTTAACTAAAAAGCGCGAGCTGCTAGCTAGTGAGTGTCATTTGTTAACTAGTAACTGTTTTTTAGTTTTAACTAGTAAACGCAAGCTGGTTGTAGCCAGTAGTTGTTTAATTATATGCTGATCATACAAAATAAGAATAAAAAACACAAGCCAGACCCAGACGTTGAAGCAAAAAACGTAACAAGAAAACAAACAAGCGAGAAAAGCTTAACAAACAGGCGAGAAAAGCTTATAGCTAATAACTGGCATTCTCTCACTAGTAACTGTTTGTGTTTGAGGGCTTGAGCTGGTAAGTGTCATTTTCTACCTGTTAAGTGTTGAGTTATGGCTAGTAAGTGTGAGCTTCTAGCTAGTAACTGCGTAACTTTAGCTAGTAAATGTCAGCTGATAGCTAATAAGCGTCACTCTCTAACAAATACTCAAGTGTCGAATTGTAACTAATAAACGCGAGTTCCTAACTAATAACTGTTTAACTCTAGCTAATATCTGTCACTTGATAGTTAGTAAATGCCATTTTCTCACTAGTAAGCGTTATATTATAACTAATACCTGCGAGATCATAGCTAGCAATAGTTGAATTCTGACTAATAGCTGTCACTTGCTAGCTCATAACTGCTCCATTCTAACTAGTAATGCGAAAAAGTGCGGAAAAACTGCCAAAAACGTGGCAAAAAATGACGAAAGGCGCTACGAATATGAGACCAAAAGGCGCCACCAAAATGAGGCCGAGGCCGGTCAGAATACTTGCTGAGGACGCGGCGCGGACACGATGGCAGAGGGGCCCCGTGAAGAGGCACACGCGGAGACCTCACATAGAGGGACCCAGGTCACGAGGTCGCCCGCGCAGGTGCCGCCAACTAATAGAAGCCAAGGACCCGGGGCCGCCTTGACTCACTGTGAGACACAGGGGCCGCGAGCAATAGCGGCGAGGGACGTCCTACGCCCATGGGATGGCGCCCATTCTGAGTATGAGGGGCGGGGCTTGTGGGTAGCGAGGTCCTGAGCGCCTCACAGGCGCGGAGATCGTTGCTTTGGCAAAAGCGCAGAGGTTTGGTAGGAAGCCAGACCGCCACGCCAGGGACCTGCTGTGAGTCCGGTCCCCGCCCTGGAGTGCAAGAACGGGAGCGACAGAGTCAGGGCAATAACGTAGGGCAGTGATATAATGTAGGGCAATAACGTAGAGGAATTACGTAGATTAATAAAGTAGACTAAAAGCGTAGCCTCATAGCCAGGGGTAATAACGTAGAAGACTAGCGTAGGTTAATAACGTAGACTAGCCATGTACGTAGATGAACTGCGTACACGTAGGCAAAAAATGTAAACTAACAAGGGAGACTAACGACATAGATTTGTAAGGTAGATTAAAAGCGATCTCGGCTAGTCATGTAGAGTAATAATGTAGATTAATATTGAAAAGTCATAATTTGGATTCAAATGTAAGTTCTCTCCTGCTAAGGTATTAATTTTAGTGAAGCGGATTAATAATATAGATTAATTAGAAGCCGCAAATAATGAAGAGTAGACGAGTAGTTACACACGAATCATGGGCAATAAGAATACGCAACAACGTTCGCGCGCTCATAGAAAAAACATAACAAAAAGACAGCCAAGCACCCCATAACTAGCAGGCGTCACTCTACAGCTGCGAAGTGCTCGCCTTGGGCTAGTAGCTGTTGAACTTTAGCTAGTAGCTGTCTAATTTTAACTAGAAAGTGCCACTCTTCTCTATAGCTAGAAAGCGTTTAACTCTAACTAGAAAGTGTCACTCTACAGCCAAGAAGTGTTTAATTATAAAAGCTAATAGGTGTCGAATCTTCGCTAGTGCTAGTAACTGTCGGCCTCTAGCTAGCAAATGCCTAGCCACCAGTAGCAAGCGCCGAATTGTAGCTGGCAAGTGTCGAGGTATTGCTAGTAGGTTACGCGCTATAACTAGAAAGCGCCAGACTATAGCTAAGAACTGTCGAACTAGAGCGAGCAAGTACCTAACTCCAGCTAGTAAGTTTCTAACTCTAGCTCGTAAGTGTCTAACTCTAACTAGTAAGTGTCGGCCTATACCTCGTAAGTGTCAAACTCTAACCAGTAAGCGCCTGGGGCTAGCATCGAACTCTAGCTAGTAAGTGTCGAGCTATAGTATAGCTAGTAAGTCTCCTCATGTTATAGCTTCTAGTAAGTGGCTAACCTTAGCGAGGAAGTGTCTAGTTATATTTTAGCTAGTAGGTGGTGGTGGATAACTTTAGCTACTAATAAGCGTCGAATTTTCGCTAGTACCTGTCGAGTTATAGCTAGTAAGTGTCTGGCGTTAGCTAGAAAGTTGCCGAACTCTAACTAGATGAGACAGAAAGTGCACAATTTTAACTAATAAGTGTCAGGATTTTGCTAGCAACTGTCGCCCTATAGGTAGAAAGTGCCCCCTTTTTTTTAACTCGAAAATTATATCTAGGGAGTGTTTAACTTTAACTAGCGAGGCCCTGCTCGGTGGAGGCAAGGAGGTAAAAGCAGGCAGGTGCCGGTAGGAAGGTGGGGGTAGAGAGGTGGGGGTACGAAGGTAGGGGTAGAGAGGTGCGGGTAGGGAGGTGGGGGTAGAAAGATGGGGGCAAGGAGGTGAGGGCAGGGAGGTGGGAGAAAGGAAGAGAAGGCAAGGAGGCGGAAGCAGGGAGATGGGTGTTAGGAAATGGAGGCAGGGAGGTGAGGGCAGGGAGGTGAAGGCAGGGAGGTGAAGGCAGGGAGGTGGAGGCGAGGAAGGTGAAGGGGGGCAAAGACTTGGAGACAGCGGGGCAGAACATAAGGGGCAACAGCCAAGGCAAATGTGAGGGGCTAACGCATGGCAAAGAAGTCCCAAGGCTTTCCCGATAAGTAGCTAGTAACTAACTGGCTGCGTCTTGTCGAAAATCCAACGAGAATGACACACCTGGGCGGGAGCGACGCCAACGAGTAGTAGTGCGAAATGAAGTAAGTACTCTTCTTCAAGAGTAGTAGTTTGCCAAGGCCTCTCATCATGTGCCTCGGGGTAAACTCTTTTAATTTCTCCACTACGACCAGTACAACATCAATGCGTAAGTTGTAAAAAAGTCAATACGTTTATAGATATAATCAATCTCTGTCGAGAAGGTAATCACATTTGTCATTCTTGGCTCTTCGTACGCTATCACTAGCTAGGGTTGTACCTTTCTTCTTGGAATCATTCACGAGGATAAAAAATGAGTTTTATCTTATCGTTCCCTTCAGCGGGCTTTTGAAGGATCGTGCACTAGGATATGTATTCTCTCACACGTGCACTACTTGTATTCTACACGCCCATAATTGCTTTCTTGTTTCTACTGTTACAGAGAAACGTTCTTACTGACACATCACAGGCTGGTTGCACTTTTTACTGAAGGTGACTCCAAAAATATTCATATTGTTCTTATTGACGGTGATATTACTTCTAGCATAATACGTAATAGTTCGGTTATTTTTTACCCACCTTTCGATTGTTGCAAATTATAATAATACGGACGATCGGATAGTACCTTTGTGTAGTATAACGCTTGTGTAGTTACAGAAATATCGCGCTGTTTGATCTTTCTCTCACCTTTGTTCTTAGACTTAGTATCTTCGTATCTTTGTTTTTGATGTTGTTGTTGTCCCCTTCTCTTATTTGTTCTTTGTTTTAACCAAAATATAATTTCTTGTTGGAGGTTCAAAGATATGATCCATCTACAAAAACCGAGAATTACAATAAATCCTACTGCTACACGTATAACATAACAAGATGACCGAGTAAGTTGAAAGCGACCTGCCACTACGCGTCATAACTGATGTATAACAAGATTGGTATTACCGAATGATGTATAAAAAAATCGAAATCGATGTTCTGGTACTTGTACACGGCTTATTGATTGTTCCAACTCTTAGTAGTTTGCTGACAATCCTGCTTCACGTCTGCCTTGAGTTCGGCTTGGTTTCTACGTAAAACAATAGACTAAGACGGTCTTCTCCAGGCAACATACATACCGTGAAGACCCTTTCGGCTTAGACAAGGTTTCCCTAACAAAAAAAAAGACCCGATGGCGCATTACTAAGTTCTTGCACCAACAAGGGTGCTGTCAATTTTAAGACTTTTAATAGACTAAGTTCTCTCCGTCTAGCAGGTGGTTACTTTCACACTTACTACGTAGTCCTCTCGGTGTAACAGCAAGCTGTACGATTACGACGACGATATTTCAATCAATATTAGCATTTTTGGCAGTGTCGTCCTCTTTGGCTTTGCCACCTAGTCGAATGAAAAAAAGACTAAGATTTACAAACTTGTCGATGTCGAACGACATCAACATTTTCAAAACTCATTCCCAAAACTACCTCTTAGAGATCATCACGGCCCCAATCATGTCCCCAACCTCTGGCGGCTGCTCTTTGCGATAGGTCTGAAAGGTGCCACAGCTCAACATTGAGAAAATCAAGGATCATCAGTGAGCAGTCGTGTCGTTCCTTTTCCCCACGTTTAGTTGCAGGCTCATTTATTTATGTTTATCTCATTTATCTCCACCTAGTTCCTCAAAAAGTGGACAGTGGGATTGCTCCTTTATCATCATGAAAGTAGGGCGAACGACGTAATTGAGCACGTTGACATAGAGCACCGTTCTGTTGCTCTCAATGTCAATGTTACTGGGGTGGAGCGACTACTTAAGTTACTGAGAACGACCTACTTATAGGTGGACCTACTTACTTATAAATATATACATAGGTGGAGAACGACATTGCTCCTTTATCATCAAGAAAATAAGTGAGGACATCTTCTTCACACACTTCAGGAGAATGAGAACTATGATATTAAGTGACATCTTCACTACTAGTGGATCGTGTCAGACTTCTTTCTCAATGTTGAAGAGCAGTAGCACCATAAAGAGTCTCGGTCTGGTTCACCCAGCCTATCAATTTCGAAAGCTAGGAGCTCTCCCGGAGTCTTGTGCTGGTATTTGTTTGAGCTTCGCGAAGACGCCATCACAGTCATGGCTTCTACTTTAGCGCTCACCCAAATCCATCGCGAGATTCATCTTGGAGCTATTTTCCCCTTTATGGAACAGGTCTAAGATGCTTCAGAAGATGGAGGGGGGTAAGCCGTAACTACTTCATCTCTGCTTCTACCCGCTGTAGAGGTACCACCGGATATACTAGTAGGGAGGGTACTAGTCAGCATAAATTAGCGCTAATTTCTCACGACCATGCTGCCTGGTTCTTAAGAAAGTGACGAGTTGTTCCCCTTGATTAAAAATATTGTTCCCTTTCTTTGTTCATTTTTCTGAATGTACCTCACACACTCATTGTCATTCATTTACCTGTGAAAAAGAAACTGACTCTCCCTCTTTGTATCATCCCTTTTATGGATACATGAGATAGTGACATCAAACTTACTTCTAGCCTTAGATGCTATTGGCACTTGGGAGCTCAAGAAGTCTGGCCCCTGAACGCCTTTCGTCTCCAGTGACTAACGAGGACGAAGAGGAGGATGTTTCTCCGCGAACCAGAGAGGCTAGTATCATTTCCGTCACGTTCTTGCCACCGCATATCTATCTTAGAGGTGGTGGAGCAGGAGGTGGCGTAAATTTACTTTAAGTAGTAGAAGTCAGCTATTAAGTTGTATAAATATCAAATATGTATAAGGCAATTGCTGCAGACGCAACCGCTACCGTGTATTCTAAGAAACTGCGAAACTAGAGCAAGCAGTTAGCTAGAAGATCTCTTGCTACCCAAATCCAATCAACATTGACGCCACTTTGCTTGTAAAAAAGTACATCTATTATAGTATAAATATCTGTAAAAAGCATGCTGTTCATTATCTTGATGTAAACCAAGGAAAGTGTATCAACGATCGTGTGGAGGCCGTAAAGGTTTGTCTACGGACACGGCATCTATTCCTTGGAGCCGAAAGTTGGCAAATGTTCCAAATTTCTCTATGAGCACCTGCGTTTTAGAAGAGGAAGTCATGATTATAAGTCACTAGTTCTGATTTTAGTAGAAGGAAGCGAAACATGTGATCATCTTGTAATCCAAAAATGCGACTATTTCCTCGTTTCCTCATCGTGTTTTTCTTTGAAGAAAGTGTTTGCTTCTTGATTAAACCCTGACGAGGACCCTCATCTAGCACGGGAAAGTAGACTAAAAAGTCTTCGTCCAATCAAGTTCTTTATTCAAGGACCTACCAATCTCACCAGTGACCAACCTCAGTGTGAGCCTTAAGGGACACTTTAGGGGAAATCAAGGCCGCTTCTAACGCATCCGCAAATTCGCCACTACTTCGCACTAATATTGCCATCCCTACTTCAATAGTGTTACTCGCGCCTCCCGAGGAAGACGAGGATGCTGGAGATGCGGTTGAAGATGTGAAATTGGTAGTTGACACAGAAGATGAGGAGTTGCTACCGGAAGGGTTGCTACCAGAAGGCAAGGTTTGAAAGATGCCACTGATTGAGAACGTCGACGAGGAACGTTGTACCCGTAATAAGTTCTTTTCCATCCCTCTTTCTTTTGCCCTTGGGGACGACGTTCCTTTTCCTTCGTTCTCAATCAGGAGTGCCACCATAGAATGTTGTAGTTGCGTTTGTAGAAGAGGAGTTGCTAGTAACCGATGAACTACTCGGCGATGTAGTGCTTGTGTTCTTGGATGTTAAAGACGCGGCTCGCTGCAAATGGGTGTTAGCGCTTCCCTGGGGGTTCGTATCCTTGGGTGGAGTCATATCCTTGGAAGTCATATCCTTGGGAGTCATGAGTATCTATGAACGCTTCTCTTTCAAGTGGAAAAAGAAGTAGATCCAAGGTGGAAACTATCTATTATGGTGGTCTTGTTCAAGTAGCAAAAGAACATCCAGGGAAAATCATGGTCATTTTAAAAAGGATATGCTTCAGCGGTTGCCATAACGGTGATTGATTTACTCAATTCTCGTTTTAGTTCCGCCAACTCACTATGCAGAGAGCCTAAGGAGCCACCAGCTTCTCCTCTTGCCATCTGCCGATGCGTTATCCTGTTGAACGAGTGCTCATTCATTTCGTCTTCCGAGAAGACGCGAGGCGGCCTGTTTATCACGCGTCTAACAGAAACGAGAGAATCCTGACCTGGCTTTTTCTCAGCGAGTGTTATTTCTTCATGAGATCGAGATGTCCATGTCTCCCCTTCTTCTCCACTTGCATCCAGTAGTCTTCGCAATTTCTCTAACCCTTGTTTCTCAGCTTGACTACTCAAAATGGCACTGGAAGACAGCGTTTGCTCCGATGTCGAAGACAACGCTTGGTCTGATTTTGTACTACTCCTGAAGGTACTTCTTGTTCTTCTACTTCTACCGTGTTGCGTCGACGAAGATGCAGCACTACTAGATGTTCTACTAGTTCTTGATGTCGACAATGATGACTCGCTTCTCGCGGAAGCAGCTGTTGATGTACCCTTCACTCCTGATGCTACTTGCAGCATCTGTGAGTTCTGCTGTTCCTGCATCAAAAATTGATGCTGTTCCGACTCAACATTTGCTCTGGTTATTTGGTGCTCCGCCCTCTGAGCACGCTGCTTTGTGCTTCGCCGCGTTGACAGCAACTCTAGAAGTTGTAACTGATCCCGTTTTTTCTCTAGTGTTCCTCTAGATTTGGAATCTATGGTGCCAGACGAAGACCCCAGGTGTAGATCTCTTGAAGAAGACGAGTCTGGCTGCGGCCTCAAACTGTTGCCGTTTACTTGCATATATGCAGTATTCGTATTATCTCCAATCATCTGCATGTCGATTTTACTAGATGAAGATATAGTAGAAATAGGCGTTGATGAAGAGAGAGCTTCTGGGCTTCTTGATGCACTTCTTGATGGAGCTCGATTAGATTTAGGGGTAGGCGCTTGGTGTTCGTTTACCCCGTTCCTATGGCTGGCGTCTCCCTTAGGAGAGCCATAGCAAACGGTAAAAAAAGCACCTTGAGCCTACCCTTAAGTTGAGTTCGAGCTGTAGTTGCCCACCTCGTTCCAGGAAAGGACGACAGTGGCTGCTTAAGCTCTTCCACCACGACTCTTATACCATCATGGTGATCTCCTTCTCGAAGATCTTGGTCTTCTTGTTGCGATACGACCTGGACCTGGTAATCAACATCGCGCTGAGAGCCTGACGCAGGAAAAACTCCTTGTTGACTGGTTCTTCCACTAATATAAATATTCTGAATATTGTTCTGGCTCTTCTTCTTGTTGGTAGGTCTTGTTCGTTTCTTCCTCGTTGAACTCCGAGTTTCCTCCGCGTCCTCTAAAGCAAGTCGTGATGACAAAGATGAAGATACAACTGAGGAGTCAGACTCTACAACCTTATCTCTGTCTTCATCCGTATCATGAGGCTCTTGTTTTCCAGGACTTTTGTGCTCGTCGAATATTATTGCTTCTTCTATGTAGTTATTTTGGCTCTCCCTCTCCTCTTTAACTTTATCCTCCGCTTCCGAGTCAGAAGATGCAGCACTGGTGCTTGACGTTAAAGTCTGCAGGAGCATTACTGGAGTGGTGGTACCCAGTTTGGCTTGCAGTTCTTCCTCATTTTTCCTGCGCTAGCTTAGAAGAGCACCTGGCTTCTCCTGTATCATATGCGATGTCTAGTATCTATCTTACCTTTAATATTCTATCATAGAGAAGCATGATCCTTCAAATAAATAATATCATCGATTACTAAGCATCCTTCAAAAGCATGGGAGAGAATTCGGTCTTCGTCGTGAGATAGAATACATAGTCTCAGTCCTCCCCGACAGTATGTCAGTCCCTGACCCTGCAATGTTCCACCACTATACTTTTCACCAAGAATGCTTTTTCAAGGATGAGTTATCTATAGCGTATCAGCTGTAGAGATTCATAGCCTTAACAAAAATTGTCGCCATCTTTGCCGCCTTGTCTCCTTTTGTCTCTGCCCTTCTAGCACGACCGCTGCCTGCCGCATGCTTTTTCGCAAAAGCAGAGAAACTGCACTTCATTAGAAAAGGTGGCTTTTAGCACCTATGTACTTCTATAGAACCAACTAGAACTATCCAGCTTTCAGTTTTATGGCAACCCTCAAAAGGGAGATGGTGTTGTGGACCCCCAGCACAGAAGAATAAATACCATACAATATTGGAATTGGTAGAAGATGAACGCCAACATCGATCTTCTCACGTCTACTTGAAGTAGAAAAAGCTGGCTTCGAAACACCATTTTCGGCCTTACCTTGAAGTCTCGGTATTCACCAATTCCAAACCACCGACCTCGATATCGCTCTCCGCTATCGCAGGTAAAATCGCCGCAAACACCTGCTTGAGTTTCGCTCCTAAGTCTTGCTCTGCAGCAGATGTCGAGCCAGAGGAGGTACTAGCTCGAATTCTTCTAGATGTAGAAGATCTTATTCTAGATGTAGAAGATGAAGACGAGCTAGCACCACTTGCCGTTGTAGTTCTTCCTCTTTTAGAAGAAGCTTGTCGAGATGTGCTAGTCTTCTGGCCTTCTGTCGTCTTCAGATTTTTGTCGGTCGTCTTGGTGTCTTTTCTTCGCTCGACCACCTCGGCTTTTTGATGAACTAACGCAACTACTCCTCCTGAAGACGACTCTGCACTTCGTACTTTTGTTGTTGAGGCAGAAGTACTAGTGAGTTGAGTACGAGTACCAGTACTATGGAGTTTGTCTGTTGAGTTTGTCTGTTGAGTACGAGTACTATATGCCCCTTCCGAGGCGTGAACACTTCTCGGAGATTGCTGCTCGAGAAAATCTGGCTCAGTTTTCTGGCCTGCGCTTCTAGAATCTTCCTCCAACTTTAGAAGTCTGATGAGGGATGATGAACACTACTCTATTATTCCAGCTGCTCTAGAAGATAGAAAGCAAAGGAGATGAGGTGAAGGAGAAGAAGTGGAAGTTCGCTTTCGCAGTTCGTTGTAGAAGTAGAACTTCTAGTAAATATAAATATTATAGTACTAGCTATGAGATGAAACACTTATATATAAGTAGTCGTGGTACCAGTTTGAGTTTTCAAAGTGTCTACCTCCAAAGAGACTGGTACTAGTGGAATTGTAAGTAGATTCATCTAAACTGACTGAATCATCATCATGTTCATGGAGTTGTAGATCATCTTCAACTATTAAAACGAAACGGTTTGAAAAATTTCATCGTCATTATTTTCTCTCTCTGCTGCCCTTGAGGAAATCTCATGCAGGTTGCGAGTAAAATTTTCACATGAAGATTCCCTTCCGCGACGAAACGCCTTAAGTCTAAGTCACTACGACTAGTCATGGTGTTGTCGTTGTTCTTGTAGATCTTCATCATGATCGGCTAAAAGTAAGGACTACGACTCTTTATTATCAACAAGTAAAAGAACTCACTACAACAGTAAGTAGAACTACGACTATTCATTATCGACAAGTTCGTTGTAGTTGTTGCAGGTCATCATCTACTAAAAGTAAGGAGTATTCATTACTCATCTACAACCATAACTAAAAGAACTACAAAAAAAACCTTAACTCCAGCATCAAGATTGCGGGCTCCTTGACTTGCAACACGTCCTCTGCGGTTTTGAAGGTCGAGGCTACCGAACTATCGACCCTTGTATCTTCGATCAAGAGCACTCAACTTAGAGGCGGTAGTTTATTAGGTGCCCTATGTGTGAAGTAGATGAGGATATCGTTCATAGTATAGATGAGATATATGAAGTTGAATATACCCTTCTTTTACCATCTTTCGTGGTTGAGTGGCTTGCTTCCCTTTCTTCATCCCCTCAGAATTCTTACTAAGACCATGAGTTGTCAATGACTCCAGCAACTGCTCATCAGAAGGTCTCCAGCAGAGACTAAAATGGCCAGTTTTGGAGGGCGTGGAGATGATCCTTACTAAGTGTGTATTTTTGAATTATTTCATTTTTTGAATCATGTTCCACCAAGTTCTTCATTTCGTTTCATTTGAACCACGTAGCAGCTACGGGTAGCTGCCTGGTTCAGTTGTGACTAAATGAAGCATCAAGTTCTAGGTCGGCTTTTCGCTATTAATTGTGCTTCAAGTTCTAGATCTAGGCAGGCTTTTGTCATAATAATCTGATCGTCCGAGTCCTGTTGGCCAGATAACCGGCAATAGCCACAGCTGTCTCGTTCTGGAGCAATTCCTTGTAAAACAAGGTCTTCGCTTGGATCTGGAAGATGTAATTTATATTTTTTGCTTCTAATGCAAAATGCGAATTATTCAATAAACACCACCTTCGTAGGTACAACTTGTTCCCCCTTCTACAAGAGCGCGACGGTGAGGCCCAATCTTCTGTGCTAGAAGTTGTACGTCAGAAGTAGCAGCTATCCAAATACAACTGTGATTAGTTGTTTGTTGTACAGAAGTAGTAGCAGCTATCCAAGTACAATTTGTTGTACTGATTCTACAGAATTAGCAGCCGATGCTTCTAGTGTCTAAGTACTAGCTATCCTCCAATTGTAAGTCGTTGTACAGAACTACTTATACCAGCTCATATTCTGTAAATTCCGTAGTTAGTATCTACAACTAGTTTTCCATCTATCCATAGTAGACAAGAGTCGTTAGCATAGCTGCACATGGACTACTTAAGTATCCAAATACATATTAAGTACCTCATCCTCATGCTTCTGCAAAGTGTCATTGCGCAGCAGATTCTGCGTCAAGGTGAGATTGGCGTAGTCCGCAATGGTTTGATTCGTTCGCGACGAAAAGTTCGCTTTTTCTTAGAGACAGTGTCCTGTAGAGGAACTCATGCCTTTTGTTTCACCGACAACGTCGTATCTATATTATTCCCTTGTTTGAAACAGTGTCCTGTAAAGTATTTCATTCCTTTTGTTTCACCAAATTTTCTCGCTGCAGTTTGTGGTTGTAGTCTCCCTATCTATCATCTATCATACTCGCATTCACCACTGTCTCTCCTAATATTGGTCTCTTGTATTTCTCATCTTGTCTCGCTTGTTATAGGGTTACACAAGCATAGAAATGAATCTTCTAGTTGAAGTTGTCGTTGTCCAGCATCAAAATATAAGAAATAAAGCCGATAGCTAGAACCATAGAACAAATACAAAAGCTGATCTCTACAAAGATGAGTTTTATCAATCTTTGCAGGTGACCTCTAGAAGATCTGCTATATTAATCTTTGTAAGTTGTAGTTGTAGCTCCTAGTATAGATAGCTTATACTCTATGTAGAATACATTAAAAACCGCGCCACGCGTTCTGCCCTTTAATGTGAACACTAAAGGGCCGCCGCCTTTAATCTGAACACTGAAGAACCCTCCTGAGGCCTTTGCGGACCCTTAGGAGGCCTGTAATGTGAACACCAAAGGACCCCGAAGACGCATCTAAGGAGAACACTCGAGGACCCTAAGGACCATCGGAACGCCTTTAACGTGAACACTAAAAGACTCTTGCGACGCCTTTAAGGTGAACACTAAAAGACCAATAAGTCACAACCACGACCACAAGAACACACCCAGCAACGACCCCAACAACAGCCGCCACATCAATAACCACAACAGCAACAGCCCCAACAGTAGCCACAACAGTGACAGCCCAAACAACAACAGCAGCCCCAAGAACACCAAAGCCCACGCAACAACGAACGAGGAGAGACCCCTGCGACACCCATCACGTAAACGCTGAAAGACCCCCAAGGCGCGACAACGATTACAACGGCGCCCCCAATCACACCAGCGAACAACGACAACAGCAGCCCCAACAGCAACCACGACAGCCACAACCACAACAACAGCCCCAACGGCAACAACCCAAACAACAACAACCCCAACGAAAACAGCGACAACAACAACAGCAACCACAACCACGACAGCAGCAGCAGTGACAACAAGAGAAGGAGCAACAACCACAACAAAAACAACCACGGCAAAATCTATGAAACAAACCAGCGCAAAGGCCCGCACTACTCTCGTCCAGGCCCTAGCTTTTACGACATTGCCCACGCGCGTCGACTACACACAGCAAACCGAACGACGCGGAGCCCTTCGTCCCATGTCTGTGAACACTAAAGGACGGCAAGAACTACACCAAGGACACCAAAAACGACAAGAACAACAAGGGCAAAAAAGACGACAAGAACAACAAAGACAACAAAGACAGCAGCAACAACGACAACAACAACAAGAGCAACAAAGACAACAGCGACAAAGACAACAGCAACAAGGACAACAGCGACAAGGACAACAGCAACAAGGACAACAGCAACAAAGACAACAGCAACAAGGACAACAGCAACAACAGCAACGACGGCAACAACAGCAACAACAGCAACGACAACAGCAACGACAACAGCAACGACAACAGCAACGACAACAGCAACGACAACAGCAACGACAACAGCAACGACAACAGCAACGACAACAGCAACAACAACAAGCAACAAGAACAACAACAGCAACAACAACGCCAGAACCAGCTCCGCCAAAGTTCAGACACCGACACGGAGCCACGGACAACACAAGACAGAGAAAGAGGAGAAGAAAAAACCACGAACACCCGCGCCAACCATGGGCGGCCAACGCGTTGAAGGTGGTGCCCGTGGTGTTGCGTATTTACCTGCCCGCCGGCGCCTGGCTGCTTGTGGCTACCATCTTGGGCACGAGTCCCCCCGCTTTTCGCCATCACTTTTGGAAAACCCTCGCGGGCCTCCGTTTATTTCTTTGGGTTCGTTGTTCGCTATAGTTTGGACACGAAGCCACGAACAAGACAGAGAAAGAGAAAAAACCACGGACACCCCTGCCAGCCATGGCCAACACGTCGAAGCTGGCGCCCATGGTGTTGCGTGTTTAACTGCCCGCCGAGGCTTCCTTGGTGGCTTGAATGATGCTGCCACCGTGGGAACAAGTTCCCACTCTCTCCGCAGTCACTTCCGGGCAGCCCTCGCGGGCTTCTGTGCTCTTTTGCTCTGGTTGTTCTTGGTGTTCGCTGTAGTTCACAGACACGCACGGCCGCGAGCGGGACAGAGAAGGAGAAGAAGGAAAGACCACGAACACGCGCGCCGACTCTGTCCAACGCGTTGAAAGTGGTGCCCATGGCGTTGCGTATTTAATTACTTAATGCCCGCCGGGCTTGGTTGCTATCATATTAGGAACGGGCCCCCACTCTTTTCGCTATCATTGCGGAAAGCGCTCGCGGGCCTCCAGTGTCTTCGTTTTCGCGGCCGTTGTTCGCTATAGCTCGGACACGGAGCCACGAACGACCAAAGGAGAGAAGAGGAAAAAACCACAAACACCCAGCGCCAACCATGGCCGACGCGAGGAAAATGGCGCCCATAATTTTGCGGGCTTAACTGCCCACCGGCGCTTGCGACCGTCCTGGGATCAGGCTCCCACCTTTTTCGCTGTCATTTTCGGGCACCCTCGCGGGGAGGGCAACAAACCACACGAAGACGGCCCTCGCCTTGCTTGTTGCTCCTCCCGCTTCCGCCTACCACTTGGCAGAGGGGAGCGCGCGCCCGAGCGCCCTCCGGGCGCTTGTTTCACCTTGTGAAACCATTCTGGCAAGCCCACGCCCCTGAAAAAATGTCTTCTCCCTTCTTTAACGTCTCCCGGGGCACCCCGGCCCGGGGAGTACTGTATATAAATAACCTCGCTTTTCGCCATAATCTTTGTAGATAACCTCAGCCAGCTTCCGCTTCAAAATTTCGGTTTGGCCCTCTAGGTTGCTCTTCTTGAGCTCTAGAACGGCCATGCTCGTATTGTGCGCTTGTTGGGCAGTAAGCAGGCCTTCATCGTATTCCGCGAGACGCAGGCATTAGGGCTCTCTGGGTCTTCACTGTAAAAGGGCTATCAAACAATGATGGATCTTCTCAGTAAAAGATCTTCGCTGTAAACGTCCGTCGCACTAGTGCTTGTGATTGTGTCTATGTCAAATTTATGAATTTGATGTAAATGAAACCTTAAAGGAATTAGGTAATCCGTATCTTCATCAATATACCGACACATATGCAAGATACGCATTGATATTTGGCCTTGAAGAGTCGCGAAGAACAATACCTTCAAAGATATAATATTAGGACATCACGACTCCACCCTGCATTACTTAATACAACGTGATAGAAGCAGCTACTACAACTTCTATACTACGTTTACTAAGAGGCCCCCACTTCGGCCACAACTCCTGAGGACATTACTTTATGTTTATATCTATATCGTTCGATGTACTTAAGTCATTCCGTAAAGTAGCACAGCATCCCTCTGCTTCGTGAGGTTCTGGCTCGCATTCGCTTGCTTATATGCCAGAATGTCTGTCAAATTCTGGACCGCCTCGACTGTCTCGACAAGCTTTCTCTTGGCATCCTCGACTTCTACTCAGGTTAACGCTAGCTACTTTTCACGAACACTATCTCTCGGTCTTAAAGAGCCGCATGCTCTGCGGGTCCCCGTTTTTCATGCTTGTTCCACCCTTCTCGTATCTACAAGAGACTCGTATCTGACTACAAAAGAAATAGTACCTAGCCAAGGTGTTTCTACAATAAAATTGGCGGAGCCACCTAGCTACAAAAGACCCAAAAAAAAAGAAAAGGGGTAGTGAGATGTTAGGTGTATAGATCAAGGGCGGGACGCCGCTCAGAATGTTACTGAACATGACGGGGCGGACGTTATAGAGATAGGCATACTCCACACGGTGCGAGCGGGATAGTGATATTAGACTATGACTAGCCTTAACAAGAGGTCCTGAACAAGATCCTTCGCTGTGTCATTGGTCGTATCTGTTTTATAGTACGTCTCTGCATCGCGCAATTTCCTTGCCAATTTACTCGTTTCTTCTAAACTTAGACGCCACGCTTGTAACCTAGAAATTAGTCACAAGAAACTTAGCAAGAGCCTCCGTATGGCTACAACTACTTGTGGATAAAGAAGATTGGGTCCTTAACTGATATAATAAAAGACCGACGTTGGGTGCATCGTGTTGGGCTGAAAGAATCTACTTGAACTTAAAGTCATCAGATTCCTCTGCAGGCAACAAAGTTATACTCTATTTGAATACGATTAAAAATCCCCGAACGCTCTTCGCCTTTAAATAATGTGAACAGTAAAGGGCCGCCGCCTTTCATGTGAACACTAATGGACCCTAAAGAGGCCGCTAAGGACACTTAGGAGGCCTCTAATGTGAACACTAAAGGATCCCTGAGACGCCTTCAGGGTGAACACTAAAGGACCCTTACGACGCCTTTTTTAGGGTTAACACTAAAGGACCTCTAAGACGCCCTTAAGGTGAACACCAAAGGGCCAACAAGGCACAACGACGACCACACGGACACCCCAGCAACAACCGCAACAGCAGTCCAACAACAACCACAACAGCAACAAGCCCAACAGTAACCACAACAATAACCGCCCCAACAACAACAGCAGCCCCAAGAACATCAAAGCCCCCACAACAACGAGCACGAAGAGACCTTCGCGACGCCTATCATGTAACCGCTGAAAGATCCCCAACGCGCGACAACGGTTACCACAACACCCCCAACCACACCAACAACGACAACAGCAGCCCCAACAACACCACAACAATAGCCCCAACAGCAACAACCCCAACAGCAACAGCCCCAACAGCAACAGCCCCAACAGCAACAACCCTAACAGCAACAACCCCAACGAAAGCAACAACCCCAACAACAGCCAACCACAATCACAACAGCACTAACAACAACAGAGAGAGGCAATAATCACAACAAAAACAACTACGGCAAAAGCTACGAGACAAACCACCGCCAAGGCCCGCGTTGCTCTTCAGTCTCTCACTCTTACGACATTGCCCACGCGCCTTGAATCAGCCAGACCACACCGGCCAAGCAACCTAAGTCGCAAAAAGCATTCTAAAACTTTTCTTATCTTTAAGGCCGCCGACACGAAAGGCCGCAAGTGCCCCCATGTGTAAGCCCCCACAAATGGCGCAACGGCGACACCGAAGCAACAAGAGCCCAGCAGACAGCCGCGGAAGCAGACACCAGCCACACGAATGAACGGCAACCGACCACAAGGACACCCAGACACAAGCTGGAGACCAACAACACACGCACAAACATGACACCAGCAGAAGGCCCTACGAACGTAAGGCAGTCACAAGCCCACAGAGGCGCACACGCGTCGCAACCACCGGAAGCCTGCCCCACCTTCTGCTCCGAAGATCCAGAAGGCCGCAGCTGCGCCGGTAATGCCCGACCGATCCCGCAAACGTAGCCGGGGCGGAAGATCCGACCCGAGCAGCCAAGAAACCCAGCAAGTTTTAGCACCCACCGCGGAAAACGAGCGCGGGAGCCGCGGTGGGACCGACCCGCGCAGCCACGCCATCCGCAGCAAGACTTCCGACACAAGCCCCGCCCGAAGACCCTCAAGCGGCCGAGAGCAGCCTACCCCAAACCCAAAGCGACTGCGCGAAAGACACACGCGGCCCACCGCGCCACGCACTTCGAGGAGACCGATCGCAACAACCCGTCGACGCACGAGTGTCCCGGCCCCAAGAGCCGACCCCAGGGCCCCGGCTGCTTTGCTAGCTCATGCCCGAGTCCGTGCGCACTTCTAAACGCTTTAAAAATCAATCTAATACGCTACAGGCTAGTATAAATCGTTCGAGTATTTTTCTAATCGGCTAGTGCAGCTTCTAAATCGTTCGAGTATTTTTCTAATCTAAATTCTAACTTTTAGAGGGTGGCGCAAAAAAAGGAACAATTTGCCACCCCCTGGCACCGCCATACCAGGGGGCTTCAAAATGAGCACAATTTTGCACCCGCGAAAAATTAGAAATCAAGTCAGAACTTCGATTAGAACGATTTTAGACAACAAAAAACAACCCCCAAAAACCAGCAAAAAAGAAACTTGAGTCCAATACTAGAAAAAATTTTAAGCCCCCATTCCGCTGCCAAACCCCAAAATTAGAACTACATGCTCGACACCTAAAATTAGGGTCAATACTAGAGTAGAACCATAAAGACATTAGCGCTAAATATTAGAAAAAAAATTAGAAACATTTGCCCGTAGCTTGAGCTTGCGCTCGAGAGTGTGCCAACGGAACGACGGCAAGCTCCGCCAAGCGACACCGATGAAGAAACGAAAACACAGAAAGGCGCTCGCCCTCCGAGCGCCCCCCAGCTAGCGAGGACTTACTCGACACCACACCAACAGAGCAGCTTTTTCGCATGCTAAAGATTGACGCGCCCCGACTCACCAGCAAGGCTCCACCACAGGCAGGCGCCCGCCCTCCCTTGGACACACACACACCTCGCGGAACTCCGCGAAAAAGCCCACTACGACGCACCAACAGAAACGACTACGACACGCACGCAGAACCTCGAAACGAGAAACACATCCCCGACGCCGAGCGCGAAGACATAGAAGGCACCGACAAGCCCCCCCCGCTCCGCAAGAAGCCGGGCCCGGTGTCCACCGAACAGGCATGAGCGTGACAGCCCTCCGCTGACGCGGACAGAGATGGGGTCGCGACGACCTGTCGCACCAAAGACCCTCACCAGCCTGCACACTGCGGCGCTCCGACCTCAACAAAGACACAAAAACAAAGCCGGCCCCAAGCGCCGCGACCACACTAGCCAAACGAGTAGAGGTAGACACCCCAAAAGCTAGAAAAGTTTTAGACACATCTTCACCAGAAGATCTGCCTAGGCGTGCCTGCCTGACTTGACTACACACAACACGGACAACCATGACAACAAGAACAGCAAGAACAACAAGAACCACAGAAGTAACAATAATGACAGCAACAACAGCAGCAACAGCAGCAACAACAGCAGCAGCACCGACAGCAACAACAGCAGCGACAACAGCAGCGACAACAGCAGCGACAACAGCAGCAGCAGCAACAGCAGCAGCAGCAACAGCAGCAACAACAGCAGCAACAACAGCAGCGACAACAGCAGCGACAGCGGCAACAACAGCAGCGACAACGGCAACAACAGCAACAACAACAGCAGCAACAACAAAGACAGCAACGAGGACAACACCAACAAGAACAACAGCAACAAGGACAACACCAACAAGAACAACACCAACAAGAACAACACCAACAAGAACAACACCAACAAGAACAACACCAACAAGAACAACAGCAAGAACAGCAGCAAGAACAACAGCAAGAACAACAGCAAGAACAACAACAAGAACAGCAAGAACAACAGCAAGAACAACAGCAAGAACAACAGCAAGAACAACAGCAAGAACAACAACAAGAACAGCAACAAGAACAACGGCAAGAACAACAACAAGAACGACAACAAGAACAACAACAAGAACGACAACAAAGACGACAACAAGAACAACAACAAAAACAACAGCAACGACAACAACAACAACAGCAGCAGCACACAACCACAGCAAACCGGCTGCCTCGCTCATAGTTACGAAAATACTCGCGCGCACTGACGAAGCGCCCACAAGCTGCGGCGCACTACTTTGCCGCCGCAAGATCTGCTCAGCCTCTTGGCGTTGCGGGTTTGGTGGATCTTTGTCGCCTTCCCTTCCGGGGCCAGTTTCCTTCGCAGTTTTATGAGAACCCCGAGGAAGAGAACCACCCCCGCCACGACAGACGAGAGTGGGAAAAATGCCACAAAACCTCCGGCGGCGCCTGTGCCTTCTTTGGATCTGTTCAGCCTTGTGGCCTTGCGTCGGTCTTTTTCGGATCTGTGGGACAGATCTGCCCAGCCTCCTGGCCTTGTGGGCTTGGTGGGTCTTTGTGTGTCACTTTTCAGCATCGGCCTCCCTCATAATTCATTTAGAAACTTGGGAACTGCTCTGGCCACGACAAACCAGAACAAAACGCCTAAGCCGGGCCGTGGCAGTGTTTTTTCGCTATCAGTTTGGAAGGCCCTGCCTGCCAAGCCCCCCGCTTCCGTGCCTGGTGCCTCGGCTCCTCTGCTTTCGTGGGCCCAAGGCCACAGACGGCACAACCAGAGGGAAGAAGACCAGAGCCAAACCACAAACACCCGCGCCAGCTATGGCAAGCGCGTCGATAGTGGTGCCCATGGTGTTGCATATGTAGCCCCCCGCCGGCAGTCGCTTGGTTACTTCTTGGCACCATCTTGGGAACGGGGTCCGCCCCCCTTTTTTCTCAGGCAGACACATCCCCAGCCAACCAACCCGGACACGTTAAGTCTTGGCTAAAATTTTCGGGTTTTGAGCAAATCCCGACCGACAGACACCACAACACACCCGCGCCGCGTGATCTGGCTGCCGGGGGACAACAACCGACCCGACAAAAAAGACCCACGAAAGACCCCAC